TACAGCAAATGCAGTTTGATTGAGATGATATCCAGAATCCGTAGAAATAGCCTGAATGCCGAGAAACTGATTCAAGCCACCTAAATGTCAGACCTGAAATTGCTGATGCAGATGCTGAAGGAAAGACTGAAGAACCGATGCATCATTCCCTGTAACCAAAATATTATCTACATATACAAGAAGGTAGATGAGATATGAATTATGATTGTAAATGAGTAGAGAAGGATCAGCATTGCTATGCTGAAAACCCCGAGTTTGTAAGTATGTCATTAATTTTGAAAACCACTGTCTAGGAGACTATTTAAGACCATAAATGGCCTTATGAAGCCGGCAAACAAAATCAAGATGTTGATGATATCTAAAACCAATTGGTTGTTGCATATAAATCGTCTCATTTAGATCACCTTGTAAGAAGGCGTTTGAGATGTCGAGTTGAGTAATTTTCCACTTATAATGCACGGCTGCAGTGATAAACAACCGGATTGTAGGGAATTTAGCTACAAGACTAAATGTTTCAGTGTAATCAATGCCATATTCCTGACGATGGCCTTGTGCAACAAGCCGGGCTTTATATCTAGCTACAGATCCATTTGAATGATGTTTGGTCTTATAAATCCTTTTGCAACCCAAAATAGATTGGTCTAATGGTGGAGAGACCAATTCCCAAGTCCCCTGAGTTTGAAGAGCCTTAAATTCGGCTGACATTGCATCTCTCCAGCATTGGTGTTTAATTGCAGCTGAATAACAAGTTGGATCACTGGATTGGACAAGTTGATGCTGGAGGTTAAAATGTTGCTTTGGTTTAAGGCTAGCATAACACAAGTATCAATCCACTATCATGTGTCAGCTAGTTGAACAGAAGTCTACCAACGGATTTGGCAGAGAATGGAAGAAAACAAAAAAAAACGAAGAAGATAAAGCCGTAAGGCCTAGAAAGGCTATGATACCATGAAAAACCTTCAGGGTTTATGAGTTTATCTGCACAACAGGGAAAACAGAACATAGCACAAAATCGAATATGAGAGTAATTCTGTGCTTTTCCATTCATACCATGAACAGTGCAATACATGCATATATATTGAATTCTAGCTAATGATAATCATAACAAAGAACATAAGTTAAAGATAGTAGAGAACGTTCTCTGCCAAAGCCGTTGGTAGACTTCTGCTCAACTAGTTGACACATGATAGTGGATTGATACTTGTGTTCTGCTCAGCCGTGGAACATGTTAACAACTATAACCATCGAGATATTATCCACTTTGGCCTAAGGGTCTCACGATTTTATGCTATTGGTGTAACTTTCCAGGCGACACCGTTCCATAATTTATCCGAGTTGAACACGCTTAATTGTGGAATTTCTTAAATGGAATTTTGACAATTACACTAAATGGCGCCTCGTTATTTAAGAAATTGACTTCTTTTACTCAAAGGGGTTTCACAATTTGTGTATCAAACTTCTTCATTTAATGAAAAATTATATGTGAACTAATAACCTTAGCTTTTAGGTATTTAATAAGTCCTAAAGCCTTTGTAGATATTCATTCCTTGGTCAAAAGTTTATCTACTTATTAGTTAGAAAGATCCCTTTTCTGTTTTCCTTCTTTTTCTTTTTATTCTCTTCCTTTATTTTTATTAATTGAAAATGTGATAATTTTTTTTTCAGATTTTATAACCTAGCACTTTTTCTTTTGTGTATATATATATATATATGTGAATAGGAAATTTTCCTAATGTACTTAATTTCTGATCATTTTTATTAATGCCTATAGAGGATGTCTGTATTGATTTAAATATCACATTATTAATGCAATAGTTTCAACACCTCATAGACCTAGATAATTATTTTAAGTCTTCCATAAAATTCTCTAGGATTTACAATATTATTGCAAGAGTTCATACATGTATAAAAATGAAAAACCATGAGAAGAGGAAGCCAATTGTAGAGTAAAATTCAAAATTAATAAAACTACAACAAAATTGCTTAATAAAAAAAATAAAGAAGAAATATTGAATAAGAGGTGGTAGGTTCTACCCAAATGTGCAATGCATTGTTTTCCTTTCGAACCTAACTTCGCATATGAATCTTCAAATCCGACTGTGGTCCTCACCAATATATGTACTCCGGTGGTCCTTGAAAATGATGTGAACTTCTTCGGTCCTCTATTATAAAGTTCTATAGAATAAAAGAGATGTAGGGTGATGAAATGATGTATAGTCGTTAGTCGTGAATAGGACTCGGCTATCTGAACCGTAAAAACGCAGTGATATAATGGAGGTGATGCGATCATGCGGGAGACGGGATCATCCTCTTAGCTTTGACTACCAATGAAGATTTAGGGAGATCTTATATTCTATAGAACTTTATAATAGAGGATCTTCACATCCTTTTCAAGGACTGCCATAGTACATATATTGGAGAGGACCATTGTCGGATTTGGAGATTCATAGGAGAAGTTAGGTTCGAAAGAAAAAGGCAATGGAATTACTTTACAAATTGGTTACAATTTGTTTGAACTTAATTCATTAACAACCATGAGAAAAATACTATTTTTTAATAAATAACATCATTACAGGAAAATTGGTGTTTACCAGCGGTAATTCCGGCGGTCTTATAACTGTTGGAATTACCGGTGGTTAAACCAGCTGTTTGACCGATGGTATTAACCGCCGGTGTTTAATAATACACCACCGAAATTATCGGCAGTATAATAACCCTCAGAAAACAAGCACATCATATTACATCCATTTAAATACAATGTACAGGTAACACATACAGGAATGGCTATGATTTGACCTAAAACCAAAGTGAAGAGCTGTGGAAACCCTAATATCTAGATTTAGCATAATGAATTACCAGATCAAACATTTCATTTTCTTCCCCGTATGAAAAAGTTCCAAAAGGCCTCAAGAATATAAAAAAGACACTCTTGTGTCGTAATCCTTTTGCGTTTGAGCCTAACAATACGACAAAGAACGGAGGGAAGAAGAACCCAACAATAAAGTCAAAAGCATACTCCTTTTTCCTCGGAACCACCCACTGACAAGATACCCCTTCTAATCGAACACTCGATCAGCAACAAAAATCACGAAAGATGAAGACGATGAACAAAACCCTAACAAAGCACAACAGAAAGGATAGTCCTCCAGATTTTGCAGCTGTAGATCAGCACTCCTGATACGATCTCGAGATTACCGATCCTTGAAGAATTACTTTCTTCTGGGTTTTTTATGTTGCTCGATGCGATTAGGCAAAAGAGAACTGCAAGAAGATTAAACCAGAACTGATGCAACCAGGCGCGCGCGCGCGCGAGAGAGAGAGAGAGAGAGAGAGAGAGAGAGAGAGAGAGAGAGAGAGAGAGGGCCATAGCGATTGGCTTTGTAAGTTGTAATGTTGTTTGATGCTGGTGGAGGGGGTGTGATCAGATGGCCCGGATGCAATCATGGCCGAATGCACTAATCTTGGTCGGAGGTCAATCTGGATGAGCCACGTCACCCGATACACATCAGTACACAGTAACGATACACAGTGTATTAGCGACATGACACGTCCTGATTGGCCTCCGAACGACATCCACTGACCGCACGTAATAATTTTGCGATCTCAATATATTGCTTCTTCATTTGACTGATTACAATCAAATCGTGATGCAACAATAAAGAACCTTTTGTGGCTAGCTCTTTGTCATCAATTATAAGATTGTTAACGAGAGCTAATGAAGTATTATGCTAATTACATTAATATTTCATATATTAAATATAAAAAAAACTTATACTTCTGTGTATCATATATATAAATTCTCTTTCAAATGATTCCAATGAGATCAGAATTTGTCTCTTTAGAATCCTTTGTGACTGGCTCTTTGTCATCAAGAAAAAGTTATTGATGGGAGTTAATAGTGTTATATTTCATTAATAATTAAATTTAGATGTTAAATATATAAATCTCATAAATTTATGTGTTATATATATGTAAATCACAAAATCCCCAATAAAAAAATACTAATTATTAAGAAGAAAGGAGACAAGCCAGATGTAGCACATCCCGGATAGCACCCATACTTATATTTGAAAAGCTTATCTGCTGCTCATATTTTCATTTCATAATTTCATTATCATCAAGATTAGTGCATTCGGCCATGATTGCATCCGGGCCGTCTGATCACACCCCCTCCACCAGCATCAAACAACGTTACAACTTACGAAGCCAATCGCTGTGGCCTTCTCATTTCCTCCTCTTTCTCAATTTCTTTCGGCTTTCGCTTTCGGTCTCTGTCTCTCTGTCGTCTGGCTGCATCAGTTCTAGTTTAATCTTCTTGCGGTTCTGTTTCGCCTGATCGCATCGAGCGACATAGAATACCCAGAAGAAAGTAATTCTTCGAGGATCGGTAATCTCGAGATCGTATAAGGAGTGCTGGTCTACAGCTGCAAAATCTGGAGGACTATCATTTTGCTGCGCTTTGTTAGGGTTTTGTTCATCGTCTTCTTCTTTCACGATCTCTGTTGCTGATCGGGAGTTTGATTAGAAGGGGTATCTTGTCGGTGGGTGGTTCCGAGGAAAAAGGAGTCTGCTTTTGACTTTATTGCTGGGTTCTTCTTCCCTCCGTTCTTCGTCGTGCTGTTGGGCTCTAACGCGAAAGGATTCTGACAGAAGAGTGTCTTTTTTATATTCTTTAGGCTTTTGGAACTTTTTTATACGGGGAAGAAAAGGAAATGTTTGATCTGGTAGTTCATTCTGTTAAATCTAGATATTAGGGTTTCCACAGCTCTTCACTTTGGTTTTAGGTCAAATCATAGCCATTCCTGTCCGTTTTACCTGTACATTGCATTTAAATGGAGGTAATATGCTGTGCTTGATATTGCTATATTGAGGAGAAGTGAAAGCGAAGGTGAGACGGCGAGATTTAAGAAATCTGCACCAGTTTTATATGGGAGGGAATGAAGCCTGGTCACATCCAGGTGGCCTACTGCTCAATGGTCTTTTGCCCAATGAAGCCGGCAATGTGCCTAGGGTGCTTGATGAGGAGCGCTGGGCAAAGGCCGAAGAGAGAACTGACGAACTGCTTGCTTGTATACAACCTAACATACCATCTGAGGAGCGCAGAAATGATGTGGCCAAATATGTCCAGAAGCTAATTACGGAGCGTTTCTCCTGTGAGGCGAGTTTTCTTTTGGATACTCATTGGTTTTCATAATTCCACAAGAAATTTACTTTAGTACTATTGTCATAGCTAATGTCAATGTTTTCTTAAGTTAACTAGATTGACCATGAGGTTAGTGTAGTAACTGATCAATACTTTTTTTTTTTTTAAATAGTGCAACATATGGATGCAATTTATTTGACCTCATTAAATTCTTCTAAAATGTGGCTATCAGAAATTTTGAATGTATTCCTATCTGATTATGTGCCTTTTTTGCGTTAACTAACTTGCCTAAAATGTTTGCACCAATGCTTTTCTCATGATTTCTAGCTGATGTACATGGGGAAACAAAGATATGTAGGAAATTAAATTTTATAAAAATTTCAAGAAGATGTATATTTCTAAAATACTTTCATTTTAGTATTATCCATCAACTTTAACTCCAATTTCCATTGCTTTTGAGGACATGACTATTTGGGCTCCTATTTAAGTATTGCTTGGACTAAATTTGATCTTTTACATAGATTGAGACTAATGGTCATCCAAAATAGTTGAGAGGCCTTCTTGTTCCTTTCATCTATTTATTTCCTTAATGACTTTGATTACTCAGAGGTTTTTTGTTCATATGTAATAGACTTTTCTTGCCTTCATATAGTTTGTGTTTATTTCATAGATTATGAATTTAGGAATCTTTTACATAGATTGAGGCTAATGGTCATCCAAAATAGTTGAGAGGCCTTCTTGGTCCTTTCATCTATTTATTTCCTTAATGACTTTGATTACTCAGAGGTTTTTTGTTCATATGTAATAGACTTTTCTTGCCTTCATATAGTTTGTGTTTACTTCATAGATTATGAATTTAGGAATCTTTATTTATGTGTTCAATTTGCGTTTTCTTCACCCTACAATTTGATGAAAATTGAAATGATTGATATCTTGGAAGAAAATATTTTGTTCCTCAACTAAAAATTAATGATGAAGAAGTTAAGGATCATAGAAGTCAAACAATTTGAAATCTTGTGCAAAGGAAAGAGTACTAGATTATAAGATTTGAAAAAATTCTATCACATTTTCAATTAATAAAAACAAATGAATAGAACAAGAAAGAGGTCTAAAAGAGGAAAGGGATCTTTCTAACTAATAAGTAGATAATTGATAGGAAACACTTGCAAATTTTAAGGAAATCATATCAATTTCAGAAAAAACAGCGAGAAAACTCTTTTGAACTCAACGAAATACGAAAAATTATAGTTTTTATTGCAATAATCAAAGATACGGACGGAAAATACCAAGATACAATTGATCCTCTATTCGAGAGGAGGATCTATCTCTCCCAAATCTCTAGACATCGCTAGAGAAAAAAAAAACCTAAACCTAAGAGATCTCAAATGTCAACCAAATTCAAGATGTCCTAACCCTAGGAAAACAAACTATTTAATGCATACAATCCAAAAGGAAATCCCTAAACAGCCCCTACATTCAAATTACCCTCACAAATCCCTGAAAATCCTTCCTAAAATATTCTGTGGAAACTTGCGGCCCTATTGGCATACGCAGGAGAGGCGAGACTTCCGCCTCTGTTCGCCCGGGCCGGTCCCGTGGCCTCCCAAAGAGCCACTTTGTCACCTTGTCTTTAAGGAGGAACGAAGGAAACTATTGCTAAAGCACTTGATCAATAACACTAGACTGAAAAGTGGACTGATAGTAGATTAAGTGATCCTTGCTTCCAGTATCTTCCTAATCAATCTTTCGATCTCATCCTTCTAGATTTGGGGATGACGATACAAATGAACACTGAGATATGAAACTACTTCCTTCAAGATGATAGCATGCTCGTGTTCTCGTGGAGGAGGCAGCCTCTGAGGCGGCTGGAAAACCTCACTGAACTACTGAATCAATGGCTGCACTGAAAGAGGAATGTCCCCGCCCTCCTCTAATCTGATCCGTCCAGCCTATATAGTTCCATCAGATAACCTCCCCCCACCTCCTGTATGCTCATCACCTTGGTTTTAAGTGATATCATGGTTTTGGCGAGCCCTGCATCTCACCTAATCACTACACTTCTCCCTTATACCATCAGCTCCATTGTCAATGCTTCCCAGTTGACCTTGGTGTCCCCCAATGTTTGCAACCACTTCATCCCAAGGATGACATCAGTGATCTCTAACTCCAATAGGGGAAAATACTCCCTCACCTGAACCCCATGTATGATCAACAATACTCCCCTACTTATCCCTTGACCTATCTCCACCTTCTCTGTACCCATCATCACTCCATAACACCCTGTATCCACCAATGTCACCCCAATTGGTCCACGACCTGGTTGGAGATGAAATTCTGGGTATCCCCACTGTCAATCAACAACACCACCTCCTTGTATGCTATTTACCCCTTCACCTTCATGGTATGATTCATAGTGAATCCTACCACTGAATTCAGGGAGACCACAATCACGTCTAGATGCAGCTTGTCTTCCATCTCTCTCTCCCATACTCTTATCTCCCTTAGTTTCCTCGTCATCACAGACGGTGAGAACCTGAAGAGTTCAATCCCTACACTTGTGTCTTGTGCATAGAGTATACTTCTCATCACATCTGAAACATAGTCCCTTCGCCCTCTTCTCCTGCATCTCCCTCTCCATTAGTCTTTTGAAGTTCCTTCACTTCCTCCTCTTGTTGGATTCTCCCTAGGAGTCTCATTAGTGTTGCCTGTTGCAGGCTCCTTGGGTTCCAAAAGAGTGGTCGTTATCATGTAAGAGCCTCCTGAATTGCTGCTCCTGACTCTCCTCTCTTGATTTCTTTGATTTTCCACTAATTGTGCCAACTCCATGGCCTTTCCGAAGTCACGAGGCCTCATGACATTCACCGCCGCTCTGATCTCTGATTTGAGCCCCTTCATGAAGCTCCCCTCCAATGGTGTCTCTGGGAATCGCTCCATCCTATTGGCCAGATGCTCAAACCGCTCACGGTAATCTGCCATTGATCCGTCCTGCACCAGTGCAAAGAACTGCTCATAGAAGTCTCCTCCCATGTCGGCTTGGAAATATTCTAATAAACAATCTTTGAATTTTCTCCAGCTCTGTAGGGGTCTCATTTGGTCCCCCTCCACTGGTACCATGATAGCGCATTCTCCTCCAGACATAAGCATATTGTTGTCAACTTCTCCTCCTCCATCAACCCATTGATGACGAAGTACCTTTCTATCTTATATATCCACCATGTGTGTCACCCCCTTCGAAAATGGGCATCTTCAACTTCCTCACCTTCTGATCTCCCCATTTTCCCCTTATTCCTCCATAATTTACCTTTTCCAAAGTTCTTGGCACTCACCAAGTCTCCTGATCTTCCCTTGCCCTTTCATACCCAAAACCTCTTCAAATTCCCCTCTCCTTCTTTCAAAATTAGCACATCGACGACCATAATATCCCTCCCTGCGTTCCCATTCAACACCCTTTGCTCCTGCCCCCATACCCATGCATTTTCTTGTACTTTCCTCCTCTATCCTCCCTCTAGAAAGGCTCTAGATGGGGTCTTCTACTTTCTCCCTCTACGATCTCCACCTCATGTTCATCCTTACGAATTTCAGAATTCGTATTCTTTCCTTTTGGCCCTCTCGCCTCTGAAGCCGCTGTTTGGCTGTGGAATTCTAACATCTTCTTCATCTTGTCCCGTAAGTCAGCTACTTTCCCTTCCATGGAGGAAATTCTGTCATCCACCGTGGTCTTAATTTGGTTCATTTTCCCTTCAAGTCTCTCCTCCAACGCATCCACTTTCTTGGCCGCCATCAATCCCCAGATTTTTGTATATTAAAAAATCTAGATTTCACCCTAAAAACAACAATTTCCTCCTCCACCAGCCCAAGAACAATGGCTGAAATTCACAAAAGTAGCCCACCAACGGTCCCAAGATTTTCTTTGATACCAATTTGATAGGAAACACTTGAAGATTTCCAGTAAATCCTATCAATTTCAGAAAAACAGCAAAAAAACTCTTCCAAACTCAACGAAGACTAGAAAAACAATAGTTTTATTGTAATAATCAAAGATACAGATGAAAAATACCAAGATACAATTGATCCTCTATTCGAGAGGATGATCTTTCTCTCCCAAATCTCTAGACGCTACTAGAGCAAAAAAAAAAAAAAAAAATAAGAGATCTCAAATTTCAACCAAATTCAAGATGCCCTAACCCTAGGAAAACAAACTATTTAATGCATACAATCCAAAAGGAATCCCTAAACAGTCCATACATTCAAATTTTCCTCCCAAATCCCTAAAAAATCTTTCCTAAAATGTTATGTGGAAACTTGTGTTCCGATCGGCATACACAGGAGAGGCGGAACTTCCGCCTCTGTTCGCCTAGGCCGGTCCCATGTGGACCGGTTCAATGGACCGGTCTAACAATAACCTCTTTTGAAATTCTTCAAATTTCACTTCTTCTTAATGAATACCTAAAAACAAAAGTTATTAATCCACATATTAGTTTTCTCTAAAAGCCCAATGGTCACATTATAAACTTTGCAAACTAAGTATAAGTAGAAGAAGCTCACCAAGAAAGTTGCACTTGCATGAAAACCACTGAAAAAATTGTAGAAGCTATGGATGAAGCATTATTAGTTGCCCGTAGTTGAAGGAGTATAATCACTGAAATATACCTATAACCCCGCAGGAGAAAAATCACACCCATGTATAATCCTGCAAAAATAAAGTTGTAATTGTGATAAATAGTTAAGCCTAGATACAATCCTGAGAACTAGCTATCATGATGTTTTTTACAAGTATAGACAAAAATAAAGATGGACTACCTTGAAGGAAGTTAAAGGATAAGTCATAAATGAACTACTTCTTTTCATTTTAACTTAGAAAGAATTTACTTCATTAAATTGTTAAATTTATATTCTTCTAATTGGTTTTCATAGTAGTTGAATTTCATAAAGAAATACTCATACATCATGATATATGGGATCATCTTTTTGCTACATTGGAACCTCTGTTATCTCCCAACAATAGTGGAATGATTATTTTATCAATACTAGCTTCATGATCAAGGTCGATATGAATGTCTAGAAAGTATGCATATTTTTCATTAGATATGAAACCAAAAGGTGGAAAAATAGAAGAATCCAAATCATTAGCTGATGATTTATGATATATTGCTCGATGTGATATATGAAAAATTGGTTTATACTATATTATTCTTGATTTTCAAATCTTTATTCATTCTTCCTAATACATTGTTCAGCTTTATATCATTCTATGATGTAATTCTTTGAGAGCTCTTAGAGGAAATCTTTCTTGATTTGGATGGACCATGACCTTATCACCATCTTTGAATTTCATATATTTTCTGTGAGGATTTATAATAGATTTATAATTTTTATGATTAATAGCTTAGTTCCAACTAACAAATCATGTAGATGGATAATATACAATATAATATGATAATGCAAGTTGGGGTATTTACAAAATATTTATTTGTTTTGTAGTGAATGCTCCTAGATTATATCAAGAGGGAAAAAGAAGGTAGACGTAACTTAACAAGGATAGAAGCTACTCTTAATTACTTTTTAGGAATATACTAAATATCTTATGCAACATGCAATTAAGATAAATGGAAGATGATGATTCATAAAAACAACCAAAGTAGTCATGATAATGCTTAGATTTTAACATCTCTAATAATCATATCTTATGGGATATTGGTTCAACTACAATGATGCATTTTTTTTAAGATTCTCTAGGAAGCGTAGAATCATTTTTCTTTAAAATTCTAAGCACAGTTGTAGTCCAAATAGCACCAAGGGCGGAACCCTTGTGTTCCCGGGGGGGCAATTGCCCCCCCCCCCCCCTAAAAAATTAAAATAATATGATGAAAATTAAGGCTGGTTCCGCCCCTGAATAGCACAATGACCTGAAATAAATTTCAAACACAGCATCTTTATGTTAACCTTTGTCTACTTTCTCTGGTGAATTATAGCTTAAAGCCTTAAATCATATTTAGTTTCGTACCTAAGATCTTTGATGAAATATTGAAAACAAAGTAATTTTTAGGCATATATTATTTGTCAACAAAATTTTCAAACTAATTGAACTATTTAGTCACACTTTTGTCACATTGTTTGACGATATTAAGTTGATCATGCATTTGATTTCTATGTTATATGAATGCAAAGTGATGTTTTGTAAACTTTAGGTTTTGTTTCAACCCAAATATGTGACACTTTATTTTGTCACTTTGCCAAAGTGTTTGAGTATATCTCATTAATTTAATAAAGTTAATCTGTTGGAAATCAAACATGTTAATATTTTTGAATAATTTCTTTAACATTTCCGTTCAATTTGAAAATGCATGAGAATTAGGCTTCACATTCAACGGCAAAAATATTATCCCTAGTTCCTTTGTACTTGTGGTGAAATTGTTTGGAATCATAGCTATATTGATTTTTCTAAAATTGCATTTAGGTTAATTAATTATTTATTTTTGTGGATCTATCAAAATTGCATCCCTTTGTTGGTTTGTTGATTGACCTTGATGTTAATATCCCTTCTTGTTAACATTATAGTATAACCTGAGGCTCCAATACCAAAATTGTTTTCAAGAATTTCTGAGCCAAGAAGTCTTCAATACAAATTTAATGGTGTTTTAGATGCTAATAGCTAATACAAAAAAAAAAAAAAAAAAAAAGGAATTTTATCTGCTACATAAGCTATTAATTTTAAATAACTATTTGCTACTTTTAAAAAAAAAAAAAAAAAAAAGGAATTTTATCTGCTACATAAGCTATTAATTTTAAATAACTATTTGCTACTTTTGATTAAAATTGAAAACATTCAAATCCAATTTAGTCAATAATTTATTGGCCTTCTGTTGGAAAATTTAAATGATTAATAAAGCCATACAAACGCTTTAAATTTAATGCAAAGGAAACTTTAATATATCAGATCCGACAAACTTGAATGGTGTTTTAAATCCATAATCATAAACTAAGAGAAGAAAAATAAATAAATAAAGGGAAATAGTTCACATGATTGAGTTACGTTTATTGAAGATTTTGAAAGTACAATTGAATATTGCTTGATCCAATAAAATGTGGTTCTTCTTTATATTTTTTTCTATCGGTGCAAACAACCAATTCAAGGAGTACAAAAAATGTAGTAGATAAACCTTATCTATCCATGAAGTATATTATTGATGATGTTGGTGATGTAATGGAAATCTAAAAGCCTATATTCATTACAAGTATAGAGTAAACTTTGAGAATATCCAGTTAGATATTATTATTTTTGTTTTAAAGTTTATTTTGTTTAAAACATGCTTATGATGATGATCTTATTAAGGTTTGATTTACCATTGCAATTCATTTTGATTCAACTCTTTGACTTGTAGTTATACCCTATGGAGGTGCTAGTTGTGGTTTTTCTTTTTGTGGATATCTGTTTTGGACATTATAGCATGATCCAGATTTCTGCCTATCGAAGCTGCACATGTTTTTCTTTATGTGATTGTATCTTCGTTTTATCTCGGGCAATATTTGGTGTTTCATTATGTTTTGCTTTAATCCTTTGCTTTTTTGGCAAGTTCTTGGAATTTTAGTTGTGTTCGCCTACTTCGAAAGGAAAATTTATTCTTATACAACTACTATTGCTGTGCTCGGTTGATTAGTTTCCCTCTTGTAGGAGGAAGTGCGGGACTTCTTTTATTTTAGGAATATGAATTTTAAAGTTGAAAAATTATCCATTTACAGAACATGCTGTTCTTGATGGTATTTAAGTGGGCTTAATTGAAAATTGCAATATTATGCCCAATCTTGGAGGATTTGAGAATTGCTTATTTTTGGGTGTGTTGGAGTTATGAAATCTTTTAAAAAAATATTGAATTGTTGAATATAATTTTATTTCCCTCTCAATTCTTGTGTGATGTTCGACAGGGATTCTTCAAAAGCTTTGCAGGTTTTGGGGATTAAATTCTCCCCGGTGGGAGGGACTTTCCTTACACCGACATGATACCTAGATCTTCTAATTGGTGATTTCTATCATTATTCTTTCTCTTGATCTTTTTCGTGATTGGTGTGTGCACATAATTGAGATTTTGTCAAATTTGGTGTGTCCGTTACCTTTTATGTGGTGTGAATTTCAAATGCTGTAGAATTTTGCATTTGTTCCCAAATTTATTGTGGAATTTCAGTTGTTGGCAACTTTTAAATTATCATTTGGAATGTATAAATTGAAACTTTGGAATCTATAAATAATGTTAGTGAAGCCTAGACCCCATGAAGTTCTCCATCATGAAGGGCATCATTGAATAGGCATCCTTTTTCACTTGGGGTAATAATTTAGGCATTTTTAAGTATATGTAAGTTAAGGATGAATAGCAATAGGACTGTGGAGATATTTAGAAATTTCCAACAAAATTATTGCTTGTATAGGGATTCCTTTCTAAGAGATCAGTTAGCCACTTAAGTAGAGCCCATTTTCTGCTTTACTCAATTAGATTTGCTAATCATATCATTTAAATTGCTTTGGAGAACACAGTTCAAGGAGCAAAGCATTGTTGATTTATGTTTTTTTATCAATGCCTTGCAGGTCCACTGCATATGAGGCGCATCAATTTTGCTGTACATTTGTCATTGTTTGGCATGATAACACTATTCAACCCTAGAAAAGTACATAATATTACACAATTTCTGATGTAACTGCGAGTGAACACATTCCAGTGTCTTTGATTTAAAAAATATTTCTCGGAACTTTGGTGCTGAAATATAAAAAAGGAGGTTCTTATTCAACCCTAAACCCTGAGAGAGAGAATCCCACCTTTTGTTGGATAAATTGATGGTGGCATCCGGCATTGATCTCCACAATATTCTTATTCAACTTTTTCCTTCATCTGCAGCCATGTATTTTTGTGCTGTTAGAAGGTTGCCTGATACTGCTACTTTTTCATTCATCCAAATGAATAAGTTTTGGTGATATTTTTATTGATGTCTTCATATATCCGTAATTAGGCGTTCTTGACACATGTTTGTCTTATAGGGTGATTGTTTGGCTTTTTATTTATCTTGGTCATTTCATATATTGTTGTTTGTAACTTTGGAGTGCTTTCTATATGCAAAAAGCTTTAAATTTTTTTCTCTTTTTTATCTTATTGCTACTTTTGCACTAATGATGGCCACTATCATAATTTCAGCATCCATAATTATGCTGCATACAATTTTTTCTCCATTTTGTTTGTCATTTAAATCCATGGCGGTTGGGCAACCATTTCTAAGAGCTTTTTTTATTTGGTTTAATAAATAAGATTGATTTTCAGGTTTTCACATTTGGGTCAGTACCTTTGAAGACCTATTTACCTGACGGGGATATTGACTTGACTGCATTCAATAAGGATGAAGATATGAAAGATAATTGGGCCAATGAAGTACGTGAGGTGCTTGAGAACGAAGAAAAAAGTGAGAGCGCTGACTTTCGTGTTAAGGAAGTCCAGTACATTCAAGCAGAGGTAAGTCCTTTTATCAATTTGATGTCACTTTCTTTGTTGAAATGATTTTTGCACCATTAATTTGAAAATGGAACTTATGATCATGTGCATATTCTTGGCTTTTTTATGTTTTACCAATCAACTTCCTTGAGTCATGTGATATTGTTGTGAAAATATACCCAAATGTTGATTTAGTTATCTTCATCAAATTCCCCATAGTTAATATATTATAGCCGCGTTTGTCTATGTAAAGAAGGCTATTATATATACTAGTATAATTGTATGTGCACTAAGTACATGTGAATGAAAGTTTAAAAATAAAAATAAGCATTATAAAATGTAATACTATATTTATTTAGTTACAAGAATAAGTTTATCACTAAAAATAATTGCTATAATGATCATATTAATAAAAAATTGGAGTTATTCACATAAACCCATACTAAACAAAATATAATTTATTTTAGCAAAATAAGCTAGCCAAACAAAGAGATAGGAGTATTAAGGATTTAGTTCAAGTGAAGTGCATTAAGGATGAAGATCAAAAATTAATTTTTTTTAAGGATGAAGATAAAAAATCAGTCCTGCATATATGTACTTCATGAGTTGGGAAATTTCTTTATGTAACCTTTGTTTTCAATTTTATCAATTTAAACGTTGCTATTGTATTAAGTTGTTGCCTTCTACGCCAGGTTTTGATGAACTTCTTGGTTTCCTTTTCAGGTTAAAATAATAAAGTGTCTCGTAGAAAATATAGTTGTAGATATATCTTTCAATCAGGTTGGTGGGTTATGCACTCTATGTTTCCTTGATGAGGTGAGTTAGGGTTTTTCTATTGATTTGAAACAATTAATACAAACTTTTGACATACTTCTTTACTTGAACAAAGTTTCTTTTTAGCCTTGTACTAACATGTTCCTTACTATCATAGATCGATCATCTGATAAATCAAAACCATTTATTCAAGAGGAGTATCATATTGATTAAAGCTTGGTGCTACTATGAGAGTCGGATACTTGGTGCTCATCATGGGCTTATTTCAACATATGCTTTAGAGACTTTGGTTCTTTACATATTTCATGTTTTTAACAATTCCTTTAATGGACCGCTTGAGGTAATACCCTGTTTGCTGATTTTTTTTTTGTTATTGAATAAAAAACAATACATTAATCTTTGTTATTCATGAAATATCAGGTCTTATATCGTTTCCTAGAATTTTTTAGTCATTTTGACTGGGACAACTTTTGTGTTAGCCTTTGGGGACCAGTACCAATCAGTTCACTTCCAGATATGTCAGGTTAGTTCAATTTAATTACCACAACTGAGTTAGCCTATTTTTGCTTTGTGTATGCTTACATAATTCATTCCACAACTTATACAGCGGAATCTCCTCGGAAGGATGGTGGTGAATTGTTGCTTAGTGGACTCTTCCTTCAGGCTTGCAGTTCAGTGTATGCTGTTTTTCCAAGTCAAGAAAATCAAGGTCAACAATTTGTATCCAAACATTTCAATGTAATTGATCCTTTACGTACAAACAACAATCTTGGACGGAGTGTCAGTAAAGGTACTATTATAAACTGTGATTGCAATTTTGGAAGCAGACTGCATCTGAAGCCTGCTTTTATCTATTGAATGGATTTCAACTGTTTGTGTTTTTTTATTCATTATATTTCCTTAAACAGCTTTTGATGATGTTAATAAGATATTATCCTCTGATGTTAACCTTATTCAATACAGTTCGTTCATTTCAACTACTTAATAATCTCAATATTGTTTGCAATTGAGCGGATAATACATCCATTTTGTTGTTGTATATTTGGGGGAAAGTCAAGTTCTATGAGTCACGAAGAGCTGATTTGTCCAAGATTTTGATTATTTACTTTTCTAGGTTGTTTGCAATATACAGTTGAATTTTTTACCTTCATTATATACTGAAAACGAGTAAACTGAGATGTAACATGCTCATTGATATAGAAAGTAGCTTCATGTCATGTCATCGTGCAGAATATTCAGATTAAGGAACTATATTGTGCCTTAAGGTGTTTATATATCATCTTGTTGGATCATTATGCTTTAACGCGTGTGAGGCTTACACTGAATGCATAGAACTTTCTAAAATCTCTTAGGCTTTGTTTGGAACAACTTTCTTAGTGCTTCTTAAAGTGGCTTTTTAATAAATAATAATAATTTTTTAACTAAAACTTTAATTTAAGAAGCAATAAAAAAGTCGTCCCAAACGAAGCCTTAGTAGAGGACTCATTTGGAATATTGTTCATTCAAAGATGCTTTGGCACTTGGAGCTGTCTAAAAGATTGATATGTTAGTTACCAATACTTAATTCAGTTGGCCACCCGGGTGCTTTTTGTGTTTGGGCTATTCAGTTGCTGCCATATGCTGTAGTATATAAGAGGCCACAATTATATTCTTCTTCTATGACATTTTCACTAACTTGCATGCTAATTGAAGCATGGAAATTTTCAGAACTGGATTCAATGCTATCATTGTCATTTCGAGTAATCTTCTCTGACATTAGATTTTGTGATACTTTTTTAATTATCCAGCAAAGATTTGGAGCTGATTTTGAGGATATTTGCCTTGATTGTGAATTCTTGAAACCATGATTAGCCTTTTTTACATTTTTCATAAGAGTTTAATGGTGGTTACATTATATCTTTGCAGTTGAATTATTTTATCGATTCAATGTTGCATTGTACAATTATGTTTTATAAACTAACCATGGAATAAAAAAATCATCTTGCTTTATCTGTCATTTCTTTTCCTCAGACATTTCTATGGATTTTTTTGAATTTCTTTTGTGCATGAAGTGAATTCTAACTATCTTTATATTCAAATTGCTCCATCTTCCTGTTCCTGTATTATCTGTTTAAACACAATTGGTTGGGCCACCTTTAACTATGTGTCTCAAGCTATGAATATATTTTATTTGTGTTTATTTTCATTAGTTCGGCAAAGTTGTTGACTGTTCTCTCTCCAGTCTTTGTTTAAGCTGGTTGGTTTAGTGTGATATTAGTTGAGTGTTGATTTTTTATTGCCAAAACATGTCTAGATTTGTTAATTTATGTTGATTGTGGTATCCTCTACATGGATTAGCACTTGCTTTCACCTGCCATATTATAGCATTGTGCGCTTTAAAACTCGTGAACAGATTGCATCTACAGATGCAAAATTCTAGTTTATTTTGTTACGTCAGTAGCTGTTAACTTGCAAAGGGAATATCTTCTGATCTCTTATGATTTCATGCACTAAAGTTTGCCTGTCATCTGGGAGGAAGGTAAAATACCGTTTTTAATATGTAAATCACAGCTTTTAGCTGGTGGTTACTAATTTCATTTGATGGGCTTTATAATAATTCTGAAGGATGTGGCTGCTTTTTCTGTTATACTTAATTCATTAAGCTTTTTTTCATAAATGAATGCATTATTGTTTCATGGATGCTTGTTTAACAGGCAACTTCTATAGGATACGTAGTGCATTTGCATTTGGAGCCAAAAGGTTAGCTAGGTTACTAGATTGTCCAAAGGAGGATCTGATTGCTGAAGTCAATCAGTTCTTTATGAACACGTGGGAAAGGCATGGCACAGGTAATAGACCTGATGCCCCTTCCCTAACTAATCGTTCTTTGAGACCCTCAAAGAAAGTTTCAGCTGAGTCTAAAAATTCAGGTGTAACTGCAAGCCTGACCAAAAGTACTGGAAGTATTGGACCGCAGGTTGGTCTTGACCATCAGTCCAAAGGAAGCCTTGCTTTCCACCGTTCCGTTTCTCAGGTCCTTAACACGACTCCACAATCTCCAAATGCATACAGGACAAGCAATCCCTCCATGTTTTCTCGCGCTCCAGGCCATAAGGGCAATTCAAACCAAATTAATTCAAGAGACTCTGATCATCCGGAAAAAAATCTTCACTGTGGCAAGCCTGTTAAATCTGACAAGAATCAGAAAATTTTAAGACCCAATTATACCGACCTGGACGAACGGGTTAGTTTCCAATTCTCTAGGACGCAATCAAGTCCAGAATTAACAGAGACATCCGTAAATGCTCCATCGCGAATGAGGACTGGTAGGGTTGCAGAGGCAAGTAAAGCATTCAGTGAGCATTTAAGATCAGAATATGGAAGCAGAAGGAAAAACAATAATTCTGAAGTTTCAAGCATTCAAAGTGCAAGGTCTTCGGTTGATGATCCTTCATTTTTTAGGCCAAGTTCATCTCAGCAGAGCCTTGAGGCTGCTACTGATTCTAATAGTGTCTCAAATAGCTATCATGATGAGACTGGTTTCACCACTGTGGGGGAAGAACTTGCTTCTGTTTCTGATGCATTGGAGTTGCAGCAGCAGGAACAGCAGGACATGATCAATTTGATGGCATCTTCACGGGTTCATAATTTTATTGGGCAGGTCCAACTACCGATTCATTTTAGTTCTCCTCATCCTCCTCTTCCTCTTTCTCCTTATCTTGCTTCAATGGGTTATGCTCAGAGAAATTTGGTTACCTTGATTGACCCTTCCTGGGGATCTACTATGCAATTTCCTCAAGGTTTTGTTTCATCACAGTTTCCTCATTATTTTCCTAATGTTAATAACCTGAAGTCAAACTCAGATGAACTTGAGAGTGGCAATGAGATTCCTCATGTGAATGCTATGATTCCAGAGGATGGGGAACATGATGCATGGCATGGTCATGATGTTGGGTCAGGCAGAGGTTTTGAAACTGATAATGGAGGCCAGATGCCCCGCTTTGATGAAAGGCAACATTCTTCTCCAAGACGATTTAAATATGTTCCTTTATCAGCAACAAATAACTCAGTGTCAGGGCATAAAAAAATTGCGACAGAAAATAAAGTATCTAGAGATGATTATCCTAATGCTTTTCAACAAAAAAGCAGTGGAACAAATGACATTGACAATGATAGAAATGCAAAGATGAGGCATATTCCAGTGCTGCAGGTTAGCTCTGCTAGAGGTAATCTGTACTCTGAAACTTCAAGGGATGGAGCAAATGTGAAGCCTTCCATATTAACAAGGAACAAATGGGGAAGAAGCCCATCTACTGCAGTTACAAATTCCCTACGTGGGAAAGCAAAGAGTGAACGGCAATATGAAGTTGCATCAGAACCTGCTTCATCATCACATGAGGATGATGAAAGTGGAGGTTGGGCGTCTACATCAGCTGCAGCTGCCAATATGGAAGAGCGTGTCATATCATCAGCTCCTTTGATTCCCGTGCATTCTAGGAGCCAGCTATCTGGATATGAACAGGAACAGATAAGTGGTGCAGAATCGATGATCCCATTTGCACCAATGCTTGTTGGTGGTTCTCGACAGAAGTTGGCTGAAAATTCTGGGGTTATTCCATATACATTCTATCCTACAGGTCCACCAGTCCCATTCTTAACCATGGTTCCAGTATACAATTTTCCGGCTGATGGGGCAAATGCTGATGGTTCAACAAATCTGGTTGATAAGGATGATGAAGCGGAGCATCTTCATGCATCTTCGTCTGACCAGAACTTTGATTCTGTAGAGAACTATGATCAACTTGATGGTCTCATGAATTTGAGTACCTCAAAAGGTGCAACAGCCCCAGATTCATATGAAGAACACAAACCAGATATTCTCCACAGTGATTTTGCTAGCCATTGGCAAAATTTGCAATATGGAAGGTTCTGCCAGAACACCCGTAACCATGGACCATTAACCTATTCTCCTCCTGTAATGGTGCCTCCAGTTTATCTACAGGGTCATTTTCCCATGGATGGCCCTGGTAGACCACATTCAGCTAACATGAACTTTACACAGGTCATGGGATATGGTCCTCGATTGGTTCCAGTCGCTCCTCTACAGCCTGGTCCTAGCAGACCTTCTGGTGTTTTCCACCGATATGGGGATGAGTCACCAAGATATCGAAGTGGCACTGGAACTTACCTCCCAAATCTAGTAAGAATTTCCTCTCTTATACTGTTTATTTTAGTTCTTAGTGTTTACTTGTGATGTACAAAGTCTTCTATATGCTTAAATCTTGAAACATTCATATTTTGCTTACTGTCGAGCCCATGCATTTAGATGTTCAATTTGATGATTACTTTTACTTTGTAACCTTCCATGATTGCTTTACTTATTTTAAATAGAAACAATGCCCAGCGTGAATGCACCGGAAAAAAATGTTAATTTGAAGGGTTCGTGATGCCTAAATTGTAATATATTTGAGAATAAAACTCTGGGTTATATGTTAAGTGGTTGCTATTTAATGCAATACCGATGAAGGATTAATGGATTATCAAGGACCATTCTTTTAGAGTTGGTTACTATTCACCTGAGCAATATTTTATGAATAATGATCAAAATGATCTCTAGATTTTTTAGGTGCATTTGGTTTAGCCACAAAATTTTTATTGTGTCAAAGTTAATTCTCACTTGCCAAATCAATGCCTATTCACTCTAAATGCTCGAGTCAATGACTGTTCACCAAAACAATATTTATATGCATGAGCAAATGATCAAAATGATCCCTAGACTTTTTAGGTGTCTATTTTAGTCCCTAACTTTTTTAGATGCTAAATTTAATTCCTCCACTCACCAAATCCTAGCCAATTTGATCATAAACTCTACTATTCGGACAGAAATTTGTTGAGGGAAGCTTTTATGAGGATATAGCTCAAACTAATAGGATTGACCATAAAATGTCCATAGTGCCCTTATAGAAAGCATTCCTCCAATTTTCATCCAAAGAAGCATAAAAAAGGAACAGATCGATTCAAATATGGTGAGTTGAAGGATTAAATTGAATGTTTGGAATGTACCAGTGAAACTGGAAAAACAGTAAAATAACAGAGGAATAAAGCAGGCTTTGAGAGTAATTTTCTTCACCCTTTCTCATTAATTCAGCCACTATATATAGAGTTTATTACAAGAAGCTAGTTACATATATGTGTTGAGAAAGCTGCCACATGGAGAAGCCAAACGTTCTTGCTTACAACCCCCTTAAACTGATGATGGAGTCGGGGCAATCAGTTTGCTGGATAGTTGTTTAAAACGAAGAATAGGAAGAGGCATGGTAAATATGTCTGCAAGCTGATCATTTGTGCATATATGATGAACAGAGATATGTTTTGGCATTAATACAATGTCGAATGAAGTGGCAGTCAACCTCTATGTGTTTGGTTTGAGCATGAAATACTGGATTATTTGCGAAGGCATTGGCAAAAGTTTTATCACAATAAACAGTAGTAGGCTCGATTTGAGGAAGATGAAAATCCTCAATTAGTTGTCGTAGCCAAATTACTTCGGATGCAGCTGTCGCTAAGGCTTTATACTCAGCTTCGGTGGAAGATCTTGCAACAGTTGATTGCTTTTTAACTTGCCAAGAAATAAGATATTTGCCCAAAAATTGATCTAGTGTGGGGGATTCTGACTTTGGGCGATCAAGTCATTAAGAAGAGTACATGTTTTAGATATCTCGGATTTGTTGTTCAAAATGATGGTGAAATAGATCTTTGGATGGTTGAAATGGAGAAATTCAACAGGCTTGTTTTGTGATAGAAAAGTACGTCTCAAACTTGGAAATTTTATAAGATGATGGTGAGACCTACGGTGCTTCTTGGTGCAGAATGTTGACCATTAAAAAGAAGCATAAAATTAAGTGTTGCAAAGATGAGGATGCTTAAGTGGATGAGTGGCTTCACTCTTAGAGATAAAATGTGAAACAAGTATATATGTGAAATGGTTGAAGTAGGTTTAGTGGTAGATAAATTTTTTTAGAGTCGCCTTAGATGGTTTGGTAACATAAAATGTTGGCCTTCCGATGACCTGGTTATGAGAGTAGATTGGCCTATGTTAAGAAAGATAGAGGTAGATCTAAAAAGGCTTGATTAGAAGATATTAGAAATGACCTTTTTTTATTAGATTTAAATGAGAATTTAACTCTTAACAGGACACAATGAAGAACCACATAGTGGGATGATAAAGGCTTAATGTTGTTACATAACACAAGCGAGAAGTGGACAGGTTCAATATTTCTTTTATTTTTTTACACCTAACATGGGAGCTGCACTAGAGGTGCAAGATCGACATTCAAAGAAATCCATGCCTATGCCCATAACAACAGCTTTATATAGTTTAAAGATGGTCACATGTGATTCTTTTCGTTTGACAAATGCTAAACCAAAACTTCTAACGTGGGAAGCAAGCTCCATATCTGATTTATGCAGATTAAGAAACCTGTTGATATCATTAAGCTGCATGTTTCTCTGGAAATTTAATGATGATATTGTTTTCTCATGGATCTCATTTTTCTTACATCCTGCACTTTGAATATGTCTTATAATGCAATAATTGATAGAAAAACTCAATCTTTACACCACAAATTTACTAAAGTGGAATTTGGCATATAGCATCTTTGAGGTATCGAAACATTTGTGAACTCATTAATTTAGTTAACTCTGTCTATTCTTGATCCCTGTAGTTTTTTTGCTTACAGCTGATGGTATTTTGGTTAGAATACAATGATGATAAGCATACTGAGAGAAGTTGCTAAGAAATATATGATGATGTTTTCTCAAGCTTTCTAAAGTTGCCTTATGTATTGTACTCAATATTGATTGGCATAGCTTTAGATGATAGTGGCTATGATAATGTGATCATACTATGTATCACTAATGTGCGTCATACAATGCATATCTTAAGTGATCATGCTTCTTGATCATTTTTTTTATGTAGATTTGTATGTCTTTCATTGTGGGTACACCTTTTTTCTTCTCCCTATCTACATAGGAATGTAACAAAAAAAAGAGGTTGAAGATTCACCAATAAGATTAGTTGGAATGTTTAAGTAGAAAAATCTATTCAAAATGGTTTGCAAAGAAAAAGTTAATACCTCGGGCAGTGCTCATTATGGTTGAATGGAAATGAGGATTGTAAAGCCAAGCTCAATTAGTTTTTATAAGGATGATTTTGATGATAAAGGGGTAAGCCTTAGGTAACTATTGGATATAATTTATTTGAAAATTGAAATGATTTGCAAAGAATAGATTTGACACATCAGATAATACTCATTAGGAATGAATGAAAAATGAGAATTTATGAAACCAAATTCAAATAGCAGGGATAGGGATGATGATGATGATGATGTTAAAGGGGTAGGCCAAAGGTAACTTGATTAAGAATAGAAAAAATAAAAATTAACACTTTATTTAGAACTCTAGGGAAATGAATGGAGAAAGAAGATTCATAAGGCCTGCCGTAAATAGTTGGGATTAGGTTTGAGGGTAATGATTTATGGTTGATGCATTTAATTAGTGATGCCTATGACCTCCTAATTTCTTCAATGGCTAGGGATTTCACAGTTCTGGTGGCATAAATTTGAAGTTATATGCATGTGAAAATTTTCACTGAACATTTACACTTCTGTTAGCAATTTTGTTGTTTTTGATATTTGAAGAAACGAGCTTTCATAGTACTTACACGCAAGAATAATACTATCATGAGAAACATTTTTACTGTTCACCCGGCTTATAAATATCATATGACCGATATAAACCAACATTGAAGTCTACTGCTTTCTTGTTTACAATTCTCTTTTCATGATATGATGTTAAAACCCTTTGTGATGACTACAACTGATTTCTTGGTTGATCTCCAGAAGGCTTCTTTCAGAGAGAGACAATACTCAAATTCAAGAAATCACAGAGGCAGCTACAAGCATGACCGAGGTGATCAGGCAGACAGAGAAGGAAGTTGGATTAATGCGAAAGCACGATCCGCTGGTCGCGGTCATGCACGAAATCAGAATGAGAGGTCAAACTTCAGGTCTGATCGATTGGTTACACCGGATAATCGACAATGGGATTCATATAGGCATGAACAGTTCGCCCCTCATCAAGCGCAAAATATTTCTTTTAGGCCATCAAACTTGCAAAACAATTCTGCTAGCTTGCCATATGGCATTTATCCTCTACCCGGCGGAGGTTCCAATGGTGTTGGTTCTTCTGTCCCTTCTGTTGTGATGCTCTATCCATACGAGCAGGGCGTTGGTTATGGTCCATCTGCAGAATCCCTCGAGTTTGGATCATTTGGACCAGTGCATTTGTCCAATCATGAAGGTCCAAGACCCATTGATGGAAATCCAATAAAAAGAATACATGATCCAAGGCATAGTACTAATAGAGGAGGATCTCCAAGATCTTCACCAGACCAACCCTCTTCACCGCAAATACCACCAAGGTAGCAAGTACTTTCCTGTTTTCTTGTGCAGTGTTCCTGATTCAAGATCGTCTAAGGCTTCGTTTGTGACGGTTTTCTTACTGCTTTTTAAAACAATTTTTTAGTAAAAAATTAAAATTTTTGTATTAAAAAGCTGTTTTAAGAAGCAATTAAAAACCATTTCAAACAAAGCCTAAAATGGCTTTTGAAGTTGCAAAAAAGGACATTCTTTCTGTTTGGATTTGAATTTTGTGGTAGGTTACAAGTTGAAATGTTATATTTTCTAAACATGAAGGAAGTCTTGGAACATCTTGCAGATAAAAAGATAGGCTATACTAATTTAACATAAAAAGAGAACACCATTAAGTTATGAAACTTTGACCAAAAAAATGATATTGAAAGTTCCATTCTCTTTTGCTTTCCTGATAACTTTTTAGCTTGAAACGAAAGCTTCGTTTGGGACGGCTTTTTTACTGCTGCTTAAAACAATTTTCTAGTAGAAAAATTAAAATTTTTGTACTAAAACACTTTTTTAAGAAGCAGTAAGAAAGCCGTCCCAAACGAAACCGAAGTGTAAGTTGGCTAAATACAAGCCAAGATTAGTGAATGGGACTTGAATGTTATTTATATTAGTTTTATTTCTGCTTTCAAGTTGGTTATACTGACCCATTTCATATTTAAAGAACTTTATGGTTCATTATTTGTAATAATTAGAATCTATTCATCTTACAGGGAACTTTAAAATTACTGTTGAAGATCTTCGGACCGGTGGAATCAAATCATTGTGATAGCCGATCGATGGGCTTGTTTTGCACTTTGATCTTGTATATTTTTCTGTTGTAATTCTGCCTCTTGATTCAATTTCCATTGTACTGATTTTGTCATTGTGTACACTAGCTTCTAACCCTCCATTCCAGTTCTTCAGGGTAAAGGGTCGAAGGGAAGATGATGGCTCTTGCTTCTTTCTCCTTGGGTTTACTCTGCAACAGATATTAATTGGTTTAGGCCTCTTTTGTAGTTCCTTGTAAAGCTGTCCCTAAATAATTGGGATAAGGCTAATGGTGATGATGACGATGATGATGATGAGTAGTTCCTACTAGACTCTTTTTCTATCAGGTAAACTTCTACAGTCTTAGGACTTTGTTTTACAAATTAGATATTTAGCTCCTTAACTTCTAAATGAAACCTTTTTATAGTGTACTATATCCCAATATTTTGCATAGATAGGACTTTTTTTTCAATCATTTTATCTTTTTCTGATTAAATTATTCACTTATTTCTCCAGCTTTCTCATGCTATAATATTTTTTCAATTTTGTTTTGCCATAAAAGAAGTTTGGCTTCTTGATCACGGCTTATTATGCGTTGAAAGATCATTGAAAATTGCTTTGCTTCTATGTATATGTTTTTTTTTTTTTTGCCTTAATTAAAATTTTTAATGTATTGTAAATTCTGATAAGATTATAAAATTATTGTATGAGAAAAATATGATTTTTAGCGGATTGCGGGGTTATAAAATTTTTCTTATTATTAAGTCTTCGTTTGGGATAGTTTTTTTTTTTTTTTTAAATAATTTTTTAGTATAAAAATTTTTTTAATTAGAAATTAGTGTACTATAAATCTATTTTTAAAAAAACAGGAAGAAAGTTGTCTTAAATGAAGATTAAGGCTTCGTTTGGAACAGTTTTTTTATTGCTTTATAAAACGGAGTTTTAGTACAAAAATTAAAATTTTTGTACTATAATTCTGTTTTATAAAGCAATAAAAAAGCCGTCCCAAATGAAGTCTAAGGCTTTATTTGGGACAACTTTCTTAATGCTTCTAGTTATAAAGGTAAAAATTTTGTATTAGAAAGTTGATTTGAGAATTAGCAAGAAAGTTGTCCCAAGTTAAACCTAAGGCTTTGCTTGGGATAGTTTTTTAATGCTTTTTAAGGTTTTGTTTGAGACGGCTTTCTTACTGTTTTTAAAAGTAAATTTTTAGTAAAAAAATAAAATGTGCATTAGAAAGCTGTTTAAAGAAGTAGTAAGCTTAAGATTATCTTTTAGTTAAAAATAAATTTTAAATTATAAATTTTTTACTAACAAGTTTTAGGAAAATACAGAAAAGGCTTGATCTAAAACGAAGCCTAAAAAGTTAGGAAGTTTTAGAAAATGGCTTTTTTAAATATAACACGCAGTCAATGTGGTTGTTCTTTGTATTAAAGACTAAAGAAAAGAAATCGAGTTGATCACTGAATTTTTTAGAAAGATTAAAATGTTCTTATTGTATATACGGTATTAATTTGATCATTTGACTCTTTAAATATAAATTATATTAGTTTTTTAATGATAAATTTAGATCACTATTTAGTAGTGGTTTAATGAATTTTTAAATAATAAGGTGATTTTTTCTCTGATAAAGAGTTTGAGGGGCTATTTTGACTCTTATTTTGATTATAAAATGATTATTTTACTTCTAGTGTTATAAGTGTGCTTATGAATTTTGAGAATGCTATATATAAAATAAATTTATATTAATTTGATTTATAGAGAAAACTTGATATGATATCTTTTGATATTGAAAATATATGATTAAGAGTTTTAGATAACTCTTTATTGTTTTTTAAAATAAGTTTTTTAAATATAAATTTTTTAAGTTTTTAAGAAAATTTTGTACTTAAATATGTATTAAGAAAGTTGTATCAAATGAAGAGGTTTTGTTTGGGGTGCTTTATGTAAAATTATAATAAAAAGCTACTTAAATAAAAGGAAATCCATTACCAAGATGATAGCGCTAATAATAATCATTAATTAGATGTCGTATGTGTGTGTGATTATATTATATATACAGATAACCATATATATATATATATATATATATATATAGTTATATATAAATATTATATATATATATATATATATTTATATATATATATATATATTATATATGATGGAGCTGATAGAGTATTAGTCGCTATGGAGTTACAAAATTTCAATTGTGAAGGCTTACATTATGGACCATTCAATTATTTGTATTGATGGAGAGATAGTAAATTAAGGAAATAAATGTGTATAATCTCTATAAAGTTAAAGTATAATAATTAAATTGAGAAATTATTTTAGAATTTTGTATGGTAAAATGATATCATTGATGTCTAACAAGCTTATTTTATAAAATTATAATTAGGATTATAATGTTATTTGAATTTGAGTGTCAGTATAAAAGAAATTCGCTTCTAGTTATAGTGGTATAGTGGATAAATTAAAAATGGAAAATTAAGGAATAATTATATTAAAACTATAATTAGTGTCATTTTGTAAGATTTAATTATTAAAATAAATATTTGATCTAGGTATATAAATGTAGGTAGTTTATTCTGGGCATTTCTTAATATGAATTGAATAAAAAATTAAAATGTGGCATTATAATGCTAACCTCAAATATAATTGGAATTAGGACCACAACATTATCATCTAATTTTATTAATTAATTAATTTATCTATATAATGTTTTAATAATTCAATTACATTAAAATTAATTATTGAAGAAGCATCTAATTTTATGAAAGTGAATATTAGTGATTTTTTATATAATTTAAATATTTAGGTGTGATGTAAATAAATATAAAAATTTTAGATATTAATATGTAAATCTATAAATATTTTATGGTAAATATTTTAATTTATTTAATATAATATTTAAATTTATAAATTAATTTATTGAAAAGCCAACTCAAGTACTCAACTAGGTAGAGGCATAGTGGTAGTTAACATAAAAAAATTATATTTGCAAATTTACCATTGGCGCTACCAACTATAAAAGGCGGGCCGGCGATGCCCCGTGGCTTTCGATCTTAGCTTCGTTTCATGGTGAATTGGTTCTCTCGCTCCCGCTCAAATGTGTGCATGTAAAACCCTAGCCAGGTACCCTCTCTCCTCTGCTATGGCGAGGATAACCAGGACGAAGAGATTCAGGTCTCTTGCATTTCCTTTCCTGGGGTTTCATTTACGCTGGAACAACACTCCTTCGCCGCCCTATTTCTCCCACTCCGCCGCAGCCGCAGCTCCAGCTGTAAGGGATGAATCCTCAGATGATACCGTAGAGGAACTCCTCACGAAGGGAGATAGTATTCGGGGATTAATGAAGATGGAGCGAAGATCGGAACCCGAGGAAGCTCGTGGCCGATGGTTCCCTTATCTCGATCTTTGCAGGGTTGGATCGGCGTCGCTGACCAGCCGGGAGGTCATTAAAGCACTAGAACCGTACATCTTGGATGCGAGGAAGGAGAGGATTAAGAGAGTGGTCAATAATCGTAGCTATTCGGTCAGTTTGGTGGTGGAAGGACTTGCTGATTTCGGGAACGTCTCTGCAGCGTTCAGGTCGGCGGATGCGCTCGGGATTCAGTCGGTTCATGTCATTTCTAGTGATAACAGGAAAAGGTGCAGCCGTAACTGAGGTGAAAGAGAAGTGAATCCTTTTATTTATCGGCAATTGAAGACTTATAGTGGATTTTATGCTCTATCTACTCGTTCATGACTTGATTCTATCAATTATTCTTTGGATGAGCGTCTTATGATTTCCGTTGCATGATTGTCTTGCACTTTTTGATAATTCAAGTGTTTTAATTGTTCTTAAGAAGTTTTTTTAATGGTATTACGCCTTAACAGGTATAAAGACAATCGTCATGTCAGCATGGGCGCTGAGAAATGGTTGGACATTGAACTCTGGAAATCACCCAAAGAGTGCTTCCAGGCTTTGAGAATGCGTGGTTACCGCATTGCTGCTACGCATTTGGGAGATGATACGGTATCTACCACTTATATATTCAAAACTTTTTCCCCTTTTATGTTCGTATGTGCAATGCAGGCATGCTTGATTTCGTGCATATTTGCGCAAGCATGGTTTTTAGCATTGAGTACATTGACTACTAATAATGCATAGAAGTGTTTCTTTTTCCCGATCTATATGTGAGCATACCCTGTTTGTTGTTGTTTAAGTTGATAACCCTTGTTGTTTGACCATTTAGCAGTGTGAATGTTGGTTCTATATTCTTCTATGTATTCATTTCTATATTTACAGTGTAAATCCGTTTGAAACTCTAAAAAGAGAAGATCACAGCCATTTATATTTACTTTTAATGGAAACCTTTAAATGTGATTCGTTGATTCTAACCTTCCAATTGAAAAGAGTTGTGCATAAGCTCTAAAACTTTTCAAGGAAAAATATCATACACTCGAGAATAGTGTTTAACTTGGATCTACAATTTGCCTACATCTATAGGAGACAACAAACTCAATTTAAATATGGAGAAAAAAAAACACTTAGAACGTCTCTTAAGAGCTTCATACATATCAAAGCTATTCTATTAGAAGTTAGGGTAGTTACTTATGGGATGATTTTTTAGTTAGGATTGATGAAGTCTATCTAAAAAAGGTTTCATTTCTTAACATTAATGATCAACCACCATTGAAGATTTTTATGGTGACCTTTGTTCTAAACTTTTGCAGCAACCTCTATTTATAAGACTTTCATGGTGTGAAGTGAGCCATCATTTTCAACATTCTTCACCTTGGAGAGCTTCTTCCAAATATGATGCTGCCTTTAACGTGCATAGACTTGAGAGATGTTGATTATGTCCGAATAATATTGAAACTTAATCTCTGTAATGTTGATAAGCAAAGTCATTTTAATCACCTAATGTGATGATAGTTTTTCATGATGACATATGCAACCATTGTTAAAAATGACTGGTAGAGATGGTATTTTAATTCAAAAGCCAAATAATTGGAATGAGATCTTTTTATGCGGTTGGGAACCTCATTTTTTTATTTTATTTTTGTTGGAAACTAACTAGATATCATGAAAATTAACTTTGTTAACTTGAAATGAACAAGACCTGTGTGCTCCCTTGACCAGGAGTGCACCAATCGATGTTGGACACATTGTTGTGGGCCAAACTTGCACAGATTGAACAAATATTAATCTATGATTTACAAAATATAGGAGGCTTGAGTGTTTGCTTTTGAAACGAAGACAATTTTATCCACGTAAATGTTAGAAGAATAGTTTTTCATGCTGATATCAACCTCCAGTTTTGATAAGAATGACAAATGGAGATGTTATTTTAAATCTGAAACCAAATAATTGGAATGAGACCTGGTGTGTATTTATGATACAAAAGCCTCACTTTATATTGTTCTGTATAAAACGGGCCAGATATTATGCTACCCACTTCGTTGACATGAAAAGCCAAGGCAAAGATATATTTAATACATTTCAGATTGATAACCGATTATAATGAAAGTGTAAGAAGAAGGTTGATGTCTGGGTAGATAAAATCACTAATCACCTAGGCATGTCATTACCATTTATTTTTTAAAAAAACGTGTCATTTATAGTAATCTTTATCTCAACATGGGAAGCTTAATTACCATAAAGAACTTGAAATTTTCTTGTAATTGATACTATTTCTAACACTTTCATGTAGGTTTCCATATATGATTTAGATTGGTCGCTTCCAACTGCTGTTGTCATTGGAAATGAACATATGTAAGTATATTCAATAAAATTTTCCCTGCTTCCTTTTATATATATATATATATGAACATTGAAGTATAAAATGACGCCCTTCCGATCACCCAGTTAGGAGAGTAGATGTATTAGAATTGACTTATGTTAAGAAAAGTAGAAGTAGAGCTAAAAAAACTTGGCTAGAAAATAGTAGAAAACATTAGACTATATCAACCCCTTGATAACTGGTTGTTATGATGCTACTTTTGTAGGGGCATAAGCCATGAAGCTCTGCAACTAGCTGATTTGCGTTGTTGTATTCCTATGATAGGCATGGTGGACTCTTTTAATGTTTCTGTTGCCGCAGGCATTCTCATTCACCATGCAGTCCATGATAGGTTTTCTCGTCTGGTAAGCATTTCATTCACTTCTCAGGTTTCATCGTTAGGGTTTGTTTGGAACGGCTTTGTTATTGTTTCTTAAAATAATTTTTTAGTACAAAAATTAAAATTTTAATACTAAAAAACTATTTTAAAAAGCATTAATTAAGCCGTCCCAAATAAACCTTTAATCTGGGTTCTTGAATACAACTGTGTTTTCCTTGTATATATAAGCAATGGGGAAACAAAGAAATAATTTTTCTGTAGTAATACCTGATATTTCAGCAACGTTTTAAGGGGCAAAGGTACTTTTTTGGACGTGGTTTTCAATGGGATGATAAAAAGTGAAGTGATAATATCGTGTTCCAATTTGGTATCTTTTCTAAGGAGGTTTCATATCCTGAAACAGCAGGAAAGCTGGACTCAGCGCTAAGTGGTAAATTTAGATCTGGCATGAATCTCGATGCAAATCTTTATTGGAAACGTCTAAATTAAAATTCAGGATCATTCAACCTCCTATCTCAACAAGCTTGCTTATAGCCAAATTGAATATCTCAAGGACACGAACCCAATGACACCAAATTCATTCTGATCCGAGCCCAAATGTACCCAAATCAAAATATCAATGCATTCTTGGAAGCTTCAGAGCATTAATTGGATGTCCAAATGATATCCAATTATGATATGCATATAGTCGAATCGAGTGGTTCGACGAAACGAATTCAACGAGCCCAAGATCACCAATTATGACATCATTAAAGCACTCAAATGCTTAATAAACGCTCTATGATGAAGGGAATCCAATGGAATACTTCTAACATGCTCTTGATTTATCCATACTTAACAGCCATTCCACTCTCAAAAAATTATCAATAGCCCCTTCATTCTTCACATTATGGGAGGGGAGAAGAGAAAAAAGCTTATGGTCTCTCTTGCATTTTCCATCCAATGTTGCGACCGTCGGATTTTTTTCCCGGTCACCGTCGCGGCCGAACTTCCGCTCGTTCTCTGACTATCATCGGAAGTCTTCCCGAATGCTACCGACGTCAGATCTCCTCCGACCACCGTTACCTGCTGACTGAAAGTGTAATAAAAATCATGAAAGGAGAAAGTTCTAATCACAGTTTTTATTATGCAATCAATTTGACCATCGGATGCGAAATCATAGTATCGAAATTTATGATCTCAATTCTCATTTTCACTAACATATACACACTGTAAGCTTAACACCACCATTCTCAAAGATTGTGATTCTATTTCTGGTCTTAACTTTCAGGGCTATCACTGTGATCTCGCTACGGAAGAACTGCAGGTCCTTCTTGCAGAATTCTATTTGCGGCATCGAGATAGTTCAATGACCATAGTTCATGAGTATGCAAAGAGGAAGTTGGGAAACTGTTTGACCGAAGTTCCTCACTGAGTGACACAGTAAATCAGCTTAGCTGGGCATTTATTTTTTATTCATGCAGGTATGTGCTGTTTCTTATTATTTATATAATTTTCATATAAAGCAATTAAAACCCTTTTATATAGGAGGGGTCACATCCATACCCAAAAACTCATATACATTTACATATTTAAGACATAAATTTTTATATTTATATATAGAACATTCAAATCTTTAAATTACATAAAAATATTATTAGTATTAGCTTATCAAATATATATTTTCATGTATATATTTTAATATTATTTCAACACGAATTGCTATATAAATAAACAAAATTTTTAGATATTAGTGATATACATACATAAGAGTTTTGTGCTGTCTTTCCTCTACATTACTTGATTGGCATTTAACTCTCCTTTCTAATCTAAGTGATTTTGTTGAATTCAAGATGAAAAAAAAGGGTAAAATATCCTGATTAAAGAAAAGTTTCATTAGGGAAGATTCTGAAATTTTTAAATTTGCTTTGAGATGGGGAAATATAAAAATTAATTGATTATTCATATATCTTACTCATGTCAAAGCAAATCCAAAAATGTAAAAACTATCCTAACCCATTTTTTATTCATTAAGGTTTTCCATATAGATCCAGCCCCCGCCCTGATTTTTTTTTTCCCATAAAAAAATAAACATTTTAATTTAATTATTTTGCTCCCCTTCAATAAATGCAATTTATCAAAATTCTTAGAAAAAAAATTCTTCATTATTTCATACATAAAATTATGCATATTACAATCCTATTTTCCCCTCTATCAAAAGACAGGTTAATTCTGCCCCTAGATCTAGCAGGATAAATTATAAAGAAAAAAAAAAAAAAAAACATTGATTCAGATTCTTTGGTTTAGGCTTTGTTTGGTATAATTTTTTTTCTCTTTTTTTTAAGTAATTTTTTAGTATAAAAATTTTTTAAGCTAAAATTTTTTTATTAAAAATCCGGTTTACTGTACTAAACGAAGCCTTAGTTTCTTAATTTTAAGTCTTTATGATGACATAATATATCTTTCCATGGATTCTATTTTTTAACATTTCAAAAGCGTGGACCAGCTTTTGAATCCTACAATGCTACAACGTAGTTATCTTTTGTTAATCTACAAATATTCTTCAAAAAAAAAAAAAAATTGTACTGGTTTTTTATTTTTACTTTTTTATTTGTAGGATGAGATAAGAAACGCAACAGGCTGATTTCCTTATACCATGCCAGATATTCGTCTGGTTGACTGGTATTGAAGTCATGCACATCTCGGGTTTCATGTGCTGAGCCTTGGTGAACAGTGCTAACTTTTTAACATATTTTATTAACTTATATTTATGTTTACCGGATCTGACTTGTTTGTGCAATTACTCGGAAGTCATTGTATTTAGCTTCCTAAATTATTCGATCTGCAATAGTTTCAACGTAGTCAGCCATGCCACCCACTTAAAAAGCTTTCGAGGCCTGAACATGGCGGAAGAATAAGAGACCTGAGCCATATCGAAGAAGCTTTATTCTCTCCAGGTTCACCGCTTCACCTTTTCTACTTCCTACTGCTTCTCTACTTAATTAAGAAAATTCTGAAACAATGATTTTGTTTGGGGCAACTTTCTAAGAACATCTCCAACCGAACGCCAAATGAGCGTATGGTGTCGTTCGGTCACTCCATCCGAACGCCAAATCTTTCGCCATTTGCGGTTGAATAGTGCGACGCTAATATTGGCGTCGCACTATTCACCCACGCTATTTTGCTCTTTCAACCGGAAAAATGCGCGAAAGGGAGGAGTCGTTAACTTCGTAGAAGCACATAAAATGTCGTTCGATTGGAGCAGCATCACGACATTTTGAAGTTTTGCTATATTTTGCCGTGAAAAATAGAGTTTTCCGTTGGAGATGCCCTAACTGCTTTTTAAAGCAAATTTTTAGTATAAAACTGTTTTAAAAAGAAGTAAAAAAGTTGCCTCAAATAAATTCAATAGCTTGCTATGAATAGAAAAGGGAAAGAAAATTAAAAAAATACAACATCAATAATTATGATTTTGTAAATAATAATAATAATGAAAGAAATTTTTAGTTAGGGGCTAATTGAAGGAGGGATGCCCAAAGGGGTGACCTGAGAACAGAGGAATAAGCAGCAACGTAGACGTAGGTAGGCTTGTGCTTCTGTTCTTAGGCTTCACTCCTTTGAGGCCTACGCTCCTTTACATCTCTTCTCTTCTCTTCTTTAGTCATTTTAGGGTTTCTTCTTCAATGGTGTGATGGTGGGTGTGGTCTTCTTATAGCACACCGTTATGCCATAATGTTGACATATTGCCGACATACACCTTGGATTTCTCTCTTTAACATATAGTCGAAACGTGGCGCTGATATTTCACCTTTTTGTTATTAGTTTTTCATTTGTTTCTTCAGTGCTGGAAAAAGAAAATTTCAAATCTTTTTTTTTATGATTTAATAAATGAAACTTGTTTAGGGTAAAATTGAACCAAAGTTTTTTTTAAAAAAAAAATTAATTATATTTTTAAAGGCAATAGAGACATTGTTTAGCAGCTAACATGAGTTGGCTTTACTGGTGGGAAAATTTTTTATTTAGGTTCGTAATGGGAAAAACATTTTATTTGTCACCATCTATTTAGTTCATAATGAAGAGCTCGCGTGGGTTGGCTTGACACAATTTTAAATTTGTTTTTTATTTTGATTTAACCAAGTTCAGGTTAATTGTAAAATTAACTAATCTAAAGTCAATTATACAGAGTTTAAAACTGTTTTTTTTTTTTTTTTTTTTTGCTATTTTTTGTAATTTATCCAACTATATTTTAAATGCATTTTCATTTAACTTCAAATTAACATCAAGCTTGTTGATTTTCATCTCAAGGCATCAAAGAAATTAGTTAGAAATAAAAATTTACTTGATTAATATTTTTAAAATTAGTTGCTACCATCTGCACCTTTGGGAAATGGTCGTACTCAAAATTCGAAAGATTTTATGATTTTTTTAGTTATACATCAACAAAAAGAACTTAATTTATTTTTAATGAATTGTTTTTTTTTTTTTTGAATGGAGGAATATGAAAAATCTAAACTAATGGATTTACTTATAAAATTGTTTTAAATTGAATGCTCATTCTAAGTAAAAGTATATTTTATCTAAGTTGATAGATTTTATAGTGGATTCACCGCTGATTAAATAGTAAGATTTTAGGAGATTGATTGAAGAATAACCTTTTTATATTTTTAAATTATTTCAGATAAAAAGTTAAAAAGAAAAGGAAGTTTGATGGAAAATATGTTCTTTTCAATTGAATGTTATAGAGGTTTAACATTTTGCGATGCTTCATAATTTATATAATCACATGTTGTGAAAAATCTTATTTTTTCCAAGTTTGGTATTATCAGCTTTTTATTCTTACGATTATCGTTTAAAATTTTCATATTCCAATCACAGGTTTTAAATACATATTAAATAGTTTTTATATATTTCTTTATCTAATATTTCTATTTAATAAGTATATATACAAATTACATTAAAAATATTCTTAGAGTAAATTTTTTAAAATATTGAAGTATAAATTTATGATATACAAAAAATGAAAAGTTGAAAGCTGATGGGTAGCACCTACATGCATTTTAGCATTTGTTTTGTAGGGAATGATTATAATCTTTTTTTCTGAAACTGCAATTCATTTTTAATTTATGAAGTTACGTAAGCCTATAGGATACAACAAATAAAGGATGAAACAGAACAATGAACCCCAAAGTGATCAAACCATCTAAGGCGACTCTCCCTAACCTTATCTTCGAATAGCGTTACTCCAACCTTTTCAATTTATAGGAATTATTAATCCTAAAATTAAACAATAAAAAATAACACAATTAATATCAATAAAAAAAGATGCATTGATGGATTGCAGAGGTAGATAATCATCATGAGGTTCATTTGACCAAAACACAGAAATTGCTTGATGAAAATCACCGTGTGTCTCATGACATTCTAAATTTTCACATAGCTCCTTAAATTCCCACACATGCTTGAAATGATATAACATAAGAAGTTGCAGAATAGTTCCTCCACTGCTGAAAATAAAAAAAACAAAGCTATGGCAACAAGAAAATGATATCAAGTGCAAATGAAGATCAAAGAACTAATGAAGAGAGAAATAAAAAACAATCATAAAACTGAAATACAACTCTTTAGCAAGAAAAAATTGATAGTTTTAACTTCTGTTGCCATATTATGAAGAACACCCTATGTCATATTTACATCCGCAAGTACTCTGTACCGGTCTCAGTAACAGTTGAGAATACTCACTACTGAATTATGATTGTTTTTTTATAGTCCTGAAACCCAACAAATTTATTTTAGCTCAGAACACAATTTATTTCCTATTTAGTTTATATATCAAAGGCAATAAGATTTTAGGGTAATAGAAACTTGAATAGCTGCCCCATTATCAGTGCACAGAGCTTACATAATAACTTAATTACATACCATTGAAAGAAGGGATAGTGGTTCACTGTTAATGATTTTAGTACTATACATTGGACAGCCAAACTGTGACTTAGGCTTCATTTGAGACAACTTTCTTACTGCTTTCCGAAGCAGATTTTTAGCACAAAAATTTAAACTTTTGTACTAAAAATTGCTTTAAGAAGTAATAAAAAAGCCGTCCCAAACGAAGCCTAAGTTAACTCATCGGACCTGATCATGGCATGATCATACAATATATATATATACTTCATGCAGTCGAAGAAATAAAATATGTGCATAGATATCCTCTACACAACTGATCCAAACCTCTTGCAACCTTGTAATGAAAGCAAATCACCATTTTTACTTCTCGATTCATGGCCAGCCCCTAAGTTTAAGAAGATTCATAAAAGAATAATATGACAGGACTAGATTTTTCTTCGGTACCTAATGTGAAATTGTCAGCTTTGATTCCTTGAACCTTGGGATTTGATGAATCCTTCTATTCTTGCCTTAAGCTCCACATTGGGTATCAACATGTCTTGAGTCAGATGAGATCGGTTAAATGGATCGGTCTGCAATAACACAAGAATAAGTCTTACTAAAAGCTAGATCTTCATAACAACAATATAATAGATAATACTTACATTATCACTAAGAAGGTGTCTTTGGATTACAGGTCGATCAATTGTGACCTTTGATGATGGTAAAATTACTGGATCGTTCATCAGGGTGTACTGCAAGGAGAGAAAACATAAGCATGGATGATAATTTTGGAACGGTAAGAACAAAATTTTTAGCAGGCTGAAGCTCCTAAATATATAATATTATAAAAATGATCAAAATGATTCCTTGACACTTTATTAAAGGATCATTTTGATCTCTCGAGTCTTTAAAAAGGAACCACTTTAAGGAGTTGAGGAATCAAAATGATCATTTAATATAATTGAAGATTATTTTTTATAATAATCTGTATGTTGACTCTAACATTTTTTTTTTTAGTCAATATAAGTCCAAATCAAAAACCGTCTTCTCTATAGCATTTAAATTAGAGTATTTTAATTATATGATTTTTTTCGTGATTTTTAGGCACAGGTGAAAATCCTTTATAAATTGACAACTGTCATTATAAGTGGGAATATCGATGGATGTCTGTTTTGCAAACTGATTTCATCAATATTTCTAAAAAAGATTTATTTTATGAATATTTTTCTATAACTTTTAAATCACCAAAATGATTAATATTAATTTTATATTAAAAAATTAATTGAATTAAATATTTATATTAATATTATAAATATCTTATTCCACTTATATAATAATCTAAAAAGTCATTTCACTTAAAACGTTTTAACAAAGAGTAGGTAGATAGGAATTTGAGAGAAATTTGATGAGAAAATAGAACTTGGATTTTAAAAGTCGCGGAATGATTTTTGGTGGTAGTCTCTGTTGAGAAAATTGTTTGTCTCGCTGTAAGGAACCTTCACCATATTCTTATTTCAAAGATTTTATGTTTTTGATACTTTTTTTATCAAATTTGAATTTCTGTTATCTAAAAGTGACGATAATTTTGTATTGATAAAACTTTCACAGCATAACTTTTTTTTTATGTTATAGATATTGAGATTATGAACATTTTAAATATTTCTTTGAGATTTTTCACCAAGTGATTTAAAAATACAAGGATTTTTTCTTACTCAAAATTTTTTTTTGACGTCTAAAAATTGTGATCTAATTCAACTAAAACTTTGGAATGTTATTTTATGCAATATTTTTGGTAATTTGGTTAAATTTTGAAAATGTGAATTTTTGCTCCATTAAGATATTTTGGTACTTTTTGAATTAAGCTCAATTATGTTTTATTTACTGCAATGCATTGAAAATGAATGTAAAAATGTGATTAATTACTAGCTGGTTGCTATTACTATTGAAATACTTTGATAATAATGTGTGTAAAAGAAAAGTAAAAAAGGTTGACCAGTTGGTTGGAAACTGATTGACCTGTACGGGATGGTTGACCGACGGGTTTTCTTTTAAATACTGTGGTTTGGTGTTATTCTCTACTGATTCACGTGATACACTGATTGAGAGTCATAAGGAGATGATTGTGCCGACAGACAAAGAGTGATGAATATGTTTACTCAGCCAAAGATTACTGATACTAAAAAACATCGTGCAGCCATAATTCTTATTTGTCTAGTGTGACTATTGAAATGAATATTATCGAAGCATTGTTTATATTACTGTACGGATTTATTATTAACATTGTTAATGATTTATTGATGCAAAATATGATATATTCATTACGTCTATGATATACATGATATATTGAGCATATGATTAAAATATTGATTTAATATTGATGTAGAATAACTGGATAATATATGTACATTTCTATATGATTTTATTATATTGATTTGATTTCAACAGCCTTTACTAATGTTTTAATTTGATGCTTTATCTGAGTTATGTACTGATTGGCATTACGGATACGATGATTATTTTATAGAGTTTACACTCGTACTGATTTATTGTTTTATTGATTTTTATACCGTAGTATTTTACTATTTAAAGACTATACTACTATTGCATGTGAAATTTATTATTTTTGTACTGATTCAACGATCACATGAATGCTACTATTATGATTTGACTGTTGACATGCATATTGCTCATTTGTCATGCTTTGAACTCAGTTGTATGTGTTGGTGACCTACGGGGCTTTTTAACTCATTATATGTTGTTAAATGATTTCAGATCATAACAGAGAATTAGGAGTGTGAGGCTGGTCAAGATTCCTTCATGGTCATGTTCTTTTTATTTTATTTATTTTTGTTCTTAGGACAAAATAGCTATGATGTGATTATACATATTCAGAGTAGAATACATGATTTTTTGTAATGAATACAAATATATACGTTGATGTATTAAAATATAGAATATGTTTTTACTGTTTATTGTTGATATATGATATTAGATAGCTTTGATTGTTGTTTATTAAAAGATAAATGAACAATTCTTCAAAATTAGCTTCTAAGGCAGGCATCACAATTTTAATCTTTCATAAAGATTGAAGGCATCATTTTGATCATTTTCTCATATTATACTATAAGCTACTATGATGTGAAACCTCAAGAGGGGACAATATTAAATAGATTGGATGCTTATATAAACCAATAGATTAAGAAAATTTATAGTGGTACCACTAAAATTTAAAAACCCCGATTCATTGGAAAATCTTTAATACGAATTGTTCTTGTAGCGTACATCAATAGGCATAATAAGCATCCAACAATCTTCCCCCCATAAAAGAATCCTCTAAACCAGTCATCACACTCCTCAAATGAAGATGTGTGGCTATTGAGTGTCATGCACCAAGATCACGCTAAGCCATATGATTCTAAGGCGGTAGTTTTTGGATGTTTATGGGTGGAGAGACTTGCTATAGTTCTCTTAGTGGTGACTTACAGAGTTTGATAGTATGTTGTCCAAAGGCTAAGCTGCTCCAGAAGAATTTTACATTGGCCCAGTAGGTTTTAATAGGGGTGTCAATTTGGACCCGATCCGAAAACCCGATCCGAAAATTTCTGGTTTGGGTTGACCTGAAACTGAAGCGGGTTGGGTTCGGGTATAGAAAATCAACCTGTTTGCAAAACCGAGTCGGGTTCAGGTTAACCTGGAAACTCGGGAATGACCCGAACAACAACGAAGCCGAACATCAACGAGTGAACTCACGTCGTTGCTTCCGATCAAAATGTTGTAACTTCATATCCGATGAGAAGGGAAAATCGTCAAAGGAGCGATGTCGATCAGCCATCAAGAAGCCGAAGAAGCGACGCGTGCAATCTCTATACCTCCTGCGAAGCAACGAAGCCCAACAGCAACGGCGAAAAGAGAAGATGAAAGGCACTATTCGGGTCGGGTCGGGTTGACCCGAACCCGAAGTGGGTCGGGTTCGGGTCGAGAAAATTGACCCGTTTGCAAAAACGGGTCGGATTGACCCGAACCTGAATAGTGCCAAGTCAGTTTCGGGTTCGACCCGAACCTGACCCGTGACCCGAAATTGACACCCCTAGGTTTTAATGGTATGTCGTCATGCGGCTAAGCTATTAAGCAGGTTCTACATAAATTAATTTAGGCTTACGTTGGGTTTGGTGATTATAAGAAGGGGTTTTATGTGTATAAAAATTCAATCATTCTAAATAAATTTATAGCTGGATGTGCATTCCTTCTGTCTTCCTAGTTCGAGTAGGAATTTTAGTAAGAGGTCATCTCTTTCTACAAGTAGGAGGTTTGATCCTTCTTTATTTGGTGATGTTTTTTTTCCTTACACTTTATTTGTATTCTATTAAAAACTATCATAGGTTTACATGAGTGATTGATTCTAGTCGAGTTTGATATAATTTGAATTATTAGAGACTGTACGACTATAAAAGCAGATCCAACAAGTATATGGATATATCCTGCGTTGATGAAACAAAACTAGTATTAAAGAAAAACATTAAACAAAACTAGTAATAGGAGAAAACGAGAACCAAAGGTAAAGTACGAGCATAGAAAAGCTAGTATATGGTAAATAAAAGGCTACAAATGCGAACATGATTAGGAAATTTTCAAGATAATGGTAATTAGCATCATGCATTTATGAAGCCAATTAAGTGACAATAGATGCATATGAATCTCAAGGCAGCCAAATTCTCAAAGAGCTGTACTCAGGAAAAACAAAAGAAGACAGAAAGTGCTAGTTTGATCTGCAAATCAAGATGCTAGGAGTTATTTGACAGGCATGAGCGTACATCTAATTACCTGTGAATGCACATATGCAACAGCATTTACTAATAAAGAACAAGAGAACCCAGGCGTAAAAAAGACTTCAAGGTAGGGGTGCAAACGAGTCGAGTCGAGTTTGAGTCACTCCTAACTTGAGCTTGAGCTTGATTAATTAATCGAGTTCGAGCTCAAGCTTTATTCTACGAGTTCAAGCCGGCTAACGAGGTAATGAAAGAGAAAATAATTATGATTCAAAATATTATTATAATATAATGATAAAATGAATACAACAACAACATCAAGCATTTATCCCACTATTTGGGGTCGGCTACATTAAACTTTTTTCTCTGTTGTGCCATGTTAAAAGTTAAATTCTCATTTAAATATAATAAAGAAATGTCATTTCTAATATTTTTCTAACCAAGTCTTTGTAGGTCTACCTCTACCTTTCTTAACATAAGTCAAAACTAATACATCTACTTTCCTAACCAGGTCATTTGAAGGCTGTCGTTTTATGTGACCAAACCATCTAAGATGACTCTCTCTATTCTTATCTTCACTGGAGCTACTCCAACTTTTTTAGGAATTAAAAATAATAATAATAAAGAATCACTTAATATAAGATAATGAGATATATTGTTTAAACATCTTTTACAATGTTGTACTTAAAATTCAGAATGCTAATATATTTTAAATACATTTTAAATTAATATTTTTTAAACGACCCAGCTAACGAATTGAGTCAGGCCTGACTCAAGCTTGACTTGTTAGGCCATCAAGCTTGGCTCACGAGCAATTATCGAGCCGAGCCTGAGCCGCGGCTCGTGAGTCGGCTTGACTCACTTACACCCTACTTCAAGGTTACGAAAGAGCAGCAGAAACACGCTGAAATATCACAAACAAAACATTCAGCAGTACGAATCACAAACAAAAGATTCAACAGTAAGAATCAAAAAAGGTATCCTTCAAGCATCAGCTATAAATCAAATACCTAAAAAAACCTCATAATCCCCCAACAACCCCAAAATCCCCACAAATGCATTCCCTTAAAGACCAGAAAAGCACACCCGTGCAAAGTTTCACTCCCTTAATCACTTTGAACAAATACCGAAATAAAATCACCAAGTAATTATCAAGTCAAACAGAAAAAATTTAAAGTGAGATTTACATACATACCATCTAATACTATTCCATTTACATATTTAACACCTAAAACTTTAATATTACATACAACCACCCATAGTTCATTCTCAGATCAAATAGGAGTGGTAGAAATGAAATATATGAGTGGTAGAAAATAAATAAAAGTGGTATATTTAAAATTAAAATAATATAGGATGGTATGCATGTAATATTAAAATTTTGGATGTTAGATATATAAATAGATGTTATAAAGTGGTATGTATGTAAATTTCCCAAATTTAAAAGCAGCCAACACTCACGCTTCCCCGTACCACCCCCACCCCCTCCCTAACCCAATTTAACTTCGCAAATCATTCCATGCTTCTTCAAGTTACTAACAATCACCCGTGAATTTTTTGCATACATAATGCATATTTCAACATTTTCTCTAACAAACAGAAGCGGAGAAACGAACTAGAAGGAGATTCTCAAACCTATATAGCTTCAGTTCCATTGTTTGGAAAGAGTTTGTGAATAAAGAAAACTGTTACCTGAATAGGGTCAAGGAATTCTTCTGGTATGTCACCAAGGGCCGCCTCAGCATCCATTGCTTCAGAAGCAGCAGCTTTAGCTTTCTCACCAAGATGAACAAATTCCTTGATAACTTTGCTGTCTTCCCCAATTTTCCACAAAATATCAGCAGCGGCAGTAAACAACTGGAACCAAAAAAAAAAAAACAGTCAGATTATGAGAAAGCTAGGCCTATTCACCATATTAGAAGCTAAAAATAAGTAGAAGTTTGCAACTAAGTCTTCGTTTGGGACGGCTTTCTTCATGCTTCTTAAAGCGGTTTTCTAATATAAAATCAATTTTTTTAATAGAAAGCTGCTTTAAGAAGCAGGAAGAAAGTCGTCCCAAACGAAGCCTAAGATACATACATTTCCATTGTATGCTCGCCCATCCATCGATAATGCAGCTGGAAACACATTTTCGTGGTCTCCTCTTGCAATGTGAACATAAATCTCAGCAATCTTGAGAAGAAAATGGTATAGTAAGTTGAGGGGGGAAAAATGAAATTCAAGTCCAAAAAAATATGTTGGGACTGAAATCACTGAATGAAGTATGATAGAGATTCTCCAACAAGGATCCTCAAAATACTAACTTGCTTTAGAAGCTGCTTTGGTCTGAACTCATATTTTTCTGGATCTTTTACAATAAGAGACTTCCTCTTAGGTCCAACAAGTTGTAACAGAAAATAATTTAGCATACTAGCCACTCTTTCCACCTGTAATTAGTTGAGACTTCCAATCACCAACGAGAATAAGGAAAGGCATTTCATCAAAAGACCCACGAGGCAATGTTTCAAGTCTTAACCAATTAAAAAAGCAAAAATATTACATGGAAACAGAAAATACAAATACTAAAAATGTATTATCATGTAAATTAATTCGTACTATTACAATTTACCGATATTCTAGTGTCCCTTTAGAATGAATTGTAATTTTTTTTTTTTTTTTTGCTTTGGTGACAATTTTTTTTTTTTTTTTTTTTTTTTGCTTTGGTGACAAGCAATTCAAAATCCATTATTTTAAAAACATGTAAATGTTCATCAAATGTCTATATTGGTTTTATGAGCACATGATGCAGTACAAATCAAATAATTTAGTCCAAAGAAAATAAAATTTTCATAGAACAACCAAAGAGACTCAAATCAGGATACAAAGAAGTTGAACTGGAGTAATTTTCAGGCCTTTTGGAATCATCTTTGATTGTTGTTTAAATTTATCATATTTTCATATTAGATTTATTTTATTTGATTGAATTATCCTTTTGGACAAAATTACGTTGACCTTAAATATTTTGTTAGAATTAAATTTAATTTCATATCTTTGTAACTCTATTTCTATCAATAGTGGTTTAAGGTTTGGATTACGATTATTAACTTCTGATATCCAATGAAAGAAATTATTTGTGAGGCCAATTGAACATTCTCTAGATCCAATTTGCAGGTAGATCACTCCAAAGAGAACATTTACCATTTCTGGAAGAAGGAAAGGAGATGGAATTTGTTCGGACGTGAACGCAAGCATTCCCACATCTTCATTTGCCAGCTTCATGTCGAAGCGAATAATCTGGAAGTGTCAGCATGCCCATACATATCAAAATGTGGCCTATCAGTTACAATTATCCCTACAAAATGAATATAAAATAAACATAGAGACCTTTAATAAAAAAAGGTATGACTCACATTTTCTTGAGAATGGAATTGACGCATTCTTTCTTCCCTTTCTTGAGCTGGTCTCCTTTCCCATTCAATAGAATTGGACATTTCTGCTTCTATTTCTTTAAGTTCAAGAATTTTGTTTAAACTCTCATCTAGAAGATAGATACTATCATTGATAAGAAAGTTCAAAAAATTCAGGTAGACACCCTTCTCTTCTTCTTTAGCTATCTGTGTCAATAAACAGATGCAATGAACATGAACTCCATGTAAGAAGGTCCAAGTAGAAACTCAAGACAATGGAATACAGGCAGTGAACCGGCAACCCAAGAAGACTACTCACCTTCCTCCACGCATTGCGATGGCTAGGGACATTCCATAAATACTCTAATAGCTCAGCAATGTTATGGCGAATTCTAAATTTATCAAAGAACTGCATAAGATTGTAATGCAACCACTAAATCAAAATCATATGAAGTCTTTTTGAAACTGCGCAACCCTAGGAAGAAACACTGAGTACATGCAACATATAAAACATACAAAAACAATACTGCGTGTAATCTACCTGATTATGAGAACCAGTAAACTCAATATCTACATACACTTTTAGGAGATTCCTGAGTAGATAATCAAGAGATAACGTGTGTCCTTCGAAAAGCGAAGCTGTGGAAGAAACCCCACTGGAAGACAAATTAAAAAAAAAAAATTAAGGTTGTGCTCATGTCAGTAGACGAGGTTAATAAAAAAAAAAGTAGCAATTTGGCACTCAATTAATTTAGGACAAACAAGTAAATATACCTTCGTTGTGGCATCCAGCAATTCAGCACTTCGACCATCTTTGCTCTCAGATATGGATTTTTTACATAAGATGGACTAGCCATGAACATGATTATAAAGTTTAAGAAGTCCTCCTGGAAGCACCGTATTTCAATAGTTCAAAAAAAAAATAGACATTCATGAAAATTGTGTTCCCTTATCATGAAACCAAAGAACGCACTAAATAAACATCTCTAGAAGAAACATACCAGCAAAAACCCATCAAGGGCTTTTGGAATTCGAGAAGTTAAGACGAGTAAATCCATAGCATCTTCAATGAAATGTTCTGGCATGCATGCAAATACCATTGGACACTCTCTTGGCAGAGGCATTTTGAAGCCACCAACAAGACTAACCAACCATATGACCACTAACCTATTGAAAGATAGTGCTTGCTGAAGTAGAGCTCCGTCCTTCAACAAAAGAGGTATTAGTTAGAGCATGTTGCTCAACTAGACCATCGAAGAGAATTTCTAAATTAAATACGTGAAAATAATGTTCACAATTAACTTCTAGATTTAGGATAATATTGAAAAATTAAATAAAGCAATCATGCAATAAAGCTCGCACCACAATCATTAGATGCATGTTTCAGTTAATTGAAGAACAAAAATCTTCATTTCTAAATGCAAATATTTATATATGTTGAGCAAAAGGAAATTTATCATGAGATCTAATAAAAATCTGGACGGTGAACATTTTAATTGATACCCCATACTAAGTAGGTGAACCAAAAGGTTATATTTCTCGTGACCATGTAACGTAGCTAAATCAAAAACTACGACCACTGATGAGGGTGGTGTGGGCCACTCCTTTATAGTGATGAGCACCTCACCAACAGTAATCAGCAACGCACACGATGGAATAACAAGGGGTCGGCACAAGAGTCACTCAAAATGTAAAGGAAAAGGAAGAGGGAGAGGCGTATTTTGCAAATTACCTTGATATTAAAAAAAAAAAACTACCTATGATATTTCTATAATTACAAGAATGCTAAGGTTTTAATTGCTAATATGAATGTTAGAAGTTATGTTTGTATAAAAAACTCTAAATTTAATAGTTTTTATTTTAATTTCTCGAGGAATGAATGACATTTCTGTACATATATTAATACTACTTAAAATCTCTATCAATCATTGAAATTAAAAAAATGTATTGTGACCAACTTAATACTTTATTTAATGCAAGCATCATCAAGGCAATAAAAGTACTTGGTGAAATTCACTATGTATTCATATAGTGATGCTCTTGCTTTATTTTGTTGAATTTTAAGGTAGAGGCTTAGGCATGCATCACTTGTTACTACGCATACAAATGAATGTTTATAACTCTATGTTAATAACTTGGATAAATGATGTTGAAAATATCACATTAAAGCTGGAAGTCCTGTCTTGCTAAATCATACATTGATGCATGCATATATTGATAGCACTGATGACATTGACAGATACATTAATATCATTAACAATATTTAGATGCATTAATAATACATAAACAGATAATGCATATTAATAGATAAGATAGATTCCTATAATAATTTATTAATAATTTTTGCACCGTTATTTTACCGATTTATTGAATTTTATACCAATAATTAATCTTTAGATTCATTGTAATGAATCCTTGGTTTTATTATTAATCTTTTTGAATTTTATTGATAATATTTGGTCATTAACTATATTGACTATTATTGATTATATTAGACTAAGCATATCATATTGATTATTTAGTCATTGTATTAAAAGCTTTAGTGAGTTTTGAATTACTGCTGAGCTTTTGAGCTCATTATATAGATTTTTAATAATTTCAAGTGAAAATCCGAAATGATTTCCACATTAATTATGCTTGGAAATACCAAGGGTTCAAGTGCATTTAATGTTGGAAAATTAAGGGTCACAAAAGAAGATTAAAGGGCATTTGAATGCAAGATTTGAATGGGTGGAGCCAAGGGAAGGGGGGCGAGGTGTGGATTTCGGTGGGGAAGGGGAGGGTTGTGGGGAAGGAGTTGACGTATAATGAAGGGGATGGGGTTGCTGGTTAGGAGGTGGTGGTGGAGTTTTGATGCAAGCAAAAATATAGGGAGACCCCAATTTTTACAAGAATATTACAAGATTTCTTAGGCTATAAGGAAATACATAAAATACTAAAAATTAGACAAAACATAACATTTAAAAAAAACAATTTTGATGGAAATAAAACGATGCTTACAACTTTAAATAGAAAGACACAACATAACTTTGACATTTTGAAATGACACTTACAAACTTATGAAATAAAAACAAACACCTAAACTTGCTTTTCATCCATGAAGAAGAAAGATACAAATGGCATTGAACTTGCGGAGAGAAGAAAGAGGTAAGAGGCCGAGATGAAGGAGGAGCAGCTCGCAAGCTTTCCTAGAAGAGGAGTAGAAGAAGTGGACAAAGCTCTCAAGCTTTTCCAAAAAACCTCTCAGGTTTTTATTCCAAAAATCATAATTTTTCAGCTCCTTTTTTTTATGCCAAAACACCTCCATTTTTATAGGCAAAAGAAGGCAGCTAAACAGCCCCTAAAAGTATTAATTAAACCTATTAAATTATGGGAACTAGAAGGCCAAAAGACACCCAATGAAAGGCCAAAAGTCTCCAAAAACTACAGTAGGAATTCTGCACAGAAAACAGAGATGCAGCCATTGAAATCTCCACTCAACAGCCACCAAACAGCCTATCAGATTTAGGGAAATAAAAGGCCAACAGTCACAACACAGCAGCCTCTAAACGGTTCAGCAAAACAGAGAAAAGATGCCACGGGAACCAAGCAGAAAAAGCCACGGAACCGAGCAGCCAGCCACGGGAATCCAAGGGGCAAGGCACGGGGACCAATCAGCAGCCGTGGGAACCAAAGGGCAAGGCACGGGAGAATCAGCCAGCACAGGAAAACGAAAAGACAAAGGGGAGGAAAAGGGGCAAAGTCCACTACAGAATAAATTCAAGACTTAATAGCAAACATTTTTAGATTAATGAGCTAGGAAGAACAATTAATCCCCAATCATTGAGCTAAAACTTTAGCTCAAGCATTTATGAGCTAACACCAAGTAGAATTTCAGCATTTTGAGCTCAAAACCAAGAAACCAAGTTTCACCAGAGAACACCAGAAGCCCAAGGGTCAAAAAAAATCTTCCTCTTGTTTTGACCCCCCCCCCTGCATACATCAGACTCCCCTACTTGAAAAACTCATCTCCCGATGAGTTGTCTTTTGATTTGATCCGAGGAGACGATGGGAGTGCATCTAACTCTTGAATCTTAGCCTCGAATTTCTTCAGGATTTCTTCTTTTTCTTTCTCAAATTGATCTTGAAGATATTTCTTCCTTTTCTCGTATTTCTCATCACATAAGAACATGTGATATTGAAGTTTGTACAATTCGTTTTGAAGCGGATCTGTTGGAATCCATCTGTCCATCGAAAGAGGGACTTCAGGATCGTTTGGCTTGCATTCATTTTTTACTGAATCGTTCTTTTTGTCTTTTTCCATTTTTTTGATAAAAACTCAAAAAGAAATTTAGACTCAAAGAAAGAAAGCTCAACTTAAAGAAACCTAGACTTTCATGACACACACAACAACTCTACAATGCCCTCACGTAGAGACTTCAAACCATGAGCCCGGACACTTCCTGAGGCTGGTGGGTATTTCGTTGCCCTCACGTAGGGACTTCAAACCACGAGCCCGGACACTTCCCTCACATAGGGATCTCACCAAAATTATCCCCAAAGAATAAGAGTGCGTAAAATTTTTTTTATTAATAATCCATCATCATAATACATTAACATGAGCCTCTATATATAGGCCTCAAAAACAAAAGAAATTCAAAAGACAAACATATGCCCCTAAGGCTTACATAGGACTACTCCCTCAAGTAGGGGTGCAAGTGAGCCGAGCCAGCTCGCGAGCCGGATCGAGCCAAACTCGTTTATGGGCTCGAATAAATATTAATATTTGTTAAATAACTTAATTTTATTTTTTTAATTTAAATATTTAAAAAAATAAATAAAACCAACCTAAGCTTTATTTAAATGATAAACATTTCATAATTTTTTTTATAAATTTTGACTAAATTTTAAAAATTTCACTTAAATTTTAAATCCCGCCTAATTTTTAAAAATCCCGTCTAAATTTAAAAAATTCCTGCCCATGGCTCACGAGCCCACTCGCGATCCGGCTCAAGCTCGTTTACAGTTAGACGAGCTCGAGCTCGCTAGTCGAGTTCGACTCGAGCTCGAGTTTGAGCTAGCTTTCCATCTAACGAGCCGAGCTAAATGAGGGAAAAAACTCGACTCGACTCGACTCGTTTACACCCCTACCCTCCAATGAGGGTAAAAAGGGAGAAATGCATAAATAAATAAAAAATACAAATAATAACTTAAAATAAAATGGTGTGATCTGGACTGTCAATTTTGGTCTCCTCCTCTGATATGCTTTCATGGTTGGATGTCCGCATCACCATATTTTATGGCTTTCATATACACCTACTTGTGATATGACCTAGGATTATTTGATTATTCTATTGTGATGATATGATTTTAGAATGGCATGGATTTTGCCATAAAAAATCAACATCAATCAAGCACACAAGCTTGAAAAAACATAAATATTTTATTCATGAAAAAATTATCTAATACATGAATCAATTTTTGTACTTATAATCATCTAATTTCCATATCAAAATCGACAATTTCAAAAGCCCCAATTGCAGCTTAAAACTCACCAAGAAGTTTCATGTGGATTAGGTAACAGATCAACAAGAGTTGAATTCCAATATATGCATGGATTCACTCCAAGATAAGCATGAGATGAGAATCTAGACTAACGATGGGAAATAATAGTAGAAATAATCACAAATAATTCCAAACAATTAGGATCGCATGAATACTTAACACAGGAGACAAAAAGACTCAAATGTGTTATATTACCAAAAATAAAAACAACCCACGTAATAAAAAATAAGTCGATATGAAACTTATCTATAAGAACATAAACTAAACAACAATATATATAAACTAACCAATTAAGCTGAACCAAATCAAAGGAGACCCAACCCAATGAAATAATAATAATAAAGAACACAACCCATTCTCATAAGTGACATTATCATAAGCATGTTTCATACAAATACAAAATAAAATCAAAACAATGAAAAAAGAAAAATACAAAATAAAAATCAGTTAACCAATTTGCTCGTCTAACACAATATTTGCATTTTTGCCAATTCTCCGTTAGATATTATCCATTTCACAAAGAGTCATATTTGTAAATGATAATTAGTCTTAAAAACATAGCTAGAAATGAATAACATACAGAGCTAAATAGGAGGTAAGTAAAACCCTCATAAGTAACTCGGTCAATAAACTATGTAAAAAGCTTTATAAAAAGCTGAAGCCAATGAATTAAAAATGATCTTTGCAGCATTATATCAAGAATAATATAAAAATAATTTAAGAAAACAGAATATAAATCTAACTCACTCGCAATATTTGGGCTTCATAACAGAACTTTTCCTGTGATAACTTCTCAACTGCTTTCTCCAAGCGACTTATATCGTTCTCAAGTTGTGGACTAGCTCCTTGTTCTCTCATTTCTCTAAATGTAGAGAGATCCTCTTCAAACCTTGCCAGCTCCTACAGAATATTTTATAAAGTAAAAAGATGTTAACGGCTGAAGCCCCAACTTCCCAGATTCTAAAAAATCTATAAAAGAACAGTTATGCATAACCTCCAATAAAGCTATTAATTTATAGTGTTATATATACTGCTCTGTATCCAGTAGTTTCATATTCCAAGTTCGGAATACAAATAACAATCAAGTAATGGGTTCAGGATACTTATTTTTAAAAAAAAACTTTATTCTTACAATCTTACCTTTCTAAACTTCTATTAAAGGTAAGAAATCCTAAAGGTAGTGTTTGGTAGACATTTTTTCGACTACATTTCTCATAAGTCAGGATAACTTTAAAGTAATATAGCCTCAAAATGAAATAATGAATAGAAAATAGAGAATACCTGAACTATACGTTTGAAGTCCGATAGTGCCTTCATCAGTCCCAAATTAAGAACTCTTGCAGTCATAAAGAAACACTCACAAATAAAAGAGTATTTATTCTTTCCAGTAGAACTCTTTGTTACGTTGGTGCTTGGAGAGGCATAGCTTCCACTACTATTGCCAGAGGTTGACGCTTCAAAGGATTGCAACACACGGTTCTCCCCTTTTTCTTCCTCTTCAATCCTCTTGAGATTTTCCATGAATGAAACAACCTCTTCAGATGATGCATGTATAGCTGTCAATTGTCTATGGTAAAGTTTGATGCTAATCATTAGAAAGGATAGCAAAATTTGACTGAACAAATAATATGGTAAAAATTCACAAGGCACATACCTCAAATCTACACGATTATTGAAGAACACATATTTTGGATCAATTTTGTCTCTCTTTGATGCATTTGCATCCAAAAAAGGTTCAGAGAGTCGAAGCATGACTGCACTTAGATTGACAAATGAACCAGAACTAGCACAAGACAATGGATTAACCTGAGTCAAGATCAAGTAAATAGCAGAAGTGTTTGGATTAGAAAGCAAAACTTCGAGCATCCAATGGTTCTGACTGACAATAATGTATTTTCCAAGTTACCTGCATACCAGACCTAGCTGAATTTTTCACAATCATGGCTGCAATATAATCGAGAACTTTATCTCGTGTGTCAATATTTTTAAGGAGGGTAAGGATTACTTCTCCTAGACCATCATAAAGAATATTCATAACAGTTCTAATTGTTGTGAAAGATGATGAAAGATCAGCTGGCCGACGAGTTGATGATTCAGAGAAGCATTGTTGTCTGTGAGATATAGATTAATCAACAAATCAGGATAATGTTCTATAAGTACATTCCTATTTACATGATACAGCCGAATGAACATATTTCAAGTGACTTTATATCCAAAACAATACTTTCAAACTATATACCAAATTAAGAAGCTGTACCTGCTAGGTAGGACGCACATGAAATAAAACATAAAAATTATTCACTATGATGTTAAAAGAAGATGAAAGCTGCAAACAGGCACTCATCTGTCACCAGAAACTTTAATTTGAAATTAATCTAATCCCTGCATCTACTTGATATACATGGCAAAGATTAGGCAACACAAGTGTGAGAATGTACAAAAGAACACACGGCAACCACCAAATGGTTCTTCAAAAATACAAACACTCAGGTAATACAACAACTTTTGGCAATGGGATTTGGCTAGCCATCATGCATGCAAACTTAGAAAAGATTTCAAAAAGCTTTAAACCATTATAATGTTTTACACAAACCTTTAATCCTAAAAAGCAAAACAACAAAATTGTAGAGATCAATTTTGTTCAATTTTGGGGCCTTTAAATATCCAGATAATGGTGCACGCTGTAGCAATATTTGTTGTAAACCTTCCTAGTTCATCAAAGATCTTGGATCAAGAACCAAAAAAGCCCCCAAATGGATAGCAGATTAAAGGTCAAAGTGCAGGAAACACCATGCGATAATAGAGAAAGCGAAGTGAGTAGCTATAAACAATAGTTGTAATTAGAAATGTTGATTATAATATATATCAAATATATGAGCTATAATTAATCAGAATATTCTCTCAAATATAGCTAATTGAACTTTATTTTAGATTAGCTGATTATTGTAATTCAGGATGAAATGGATATAAATAAAAAGTGATTGGCTAAAAAGAACAGCAACGATAAATTTCCAGCATCCATATTTCTATTCCGTTCTTTCATAAAACTTTTATGTTTCAATTATGAAGCTAGAGCCTCTAAAAGCACTCAATTGGGTTGTGAGAACCAACCAATGATGCTTTTGCTATAATTTTTTATATATGTATTTATCTTTCCTTCTTTCCCTAAAACTTTATTTTTCCGTTCAGGAGCAAAAGCTGCTCAAAGCATGTAACTAGGTTCAAAAATACAAACATAGGAAAATTATCTTTGTAGTCCTATTTCGAACCATTTTTATTATTTATATCCATCTCATCCAAAATTATAAAAATCACTTGATCTGAAATGAATTAAGTTAGTTCTATTGTAGGAAATATACTAACTAATTATAGCTTATATATTTAATATCTATCAAGAAAATTATTAACTAAAGTAATTATTTACAGCTACTTACTCCTTCCCCTATTACCTCCTAATGTTTCCCACCTTTACTTTGAGTTGTAATTTAACACCTATTTGGAGCGAATCCTTGTTACACAACTTTCTGACCAATTAAGAAGGTTCACAACAATATCAATCTAAGTATCTTCATTATTCAAAAGAATGAAAAGAACTTGATAGCAAGGCCATATTACTCGATGCTCAAAAGTTATTACACATGCCATCACAATATGTGAATTTATACTGAAAAGAAACCAGAAAAATGACATTTCAGGTTGATAGAATGGTACAAACAAAGACCCGTTCACTATAATCAGAGGCGGAACATGCCACAAACAAAGACCCGTTCACTATAATCAGAGGCGGAACAGGCATGTTCCGCCCCCTATGCCTGCCGCCCCATCCAAGTGGGATCCACTAGCTTAATTAAGAAAAAATTAAGGGAGTTTTAGGAGGGAAAATTCAAATAGAAGGGGCAATTTTGATTTACCTAAGGATTGTATGTTTAAGTAGGTTTTGGTGGCTAGGGTGAGATTTTTATCCTGATTTTTGATGCAGTTTGTTGTTATTGTTTCTAGTGAGGGCTCTAGCGGCATCTAAAGAGTGGGGAGAACCGGATCTTCCTCTCCAATTGAAGATCCAATTATATCTTGCTTTAGTTTATTCTTTTTCATCAAATATAGTTGTTGTGCTCGTGATTTCTCTATCTTTTCCTCCAAATCGGCTTGCAAGGGGGATGTTTTTTCCTGAATTCAAAAGTGGTGCATAGCTATGTTATTTCTTGGTATTTCCTAACACAGGTTTATCCAAATTCATCCCAAGAGAAAAAAAGAAAAACCCGCATCTTATTTTGACAGTTTGAACTATCAAGAGTGGTGCATAGCTATGTTATTAAAGAGGAGCCAAGCACTCTACTCAATGCATAGAAAAATGGATATAAAGCCATAACAACTAGCATATCTCACGGCAGGGAACATTACTAAGGTATCATGCAGTAAACTATCTTAAGTTAGAACACCAAATAGTAAGGTGGTGCGGGTGCCTTACCAGTTACCATCAATTGAGAGATAGACGCTAATATTTCAAGTGTGGACGATGAGTTCACTTTTTATTGCATTTTGAATAGGGGGACGTGAAAATTGCATTAGGAGTTAGAGAAATTATGATAAACATTAAAAAAAGAACTAGAAAAAATGTAGGTGTAAGAGTTCACAATTATAGAGTAATAAATCTTGAGAATGGAATGGATGAACCTGAGGACATAAAGAAAGAGATGAAGAGCTAAAAAACCCACGAGTAAAGAGAGCATGTATTATTATAATGATGAATAAATATTAGCAAAACTTGCATAATCCTTAAGATACCCATGATGCAAACTTAAGCAGCTTAACCACAAGTTATTTAAATATACAGCTGAACTACTTTGCTTGACGCAATCTATTTAGCAAAATTTAAGACTATAAATGAAATGAAATTAAAAAATTATTACTTCTCTACAACAGTTAGACGTGAGCCTTTTCGTTTGCACTATTAAAAATGATTGAAATAGGATTATCAAAGTAAACTAATGCTTTTAGTGCTTTACTTGGGCGGGGTCTAGAATGGGCCTATGGCCTCAAGTGTTAGGCAGCCATATTGAGTTAAGGTCACCTAGCAATTTTGGTATGCGGTGTAGAGGCATAACAGAAATATTTGGAACTATTAGCAGCTCATGTACGGTTGCAAGCATACAAAATGTTGCCAATCAGTAAATATAGCAGATAAAACTTCACTAACCCAACGTCCGGTGTGCTCTTAAAATCTTTGTAATCAGGCAAGGCACTGACATGAAGGAAAGCCCCTAATATGCTCTTGAACTCCATAACCCTTCCATCTCCCATAAAGAAGTATGACTGGTTTGGTATCCAATTCGGATGATTTACCAGAGCCTTAGCGCATTCGGGATACCTAACAAGAAGCTGCAAAGCCCTTAGCGGCTGTTGAAAGTTACCAAGAGCCGATACTCTCTCCACGGTTGCCCTCAGCAACTCATACACCTCGTTCATAACTGGTCCCAAGCTCTCGGCATCCCCTTCGCTGAAGAACTCATCCAAAAATCCAGGAGGACAACTGATCCCTGATCCCAAGCTATTGACGCCATCCATGGGAGAAGCCACCTCCGAAAATATCAAATCAAGCAGTTCGGATGCCGCGGGCTTCCCAGCAGCGAACATATCCGGATTGCCGACATGAATACGGCAGTATGAGACGAATAATCTCTTTGCTTGCTTGATAGCCGACTCGATCTCGGATCGAACGGAGGGATCCTTCATTGATGCTACCTTTCGGATCTCGTCCCCCGCGCGGCGAAAGCAGCCAACAAGGTAGAAGAAAGGAGTATCGGCTGCCGGGAAATCGCCGGAGAGGCGATCGATGAGGACGCGTTCCATGGTCTCGCGGGAAAGGAGAAGGGGTTTGCCTTCGCTGAGGATCTCGGCGGCCGTCATCTCGAGGTAAGCAATCTTAGGTTCGTTTTGGGTGGGTCGGGAGAGGGAGACAAGGAAGATCTTGCGGAGGATGATGTCCTCAATCTCTGCAAGGGATCGCTGAGGCTTCGCGGTCGACATTGCAGCGAGACGAGGGAAGCCGCGGAGACGACCACACCAAAACTAGTAAAGCTCCAGGGCATATAGCATAGAGCATTTGGTTTCCCTCTATCTATATATATAGCATAGAGCATCTGGTCCCTATATATGTATATATCGAACTTGTAAAATCTCACTCCAACCTCAAAACAAAAAACTTAATTTAAATCTTGTTTTTTTTCTTTTTTTTCTTTTTTTATTGTTACTATTAAATCTTCACTATCTAACTTTTAAACCGGTTTTTAACATATTTGTGACAACTCAATTTTTTAACTATCAATATATTATCCGTTTATGCCTAAGAACCTCACAGTTCTATTATGTTCGCATAACTTCTCAATAGGTCACTAATCTCATAATTATTCGAGATGAACACACTTTACTGTGAAGCTTCTTAATGAAATTCCAACAATTACGCATTCATGACAAACATTTTTCATAAAGCTTCTAAAAATACAATGAAGCTTCAAATAAATCTCAATTTCTATATAATCCCCAGCTGAACTTCTACTTCTTAGATAAGTTCTTAGTCTCGACCTTAAAAAGTTAATAATAGTCTAAAGACAGACTAATCTTTACCTTCAATTCGAGATACTCATAACATTTGCATAAAAATCCTTATATTGATATAAAGATACATGATCCATTTACCCTCACTACCACATTTTCAATACACATAAAATAAACTCAACTAAGTCCCCATAAAAATCTTTATACTCTTTTTCCTTTAAATTTTCATATTTCCACATATAATTTAGACATTAAAGCTTGCTCAACGCAACCAAATCATCAATGTTACTTTCATCAACTCAATCATTTAGAATTCTACATTTGTCATTCCTCTAAACCATTTCTTCTTCATTAAAAAAAAAATTCTTATTAACAAAGAATGTGGAATATTTTCTCTTCTCTATTTTGTAAAATTATTTTTCATTTGTTTATATTGATATTAATGTTATGTACATTGAACATGCATTACTTATGCACCTTCACATGCATTTTTCTATATATGAACATGCTTTTTTTGGTGAAGCTCTATGCACTTCATGAATTTATTTATACATATCAAAATAGGCATTCATGTTCTTTTTAAAGATTTTTAATATTTTATGATTTTGAGAGATGACCCCAATGCTTATGCAAGAGAAGAATAGCAATTAAAGTCAAAATTTATGCAATGCATTATCTTCATTTTTAATTATAGCAATATTTGTAGTTATTATTTGGCTGACATCACCACTTTCAATTCTATCCAAATTTAATAGCAAACAAAAACAATCCTTAGCTGTTTATTTGCCTATTTTGCATGTAATACAATTGTTCTTACAAATTAGTTTATTAAACAGCTTATTCTTAGGCTTAATTTAGGACAAGTTACTTTAAGAAAAAAAAGCTTTCTTGCTGCTTCTTAAAGTATACTTTTAGTACAAAAATTAAAAAGTTGCTTTAAGAAGCAGTAAGAAAGCTGTACCCTTTTTTACTGATTTCTAAAATAGCTTTTTAGTACAAAAAAATTTTAATTCAATAAATTTTTATGCTAAAAATATACTTTAAGAAGCAGCAAGAAAGCTGTCCCAAATAAAGCTTAAGACTTCATTTGGAATAGCTTTCTTACCATTTCTTAAAGTAACTTGTCCTAAATTAAGCCTAAGAATAAGCTGTTTAATAAACTAATTTGTAAGAACAATTGTATTACATGCAAAATAGGCAAATAAACAGCTAAGGATTGTTTTTGTTTGCTATTAAATTTGGATAGAATTGAAAGTGGTGATGTCAGCCAAATAATAACTACAAATATTGCTATAATTAAAAATGAAGATAATGCATTGCATAAATTTCTTAAAAATTAGTTTATTAAACATCTTATTCTTAGGCTTAATTTAGGACCATTTTTTTACTTATTAAAAAGCTTTCTTGCTGCTTCTTAAAGTATACTTTTAGTACAAAAATTAAAAAGTTGCTTTAAGAAGCAGTAAGAAAGCTGTACCCTTTTTTACTGATTTCTAAAATAGCTTTTTAGTACAAAAAAATTTTAATTCAATAAATTTTTATGCTAAAAATATACTTTATAAAAAAAAACTATATCAAACAAAACTTTAATCTTATTTTAAAAAAAGTTAATACAAATTGTACCAAGATATCAAATTTTCATCAAAAGTGCTTCAAAATTTCTCGAGGCATTTAAATGCCATATATAATAAAAGTAAAAACTATATGACTTTAATCTCTGAAATAAATTGGAAAATAATAAAAAGGCTTGTTATTAAATACGTAAAAAAGTAATAAGTTGTTAATATATTTACATATAATAATAAAATAAATATGATAGAAAAAATGACAAATATCAAAATTTTAAACCCAGACCCATCAAAATCTTCACCCAATTTTTAAAAGCTATTGAGGGAGAAAAATATTACAAAATACAAATTACACTATTATTGTCTAAGGCTTCATTTGAAATGGCTTTCTAATTGCTTCTTGAAGCAACTTTTTAGTAAAATTTTTGTACTAAAAAGCTGCTTTAAGAAGCAGTAAGAAAGCTGTCCCAAACGAAACCTAAATCAAATCAATCATAAGAATGCTTCCACTCTTTAAAAGCTTATAAAAATGAGTATTTGTGTAGAGAACTATTCTGTTCAATTTCTGCAACCACTATGCCTTCAGCTTCCAAAGCCAACAAAAAATTTTCAGAAGGAAGATTACTGAGGTAGCAGATAACCGATTTTAATGACATAGAAGAAAGTAATACTGTGAACTGCTTGAGAAAAAACATAAATATATTCATTATTACTTTTATACTGCATTAGCTGGACCAAAGAAGAGCTCCAAACAGAAGGATTGGCCACATATGAATTTACCCTTATTGCCAACTTTGTCCAGATCTCGAACTGAAAACTGCAAAAGAATAATAAATGGATTGAGGAAGAAATACAAAAGAGGTATTCACATATTTGCAATGCTATTGAAGTTAATAATTATCACTCATTGTTAATAATGACCACTTATGCATCTCTTAAGCAATATTTTAACTGATTCTTTACAAAAATTTCTTCAGCCAATCTGTTCAAATTTATATTAATGATATAATTATTGCAGGTGTTAATGAATTTTAACTATCAGCAAGAGATTAAGGTTTCATTTGGGATGACTTTTTACTATTTCTTAAAGCAACTTTCTAATTCAAAAATTAAAAATTTTGAACAAAAAGCTGCTTTAAGAAGTAGTCAGAAACCCGTCCCAAACGAAGCCTAAATCTCAAGATTTAATTCTAAGAAGCTATCACTTAACTGAGCTAAATACATGATATTTACATTAAATATCTCTAAACAAATCTTACATTAATGGAAACTCTATAATGATAATATTCTTTTTTGGGTGATTTACATATATATCATTTTATTTCATGCTATTTACATATCTAACACTCAAAACTTTAATATTACATTTATACCACTCATATACAATTTTAATATCAAATATATCACTCATACATTTCATTCTTGCCACTCATAACACCCTATAAACTTTAATATTTCATTCCATGCACCCATATTTGTTCTATGGGTGGTAAATATGTAATATTAAAATTTTAAGTGTTAGATATGTAAATAACATGAAATATAGCGGTATGTATGTAAATCTCCCCTTTTTTTTCCTTATCTCTAGGTATATATATTCTCTCAATTAGATATCAACACATCGAAGGCGCAAATTTGATCAAGATCATACCTGCATCAAGCTGCCTTTAATGAAAGCTGTATTAAAGCACACGTAAAAAAGGCGACTACCAATCAACTTTTCATAGAAAATGACTCTCACATCTCCTGACACCTATAAAAAATAGCATAAATATTATCAGAGAATGAAAGTTTATAGTTGCATAACAAACAAATCAGCTAAAAAACATACTTTTAAAGGGCTTTCAAAGTAGTAATCGATGCATTTCTTCTGGTAAAAAGCGGATCTTTCAGTATCCATCTGCATCACAACACGAGGAGACACGTGTTCAGTTTGATCTGTATCATTGCCATCATCAACATAGGAGAGGTAATAGCGAGGACTGGGGTTTCTGTGATATCCTTGTTTTACTTCTCTGCAACAACCTTTTGCAACTTCTATTGAAGGACGGTAGAGTTGGTTGGGAACCTGCTTAAAAGAATAACAATCCATAAGAGGAAAATAATTTAATAGAGCACAACACATTCTTTTAAGAACAGGAGATTTGACAATTGATAAAAAAGGATTAATAAGTGATGAAAAAAACAGGCTTCTTCGCATAGATTAAGGCTTCATTTGGGACCGCTTTCCTACCGCTTCTTAAAGCAGCTTTTCTAGTATAAAATTTTTAATTTTTTACTAAAAACTGCTTTAAGAAGCAGTAAGAAAGCCGCCCCAAACCAAGCCAGAGAAAGCCAGTGAGAAGTGAAAAGAAGATAATCAAATATGAATACATGTATTTTCAGGTATTGGAAGATACAATGCAGGATCTTGACTAGAAAAAAAAAACTTTCCAAAATCTAATAACGTCATCAATTTTTATCGCACAGCACCTAAATCATCATATAGGCAAAATAAAGTAATCGATTTCACCAAAATCATTAAATAAATTATTCCCTCAGGAAGTCGAACATTTTATTCAATTAAAGGCAAAGAAAGATGAGTAGAATGTGAAGCTCTTATGCAATTATGCCAAGAAAAACCTCGGAGTAAAATGGTTGGTGGAGAAGGATTATCTTAGGATATAAAAGAGTAATCACAATAAATTAATTGACATCAAAATAACTCTATGAGTATATGCTAAATACAAGCAAATTCCATGCAACCCAGATATTATTCATATAAAACAAAAGAAGATATTCATTTGGTACGTGAAAAGAGTAGCATAGAATTTTGGATAAGCTTACTCACATCTTGCATTTCCATGACAACAAAGAACACAGAGTTAATGTTGATGGTGTCATATAGGCGAATTCGGCGCAATTCTCTGGTAACTGTTTCAGGCAAATTAACAGTGGGAGGTCCACGAAGCTTATCTTTGTGGAATGACAGCACCTGAGACCAGTACCTCACATAACGCCTTTGACTTGGTATTGAAACCTGGCATAAGGAGAGCAATTCAAATTTGTTTCACCCAGTTTAAAATAGGGAAATAAACTATGTAATAACAAATGAATATAGAGCAGAGAACCAACATTGATACAGCACATGGACAAGGAAAGCAATTCAAATTGTAATTTTCAAAAAACTGAATATATATATACACCATATAACATCCTAACTAAGAAGTTTTCATAATAGATAATCTATTGTTTATATAAAAATATTTGGAAAACACAGGTATCAGATGCCTTGGTTAGAGACCGGCAGGAATTTTTTATGGATCTAGATGTTGAAACAAAGAATTAATAGTTATATAAGTACTTGAGAATGTGGCAAAATGACAAAGATATGCAAAATTCTTAGATTTATAATGAACAAAAAGATTTAAATTTGAACAGAGCTATAATAACAAAAATGTATTTTTCAGATTGACTCAGATTTTCCAAAAGGCATAAAATCCATTTTCTAAAATTATATATAGAGGTCGATAGAGCCAACCCTATAAAGGCTAACATCAATTATGATACATTAAGATCAACAGAAAGTTTCTCCAAAAATACATATCATTTTTGAAAAATCACGCTTGAAGCATAATATCCTAACCAATTGCCAACCCCTATCACTATATGGAGAAGAGGAGAAATTTTGAATATACTTTAGAACATAAACTACAATATTGACACACCCAGTCAACCTGATAAACATTTTGATATATGAATGACAACATCATCATCTCAACATTTTGCATTGATAAAATTTGTCACTGAAAGCTCGGGGAGGTTTTAAGACCTCATTGAACTGTCCCTAGGCACACAAGGGGGTGGTGAATTGGTACTCAAAAAAAAAAAATACTACAACAACTACTCTACTTTTTTGTTTTATGCAAGATAACAGCTTAAAAGAAATCTAGATGAGTAACTAACACAAGCAAAAGCAATTAAAACTTGATAATAATTTTATTTTTTTATTTAATTTTGAAGCACAAATAAATCAAGCAGAATATGAAGTTACTTGCTAACACAAATTAAACTACATGCAGCTTGCAATGAGAATTAAAATTCGTGCAGAAAATTTAAAGTACAGAAACTAAAAATGCTGAAAAGAGAAAATCTCAAAATTAGAAAGAGCACACCATAAATTTTATAGTGATTCGGTCAATCTTAACCTAGTCTACTCCCGGAGTCCTCTTCTCCAAAAATTGCACTAACACTATAGTGACTTTTCTTTTACCCCCACAACAAAGCGGAGAAGCCCTTATAAAAATCACTTTCACTAAACCCAGTACTGCAGAGAACCGAAAGCTATGTCACCCTCTTAGTGAAGGCAAAGTACCCACAAAATCTTTCTCACCCTCCTGGTGATGGCAGAGAACCTTAAATACTTTCTCACCCTCCCGGTGATGATAGAGAACCCACAACCTTGACTTTGAAGCTTCTCTCGCAAGAGAATCTCCAAGAACTCACCAAGGCCACTGGAGGAAGCAATGTGCAAGTTTGCCTGGAGCAAACGTGTGAACACCCCTCACACTCCCCCCTCACGCACAACCTCACATTCTCCCTCTCTAAGCCCAAAATAAAAATTTATGAAAAGGATTAACATCGTACAGTATGCTTAGTTTAAATATCAAGAGCTCGTACAATACGATAGACATCGTATTATACGATTAGTTCAAAAATCAAGATCTTCGTCCAATACGATCTTTGGGACGATCAGATTTCGTCTATGTCAATCGTACGATACGATTTTAATTGTACAATACGATTAGCCATATTTATTAAACCTTGGCTTAATTAACAAATTACGGAGGATAATTTAAGTAAGATTTCAAATATCATACAGTACGATTAGGATCGTACAATACAATTAATTCAAAATATGATTTAAAAATATTTACTTAAATTATCTTGCAACTATGGTTTACAGATCGAAACAAATCATACAGTACGATCTATATCGTACAATACGATTAATTCATTCGCATTAATGACACAATTAGCCGTTAATCTTATTTTATTGTATAACTAATCGTACAATACGATCATAATCATATTGTACTATTAGTTCAAAAAATTTCAGCTCAATTTTTCTCTCCCTTGTGTGTGTGCACGATCGCCAATTTAGCATACACCTTTACATGGCTAGACTCAAGAAATATAAAAAATAAATAAAAATAAAAACTACAAACTCTTTTGAAAGATATCATATTCTACCCAACTTGAGTCTTGATCAATCTTGAAAGGTATATGATGTACCTGAAATATTATTACACACAGAGAAACAATATCCAATATATATGCTAGGAGATATAAAAATTTCAAACAATAATGTTTATTATTATCAAAATCATAAGTTAGGAATCCTGGATTGAAACAATCACTTTGGCAACTAGTTTTCTCTAATAGCTGACATCACGGGCACAACACATGATAATAGCTTTATTCCCATAATCACTCATAAGCAAACCTGTAAATGGTAAAGAATATTCATGCCATGATCCAATTCAACTGCCTTAATCAATCAAACGTACCAGAGTATCTGTGACATTATATTGCAGCTATATATCATGCAACTAAGTCAATAGAAGCCATTATCGTGCTTTCTTCGATAACAAATTCAGTGAGAGATAAAATAACTTAGTAAAAAGTAACCCTAGTTATAATGAATTATTTGTTACAGCATCAGAGAAAAATATTTCACGTCTAACTGCATACGTGCTTGCTTAAAATATATGCCATTGAGATGTCAACATTTTCACGACTACAAGACAGAAGAAAATTAAAGGGAGCTTTTCATATGTATGCAGAAAACAAAAGAACTGGCAAAACCTAAAGAAAATACGTTTTGAAGCTTGCTCCTAAATGGCTATAAACGTAAGGTTTCTATCAAAACAATCATCAGACATGGTGCATTGGAATTGCTATGAGACAAATGTTATCTTTCCGAAATAGAAAATTCTTTAGTGAAATGAAACAGCACGGAAGAAGAAGAAGAGCAATATCAAGTTTGGTGAGGAAAACAACTTTAACTGCACAAGAAATAAGCTTAAAAATCAATTATCAGTGGCTATTATTCAATAACATTATAGAAGAATTTAACTTACCCCTTCATTGTTAGTAGTCCTTCTATGAGCATACAACTGAAGTGCTTCATCTACAGTCATCCCGCTATAAACAAGATAAGCACAAACCATTAAGCCAGTCCGACCTTTGCCAGCCTACAAATACAAACACAAATAAGTTCTGTAAGTAAAACTAAATTGTATGTCAAATAATCTAGAAAGGTCTTCCACAGCCTTAAACGAAATCTTGTGACATTTGAGGAAAAATGATTTGAAACTTGAAAGTAGAAAAAGATATGATAGTGAAAAATATATGATGAGGACATCACTCAGAGATTCCGACATGTGTACTGGCGAATAAATCGTAGATCGACGGCTATGATTCAAAGTCTTTACTTTTAATACATTTTATTTCATTATTCAGTTTTTCCGAGTTTACCCCTGTGGGGAGTGTTTTCTTATTGTAGCCTTAAGGGCATTTGTGTACTTTGCTTCTATTTGTGTTGGAGGCCTATATATAGTGGCCTTATGCTTTGTAAAAGTTTGATGAATGATTAATGAAATTTTCTTTACTTCTTCTTCTTCTTGCATGAGAGCTAGAGAGAATGGAGAGTGAGCTCGAGGTGAGCAAGTGCAAGGCCCACCAGTCGTTGGAAGAGTCCACGGCTCGTGGTTAGTTCAATCTGATCTTATTTGTGTTTTCTTCCATCTCCTTTTCCCCACTCCATCCGCCGCTCCTTCCTACCTCTCCGTCACTTATTGCTTAACCTCATTCACGCAATTCCTCCACAAGCTCCACCGCCGGCCTAACCCCAAATTTTCCCCAACCGAATTCCCATATCCCACCACCATGCCGCCGACCCCATTGTCCATTCACCATTAATAATGGTTAATATCATCATTGCCACCTACCCAAAATAGCCTCCCTTGATTTAGGAAGAGAACTCCTCAATTTGAAATTCAAATTTTGAATTTCAAGTTCTTTCCTAATTTGTCAAAGCCATATTTGGAAAGTTTTAAACTCATTCAATTTAATTTTAAATTGAATCAGATTTAATTTTCCTCTTCCCTATTAAGAAGATTTAATTTAGAAGTTTTTTAAATCCCCACCAATCTCCCCTTCTCCCCTACATGCCGTTGGCCCCATGATGAGCTTCTCCCATTAAATTTTCATTTAAACCCCTAAGCCCTATTTGAAATTTGAATTTAATTTCAAAACATTTCCCTCAAAATCCACTTAAACTGAAATTAATTTCAGTTTATCAATTTCCCCTCACCCTCTCTCAAACCCTAGCCTCCTCCCCTCTTCCTCAAGCCGCCCCCTTCCTCCTCTCTCCCCTACCCAAGCCACCGGCCTCCATCCCCACCTCCCTCTTCTCTCTTTCTTCTCCCTACTTGTACTCTCTCCTCTCTCATGTCAATGGTGCATGGCCGATCCTGAGGTCAACCACGGCTTCGCTTACAACACCTTAGGGGAAATCGATATCCTCTGCTCCCCCTTCTACGAGCCAGACTGGGAATACGACGAATCGGTGGAAGACTACGTCAACCGTATTCTCTACTGCTTGGCGGAGACGATCGACCTTCAAAAGCCCAAGACGCCGTGGCTTCTTATTGGGAGATCCACTCCTTCTCCGCCCTTGGCTACTTCTCCAACGGATAAGACCTTACGCTTCACTTGTCTTGTGGCAACGTCACTCGGTTTGCTTCTTCCATTTCTCTACTAAACCCACTACAATAAAGAGAGAAGGAACTCAAGGTGAAACATCTTGATTTTGTACCATGGATTTTTGTTTCATCGTCATTAGCTTATCTATTACTTTTGCTAAATCGCTTGCAAGTACTTTGCTAATCTCCGTTGTAATTGCTTACTTTACTTAATCTTATAAGGATAAATTCTCAAATCATCTCTTGGTAAAGCATAAGTTTTCCACTAGCAAAGTGAAGTTCAATTGTTATTAATTTCCTAACAAATCCTTGTGCCCGTGTATGTTTCACATCAATATAACTTAAATGACTTGAGCATATGCAATGAAGGCTAGAATATTTAATAGTAAAACAGATACATAAAATTGATATCAAAGAATTATGAAGAAAAACGATAGACTAAAAGTAACTTATATTTAAGTTTTTCAAACAAAAAAAAAAATCATAAAATAGAATTAAGACCTCACGTAATATTGATTTGAACAAATGGAGCAGGTTTCATAAACAGACCCTAAGTTGCCTGATAAGGTTGACGATGATAATCCAATTAACTTATTATTAATGATCATTATTATTATTAAATGCAAGGAAGATAAAATTTATTTTCAGGGCAACACTATGAATTGTACGACTACTACAAATAACTCAGTTTTTTGTTATCTAAACTAATCTCAGATTTAAGGTTAGCTTAACAAAAAAAAAAAAAAAAAGGTTAGCTTAACCAATCCCTAAAAGAATTTGTCCCAAACTTGTCCAAAGTATAGGGTAGAAGCGCCCATCTACAAGATACACATAATAGTATATTATAAGAACTTATAGTGTTGAGTAAGAGCACTTCAAAATAATATAAGACTAGAATCGGGAAATTTTGAAGTTCCTCTGAGTTTAATTTGGAGTGAGCCCTTAAGAACACCGAAGTGACTCACTCTTAGCCCCTCAAGTTTTCTTCTAGATATGGTAATAGATAACCCTTCCAAATCAAAACGAAGAAAACAAAGCTTTGCTATATAAAAAAATAATAGCGTACCATACAATGGACGACAACAATATTCTCTGGATCATTTGAGAGCCATGAATATATACTTTCACAAAAAAGCTTGATCATTGCCAGAGGAGGAACATGGTTGTCATCAAATGGATAAACCTCCACGCGTCCATGAAAATGTGCCGGATCATAGTTTTCTTCAATGCATAGGTTGTAAACCTGAAGATAAGGAAACCAAGAATATAAAATAAAAGAAACAGTTTGTCTTGAAGATAAAATGTAAAACAAACAAAATGAATAAGATAAGATCCGCTACACTATTAATAGCAGATAGAGGAAGAAAAACATCCACATTTGTGAAGTCAAACCTTCATCAATCATAATGGTAATACTTATGTACATCTTATAAGCCCTTGCAACTTGTAATTGATGAAACAGTTAAGGTTCTGGAAACTTCTTATGCACCACAAGTACAAATATAGAAATTCAATCAAACTGAATCACATATTTCATTAACATGAACACGCTCAATGGAAAAAAGAAAATAAATCCTTCACTAGAAGACTCCTCAAAACTCAAAGCTTCATAATACATAGTCAACCATGGCGCCCCTTGTTGCAATGGCTCCACCACTCCACCATGAGAATATCTAGAGGATATGCACAGGAATTGGGTTTAGGAGGATTGTTGTTTCATGTGGCCTCGATATTCTTAAACATTTGTTTCGAGCAATATGAACATTAAAAAAAAAAAGAATTAATTCTTGGCAGTTATTTTTAAAGCATTTGCTTCTCCACTACAGAGACAGTGAATGAAAAAGTAACAGCTCCAATGGGATGTGATTCTCACACTTCTATAATCTGTCTGATTCTCTGTACATTATTAAACCTGTAAATCCGGCACAAATTACTGTTGACTTATAAAATTTTGAGTAGATAGTGCAAACCATGTGAACCTGTTATTGAAACTATTGAACTATATTTAAATCTGTTACTTTTCCATATTCAGTAAGGAGAACAAAGAAATGAGAACAAATAAATAAGAACAAAAGGAACAGATTTAGCGCATGCACAAGAAAGAACACCCTTCTTTCCCCTCTAATATAGACACAATGCCCTAATTAGTATAGAATAACCATTAAGAGATTATTTCAATTTACTTAAGAGCAAAAAATAAAACAAACATGCATAGCTGCACTAAATCAGCACCATTAAAACTAGTGATTTGAGGTGTCTGTTTAGCTTAACATACCAATGCGCACCCCAAGATCATGTAACAACTTGTTTTTAGTATCAAAATTACCTTGTACCGACCTGGATGTCTCATATCCAGTACATGCTTCACCTGCCAAAGAGGGTTTCGATACATTGCTCGCACATGCTCGCCCGGGTATGACATTGCCAACAAATGGTTTGTGATATATGACATGTCTAGATCATATCCAGCTACTAGCATGCGCCTCCGGCTTTTTGATACCAGATTTCGAAGGAAGAAGGATGATGTGACATAGTTGAACATTTTGTCACAGCGATTAGGACCACCAATCTTCTTGGACTTTGAAGAACCTTGTCTTGAGAATTTCATCCCCATGCTATTCTGAATTTGACTAAGTTGACAATTTTGATTAGTTTCACCTAAAAACACTGAGCCAACAATATTAGAACTGAAGTGTGTACTTTTTTTTAATATGACTTCCCAATTTCTTCAAAAATTGAAGCATGTTTAGTTTTGTGCTATCTTAAAAGTACCAAAATGATCATATCACGACCAAATGATCAGAACATGTCAAGAAACATTGAAATTACAATTTTAACCATCCGCTCATTCTGGCCACAATATTTTAATCATTATTTTGGGTCCGTTTGGGATGGTTGCACCGTTTTATAAAATTAATTATAAAATTATTATGGGAAGAATAACTTGTTACTCTAGTTGCAAAAAATTGCTTTTCAACATGGAAATTTATGAAAAGGTGTAAGAAATTAGCAAGAAAAAAGTAGCCAAATAAAATTGCGGTTACTGCCTCAAAAGAAAAGAAGCAAGAAAGTTGTCCCAAAAAGAACCTTTATTTTGCACTTCTTAATTTCATTGAAAGAATAATTCAATGGAGAATTACCTTGATAGCATAATAAATAAAGCATAAGCAAAACCCCCTGAAGCAAAATAACTAAACAAACACCGATTTTTGTCTTATATATAGATTATATTGCTAAATTTAGGAAAAATCTTCTTCATGGTCATGTATCCTATAAATTAAAAAAATTAAAATATCAAGAGTATAGCATGAATATAGACTTTATTAATTAAATATAAAATGTATGCATTTTCAAAGCTAGGTGATAAGAATTATCAAAGTATTTATCTCTCTTTAGAAAATCCAATTTCCAAATAATCAAAATAATTCTTAATATAACCAAATCATTATGCAATATCATGAAACTATAAAATTCCCAAAATGTCAGCAGGCATTTCATCCATTCAAAATTTTAAGGAAAATGACCACCATAACACTTAACCACAAAGAACCAATTTCTACATGCATTCATCTAAAAGTCAGCCTATGACAAGCTGAAAAGTTCTGAATCATATGTGAGAGAATACCTAATTCCATATAACAGGAGGGATGTCCGCACTCTCATAGCACAAATAACTACGCCCATCCAGAAATCCTTCCCACTCCAGATTTGAGCATTTACCAATGTGATTTGTTTCCATCTTCTTCAATCAACATTCCATCTGATTTCCTCACCAAAGAATTCACCTTCTGTCAACTTCTGAATCCCAAGCCTTCCGCTTCTCTTCCCAGCAAATTTACAAATTCATACTTCCAAACCCTTATAAATGGCTCACCAGCATCTTAAAATAAAACAAATCGCTTAAAAAAACTTTAACAAAATAATTTTTCCATAGAAAAGCTAAAGGCAATTTTCTAAATGGTGATGCAATTTCGAACAAAAACACATAAACTGCTTTATTGCTTCATGTTAAACGGAATTGAATCAACCAAAAAGTTCACGCTATCAGGGCAACTCCACAAGACGGATCTCATTCACATAATAGCTCTTTGAAACCAAAATACATCACCTTTTCTGTAACCAATACAATAGCATTGTATCACGAAAAACGAAATGCTAAAAAAGAAATAACAAAAATCCAACCTATTCCACCAAAAAAGAAATCCCAATCTCAACCCAATCTACTCTACTCCAAAATACATATATCAATACCAATGCGATTTATTTTCATCTCTCTTAATTAATTTTCCTTTTGATTCTCTTAACAATAAATTCACCTTTTGTCCCCTTTAATCCCTGCCCTTCCAAGCCCTTACCAACTTATCTCTACCACGTCATTCTTCCAAAACCTATTAGAACAGCTCTCCACTAAATCGAATCCTAAACAGAATAGTTATTTCCATTCAAAAAAAAAAAAAAAATACAACAGCTTCCAAACCGATGCAATATTTAAGACGAAAACAGGTAAACCACAAACTTGCAACCATTTCAACGGCATTGAAACGCACATAAAAAAGAAGCTCAAACTAAAGCCAACAAAAACACATTTCACAATTCATATCATGTTCAATAAACAGCCCTATGAAACCAGAGGAAAACATGGATAGAGATGCCCACCTGCTAGCTCCCCAATCTAAAACAGCAGCAATTCTTATAGCTGCTCCGAAAAATGCAATTAAAATTAATCGCAATCGCAGACGAAGAACCTGCCCTAAGAGCCGGGAGCAGGCGCCTAGGGCAGGAAGGTTGACAATACAGTTGAACCCTCCCAGGCTCCGAAGAAGAAGATGGCGATTGAGAACGACCAACGGTAAGTAAGAAAGCGAAGGCGGGCATGAGAATGCCGATCGGATTAAAATCCGGGAACAGGTCACCTTCCCTTCTCTCAGCCATAAGTCGTGAGAAAAGGGTGGCGCAAATCCAGGAGCAATCGCCGTCCAACCAAGGAGGAGAAGGGAGGCGGGAAGGCTTTCGCGGATTTAATAATGGATCCGATAACCGACCCGTTTAAAGAGTTGGATTATTTGAGTCTTCGTGACTTTGTGTTCGTTATATGAAAAGGAAAGCTAACAAATTTATTATGAAAGAAAAAAATATTTAAATATATAAAATTAATGTAGTAAAATAATAATAAAGAAATAAATAGATGATGAAGGATAAGAAATTATTTTATACAAATAATTGAATATATTTTTTTATAAAATTTCATAATTTTGTATTTAAATTTTTGAATGTTATTATATTTTAAGTATATTATATAGTAATATTTTTAAAAATAGCCAACTCTTATATTGTTAGCTCGCCGGGCTTAACAGAGTCATTTGTCGAGTCAAGCTCAAGTCAATTCAACATTCTCGTTGACTTGACTTCGTTTGTAATAGCTTTCTTGCTGCTTTATTATTCAAACCGCAATCACAAATTCTGTTTCGTCATTATTTTTTCAGCGCTTTCAAAAAAATTTATAGTTAGAAATTATTTTCTACAGCAACTTTAAAGTCTTATATTCTCTATATCAGATTTATAGAATAGTATGAATGTCTTCAACACTCCTAATTATAAGTTTTAGTTCACATAATTTTATGCATCTTAAAATAAAATTATTCATCTCAAACAATTTCATATAAGATATTCAAATATTTTTTAAATTAATATTTATAAATATTTAAATGATTGGGGAAATTTTTGGAGGACAAGAAAATAAAAATTAGTTTAATAAAATATTGATGAAAATAAATTTACCAATGAATTATTAGCAGCATTTGAATATACAAGTAGTTGGCAGTAAACATGTCAAGTGGAAAAATTATTAATATAGACAAAATTGTAATATACATTTGATAAGCTTCTAACTCAATTATAGTTAATGAAAATAAACTATAAGCTCGAATATGACTTTTTAAGTTATTTAACAAGTAGTCCGCGAGTTATGACACAAGAACTTGCATCTCATGGGCAACATGAAAGTTCGCTCAAATGTAATGAATTTTAGTTCTACAAGGGATTCATCGAGGAGTCGGCTCCAACATACGCAAACCAAAATCCTCACATGTCATCTTGCTCGTCACTCGCCCCCCATGGAGAACGAACACATCGTCAATATTGCTTCTCATCTACTAAGAGTCAACTGTTGATATCACTCGCTATTTTAAGTATAGGAAAGACACCTAATAAAATGACTTCGCCGTGTTATAAATGGGCCAACCATGAAATTCATATGCTTTATAACTCAAGCTCACTTGCCTCTCTCCCTCTTTGTCACGAACAATTATTAGGTCAGGTGACTTGACGTAACTCTACGTTCGGACGCCAATAACATGTCGTCACGTGGTCTTACTCAATACCGCGCGGCTCGACGACTTGACCCGAGATTGCTATGTTCGCGTATTTCTCGGTATTGCTCTAGGTTACCGAGCAATATCGAGAAATACCGAGAAAAACTCGATATTGCTCGGTATTGGTTTTCAAAGAATGGTATTTCTCGTTATTGCCAAGCAAAATCGACCAATACCGAGCAATACCTAGCAACACGCGAACATAGCAATCCCGTCTCCGTTCCGGGTCAGAATTGTCGGTCCGCGCAGTAACTAGTGAGAACACGTGACACGGTTTTCACATAATGGTATTTCTCGTTATTGCCGAGAAAAATCGACCAATACCGAGCAATACCTAGCAACACGCGAACATAGCAATCCCGTCTCCGTTCCGGGTCAGAATTGTCGGTCCGCGCAGTAACTAGTGAGAACACGTGACACTATTTTACTGGCGTCCGAACGTAGAGCTACATCAGGTGACCGGACCAAATAAAAGTTCATTTATCATGCCTCGATATCTAAAGTGAAAGAATTTCATTTCTTTTCTTCTTTATTATCACTTTTCTTTTCAATTCTTTAACTACTAGGTCATGCATTGACAACCATAACTAATTAATTGCATTCAAGGAAAATATAAACAACGATAAATATAATTACATTTTCATGGTCAATATTTATAATTTTGTTTCCAAGTCAAAAGTCCAAAACAATATAAACTGTAACAGCGCAAACTCTCAACTATCGAGATATTGTCCGCTCTGGCATAAGAGCCTCGCGGTTTTGTCATGTTGGTGTAACTTCCGAGTAAGTCACCAATCCTAGAATTGGTTCGAGATGAGCACATTAATATGTAGACTTTCTTAACATTTGGATTCAACATAAACTTTAATTATAGCTACAAATTTGCAAATAATAAGACAACAAAGTACTACAGCCAATATCGAGACAATTCACCATAAATAGAAGCATTTCATTCTTAATTTAGTTGTGAGAGATTATAAGGAGCATAGGCATTAGAAAAGGCATTGCTGGAGATCTCGTTACTATGTCAATTTAGCCCACCTACCTTCAACAAATATGTAACGATATTACATAATCGATAGAAATATTTGATTACATGGTTGAGGAAGAGGGCCTTCGTGGCATCATCAACGATCATTTAAATAAGTCTTATATCACAAATAATGCACTTTCTCATTACTATTTACTGTATAAGACACTAATACATTTTAGTACACATATATTGTGGAAGATTATTTCCATTGCTAAAGTATAAAGAGCCTTTAGGCATTGGAATTATCACAAAGATATGATGGGTGGGCTTTGTCATTGATGTCAATAATGGGTGTAAACTTTGGTGATGACGACAAATATCTGTTTTGGCAATGATGGACATTGACCTTGATGGCAACACCAAGTGTTGTCCTTGCTAGTGACGACAAGCGCTACAACATGCTTTGTTAATGTCAATGAGCATCGATAGATGGTGGGCAACTTGAAATATTGAGGGTTGGCATTCAAGGTGTTGGGTCTTTATTCCAGAATCCTCATTTAGGAAATCTTTTGTTATCATTAAGAGAAAATTGCTGGGCGCCATTGTTAGTGTCGACGGTGTCATCAGCCTTGGCAGTAATGACAAATGTTAGCCTTGATGGTGATGACAAGTGTCAAAATTGTTGGCAATGTGGTACATCGGCCTTGATAGAAATATCAGGTGTTGGCTTTATTGGTGATGACAATTGTTAGATTCGGCTCTATCAATGATGAAGTGCATAGGAAATGGACAGTGCATTGGATTCTTTCTCCTGGAATCCATGTTGGGTGCCTAAGGCATCTCCCCTTATATTTTTTTTAATGTGCGTCATTATAATCATTTTGATAAAAATTCAAAATATAGGGTATTCTTTATTGGTATCATATAATATTTTTTGTACAACTTAATGTCTTAATGAAGTTCTATTTTAGCAACATTGGGTTCATTGATTTAGTCTGTCAATATGTTTGCTTTGATTATAAGTACCTCAAAATCAAAAGTTGTCTGGTATATCAATCAATCTCATGAAAATTTTAACCAATTTTTGAGTGCTTAAATTTTGATCTATTTGGAATTAGATTGAGAGGATCTTAGAAACTTAAGACTTGTCTCAATAAAACCTTCATTTCAAGTGCAAGTTAATTAAAAATGCAGTTATATACTTAATATGATCCTATAATCAAATGTGCCGAAATTCATAATTGATTTGATAGATTTTCTATTGAAATAATCAACAAAATTAAAGCTTGAAATGACCGTTAGGCCCACAGGCCTCATGAGTCCATGTCCCCTCGTTTTCTATCCACTCTATAGCTCATAAAAAGAACTTTTCCTTCTCAAAACAAGTGGAGAACATGAGATCTCTGACTCTAAGATTTCATCTCTCTCACAGTCTCTCATCACACTTTCATCTGATCAAGAGAAACAACAGACACTCGAGATTAATAAAGGCGAAGAAATCAAAATCCAGCGAAGACTTCAAAAAGGAAGAATCCAACCTCCAGTTGAGAGTTTCAACAGCCTTTCTTTTCAGATCTGCCATTGCCGTCTTTGGATTGGGATTCATAGATGCTGGGTAACTGATATGCTTTCTTCTTTTTTTTCCTTTTAATTGCTTCAAAATTTTTTTTTCAGATTTGTTCATAATTCATAAGATTTCTATAAAAAAAACCCAATAAATTTGTGTCAGGTATAGTGGAGATTGGTCTCGGATTGGGGTTATATCAAAAGAAGCTGAAGAACTTCTGAAGAGTGCAGCTTACTTAGTTGTGCCTGTTTGTTTTTTGCTGATATTTTTCATATCAGATGAGAAAAAATCTCTCTGAAGAGTTTATTGCACTTCTTTGGCTGAGAGACTTTAGTTGCAGTTTGTTATAAAAGTTATTATATCATTGTTGTGGGGAAAAATAACTATTTCGGAGAAAAGCTGTTCCATAATTTAATTGTAGGTTTCATATAACATATTGGATTTTTGTTTGCCTTATTGCATTTGTATTTATTCTAGTTTAAAGGAGGAATAGAAAGGCTTCAATTAAGGTTTCATTTGGGGCTGCTTTCTAATTGCTTTTTTAAAGCTGCTTTGTAGTAAAAAAAATTTAAATTACAAATTTTATAATATAAAGTTACTTTAGAAAGCAATAATAAAGTTATCCCAAATAAAGGTTAAGTAGTGTCTTCAGCTTCGTTTGTGACTGCTTTCAACCACATATTTATGTCTATCTTCTAGTGATTTTTGTACTAAAAAGTAACTTTACGAAGGATAAAAAAAGCTGTCCCAAACAAAGTCTAAGTTGTGATAATTAGTGATTGTGATAATATAACTTTTGTGATACTATTGTGCGTATGAATTGGACATGAGCTTCTTAGTAAGCAAAACACATATCATTTGATGACTTCCTAGTTTCTATGACTGTCTTGATTGGGACTGGTAATGACTTTCTATAACATGTGGTAGCTGATCAAATATGGCATCACTTGCATTAAAAGCTCAAGCTTTTTCCTCATGAATGTGAATATAACAAACTCACCCAAGCACAACTCATTTATAACCCTAGTCCAAGGTTATATGTAGGACATGAAAGAAGTATCAGTCAAACACAAACCACCTTACCTATAGGGTTCTCTCTTAGCTCCGTTAGGGTTTATCCCCCTTAGTGGCGCCCTCATCGGGGGCGATCCTTCTTGCTGGTCGTCTCTTCTTTCAGCTCAGGGAAGTCTCTCCTTTTACTTTATGTATGTTTGTTATTACGTTCTGCTATTTTGGTTTTTTCATTTCCCTTCTGCCCTTGAGTATGGCGGTTAAGTTGGATGATCATGGCTTTCTTGATGGTAAGTTCAACTGTCATTCATTTATTGACGCCCTAAAGGGTTCTTCCTCTTCGGGGTCTTTTGCGGATCTTAAGAAGTCTTCTTTTTGCTGCTTCCCCTCTCTTTGGATTTCTGAGGATGAAGTTTTGGCCCTTGCCGCCCCATTCACTTTTTCCCTTGTTGGTTATTTCCCTAATTAAAGGCCGTCTTTGGGTGCCATAAGGAGGTTCTTCTTTAATTTAAAGCTCACCAGAGAATTTTTCGTCGCCCTATTAGATTCCCGTCATGTTTTGATCAAACTACCCTGTGATTTGGATTATTGTCGTGCCTTTGCTCATAGATCCTATTTTGTTAGGAATCGCTTCATGAAACTGATCAAATGTTTTCCATTTGTGGATATTTCTGAAGAATCCCCAATTGTCTCTGTTTGGGTCTCTTTCCCCAACCTGCGGCCGCATTTCTTTTCCCCCCGTATTTTACATGGGCTTGGTTCTCTTTTTGGACGTCCTCTTCATGTGGACAATGCCACTATAGTGGGGGCTTGTCCTTCGGTTCATAGAATTTTGGTGGAACTTGATATCACCAAACCATATCCTGATGACCTGATAAGGTGTGGTTGGGCCCTAAAAGAATTGGTTATTTTCAAAGCATTTTGATTGATGAATTTCCATCCTTTTTTGAGCACTGTAAAGTTGTGGGTCACTCTAGGAAGGATTGTTCTATGCTCAATCCTCGCGTTGTTCAGGATAATCGGGGTAATGAGAATATTGTTGGCGATGGCATTGATGTGCACACGATTCCTAGCGGCAATGGTGGTGTTGATGTGCACAAAATGGAGGCTCAAGTGTTTTCTGACGAAGCTTTGTCCAACCATTTGACTACCGAGAACCCATTGGCTTTGCCTCTTACGGAGAAGGTTGATAGTGTTATTGTGGATTTGGATGCTTTTGTGCATGATTTGGAGACCTTTCATGTTGTTCCTCCTCCAGCTGAGGCGATTGTGAATGAGGAGAATGATAAGTGCCTTGGCATTAAGGTTTTGTTGGATGTTTCACCTAATGAAACTAATGTTACCTCTCTTTTGCTTACTTCTGATCATGCTCCAGCTTCTCTTCCTTTGCAACCAAATGGAGAATCCTTTATTGAAGTTCCGATCTCAATTATCTCCAATGAACAATTGAAAGTGCATTTGAAGGATAATGTGAAGGGTAGCGTTTTGGATCAAAATGATTGGTTGGAGGATTCTGCCTCCTCGTATGGTGAAGATAGTGGTGATCCTGGGCTTGATTTAAATGAGACGTATGTTTTGAAGGTTGATAACTCTGTTGCTAATGATTCATTGCAAGGAAGGGGTAAATGTGGCAGGAGGAAGTCCAAATTGTAGTTTTTGGATTGCTTTTTTTAATTAGTTGTCAATGGTGTTTTGTTGGGGGTTGTGGGTTAGAATCAGATTTTGGGTGTTATTGTTGGTGTCGCTTGCTTTTTTGGTGGGATTTTGTTTTGGATGTTGCTTGTTTAGTCTGGTGCTTGGACAATGATGAGGTTGCATTTGCCTTCCTCATGTTGGTTGTGGCTTGCTGGCAACCTTGCTGCCTTGATGGATTGGTTGACATGTTGCCTAGTTGATTAGGGAATACTGTTTGGAGCATTTTCTAAGTCCGTCTGTTGGATTGCCTTTTCTTTGATTTTGTTTCTTTATCTATTTTTGTTGGTCTGTCCCTGCACTTTCAATTTTGAAAAAAGTTTTTTTTTTTTTTTTTTTTAAATGAAGTATCAATCGCCTAAATTTTCAAATGGAATAAAGGTTATTTTCTGATTAAAAAAAAAGAATATATATATATATATATATATATATATATATATATATAGAGAGAGAGAAAATTATTTTATAAGTCATTATAAGTCCAAATCACAAACCGTTTTGACCCGAATATATATAATGCAGTGTTTTAATTACCTTAAATTATTCATAATTTTTGGGCTTAGGTGAAATTTCTTAAAAAAAATTGTCATTTGTCAGTATACATAGAAATTTTGTGATCGTTAAGTGTCCGTTTTGTAAACCGATTTCACTTGAATATTTTAAACATGCTTAGATAATTTATGAATATTTTTTTTTGTAATTTTTTATCTTAAATTTGAAGATATAAAAAGTTTTTAGAAAAATAACTATAATTATCTATATACTAAATAGTATAAAAAGAGAATCTCAAACATTCTAATAACTATATATAGAGATTTTTCTATCATAACTTAACACGATAAGATATATTATGATCAGGTTGGATTGTGACAATATTATTAAAATACGAGCATTGAATTAATGGTACATTCAATCAACAACCCTTATTGATAGAAGTTTTTCATGTTTTCTCTATCTATAAAATATATTTTTCTTCATAGGGCATATGAAGAATTATAAGACATGACTCGCTCACCATATAATAGATGCTATAGTGATGAAGCATCCATGCATGGACCTATTGTCTTCTTTATCATGTTTGTCTCTAATGGAGAAATATGTGCTCCACCAAATGACAAACCACATTGTACTATATATTAAATTAGTTATTATCAAAAAAATAATTACATGTAGAAGATTTATAGGACATTTAAGAGAAATATCAAATCAGCATAACTATCTTTACTTCATTATCCTACATTAGGGGTGCAAGTGAGCTGAGCCGGCTCGAGCTCGACTCGATTATAGGCCCGCGAGCCGAGCTTATCGAGCTCACGAGTCGAGCTCGAGCCAGCTCGGCTCATGAGCTCGCGAGCCGGCTTGAATAATTATTAAATATAAATATTTTTTTAAAAAATAAAATGTTATGTAAATCAGGATTTGAACTATGCATTAAACTCAAAATTTTTTGTTATTTCTCAAATCCTGCGTATTTCAAAGTTTCATCTCTCTTTCTCTCTCTGACAAATAACAATGGCCGGTGAGTGCTCCAAAGCGAATAAATGATGATGTAAAGTGTTTTAGACAGCTGAATAATAAATGCATATTATTCATTCATCTCCCTCTCTCTCTCTCTCTCTCTCTCTCTCTCTCTCTCTCTCTCTCTCGTTTTAAAAGGCCGCTGAGGCTCAAAGCCTCAAACTCAGGTGAACCAGAAGCGAAATGGACCGTGCCGGAGTTTGACGAGCGACTCGAACTCGTTTATAATGGGACGAGTTGAGCTCGAGCTCGATATTTGACAGTTGAGCTCGACTCAAACACTCTCTGGCTCGAGCTCGAGCTTGACTCGTTTGCACCCCTTTCCTACATACAACACAAAAATGTTGATTTTTTTTTTATTAATTATAAAAAAGAAAAGCGCTTCAAATATAAACACAAACAAGCATATTATTTTATTTGAACAATGGACTAACATTCTTCGACATATTTGGAAACTTATTCGAGTCGAATCAGTCATTGGTAAAAAATGGTTTGAATTTGATTTGAACCTTATTCAAAGTTTGTAGTAGATGGATTATTTGAATGAGATTTAAATAATATTAAAACAATGTTTAAATATAATAAATTATCATATAGCCATAATACCATTTATAATTTAAAAATATATGCTAATCAATGTTGAAATTCAATTAAGATAGTTCGGCCGATCCAATTGCAGGTATGATCTTTTTTGTAACAGCCTGTATCCTTAACTATTGGGTATTATCCAGTTTGACTTAAATGATATCACGATTTTATCTCATTGGTATAACTTCTTAAGAGATCATCAGAATTGCTCGTGCATTAACATAATTAACATTGGAGTTTCCTAATAAAATTCCAATTATAACAACAAAAGGTACATCGATGTTTGCTTATTTCTATTTAAGGGGATGCACAATATTCCCACTTAGATAACCGACACCTTCGTCAGTATCCTTATCTTAGAATCATGTACCAAATAAATAGAATTCTAGAGGTGACTCTTACAGGTTTAAATGGTGGCTCCCGCTATGTAATATTTTATCCCATATTAGGTTCAAGAGGTGGTTCCATGACATAGGACTTTCTCCTATTTGACACTTAGTTCACATCTTCTGACCAATCTATCTATTTGATCTCATTTCATAAAAACTTAAACTCTTAACTATCTGAATTTTATCTGCTTTGGTCCAATGGCCTCACGGTTTTATCTCGTTGATGTAATTTCTCAGAAGATCACTCATCACATAATTGTTCTAGCATGAGCTCATATAACTTTAGAGTTTCTTAATAAACTTCAAATCATTACACCGAAAGTGCTTTGATTTTTAATAATTTAGCTTCTTTGTACTTAATGTTTTTCACATTTATGTTAAAAATTACATATTTTCATAAAATAACAAATAAATTATGACATCATTGCCCTCTGTTTCAAACGAGCGATAGTTCAATAAAAATATGTAGTTTATAAAATAAATTTGATAAAAAAATAATTTTGATAGATATTTAATAAAAGACACGTAAGGGATCAAATTTGTGCATTATAAAAAAAGTGAACATGTTTGTAAATAATTTGAAAATTATATAAAATTTAAAAGTCACAAGCTCTTCCGCCGCCATGCCGCGCGGGTTCGTTTGGGGTGGCGGCAGCAGTGGGCAAAGCAGGTTTAAACCCTAAAAAACCTGACCCATTCCTCCGCATACTTCTGTTTGCAATGGAGATCACCGAGGAGCAGCGAAGGAGGTCAGAGGCTAACCTAATCGCAGCTCTCGAGAAACGGAAGCGCGTGGAAGAAAGGTCGAAAGATGATCCTTGGAGGCTCTTCAGGTGCCGCAAGGTCCCCAGCCCAACATTGTCGCCGTCCTCATCGTCCGGTGGGCCCGTGCCGGAGAAGAAGAATTCAGTCTCACTGCGGCCACCTGAGCCTCCGAAACCGCCCGAAAGGTTCCGTGTCGTGCTGGAGATATGCTCGCCTGACGAGTTCGCTGTTTCGCCGGAGCCATTGCCGGGTTTTTCTTTCCCTGGTGCCGCGGAGTGCTTCAGGATCGTGGAGGCTGCTATCTCTTTAGTGGGTTCATTTACCTTTCTTCTTTTTACTCACGATTTTGTAGAATGTCTAAATTTAAGCTATTTTGTTCTTTGATTGGGAGTTAGAATTCGGATAGAAAAGCAGAGAAATAAAGCTAACTTATTATTTTGTTTGACAGTTTAAGTAAAAAGAAAAGCAAGTAGATTTCTTTATAGAGGGTATTTGGTTTCTATTTCAAGAAAAGAGTGAAAACACTGAAAAAAATAGTATAATTAAAATTTAATTATACCCGAACCTCCATTTGCTCTAAAAAAAGCACACAAATTTAAAGCACTTGAATATTATTGCATGCTAGAACATTTATGCTCGTAGAGAGAAAGGGTTTATGGTCTTGGCGTTGAATAAAAATTTCATACAAACCAGTGGCAGAGCAAGAAATTTTATTCAGGGGGCCTAAATTAAAATAGTTTTATTTGCCGTCTCATTTGAATGTTAGCATACATTAATGCTTCATTTGGTTATCTGATACTTTTTGTCAAAGGTAGTTTTAAAAATGTTAGTTGAGCGGAACCGTGTGTGACGGCTTCAAAATCGTGGTTCAACTGCTGAACCGGCTGACTAGATAATTTTTTTAAAAACAACACGGTTTAATAATACGATAGTATGAGTTGCATATTTCAAATCAAACCGTTCAAATGATAGAAAACTTTTTATTAAACAAAAAAGGCTTCGTAATTATTAGGTCCGGTCCGATCACCAGACCTATCTCTGCATTCAGACACCAATAGAAATCGGGCATTTGACTGAAAAAAAGTTAATTTTTTTAGTATAATCTTTTTGCTTTATGTCATGTCAGTCCGATAGACCCGACCCAATAACCCGGAGATGGTTTGAATTCATGATTAGAAGAATGGAAATGAAGCGTTTTTACTTTTCACCTGACATTTTCACTTCTCTCACACTTTCGGCTCTTTGCCTTCGGACTTCTGCAATACCTTCCGTTCTGCAATACCTTCTTCTCGGCGGTAGGCGACGATGTTGGAGTACTTCAGCATTTAAGAAAAGATAATGTTGCGCCTTTGTTTCGCTTGCGGTACGCTTTTGGTGCGTTTATATTATATTTTAAATTTTAGAGTTTAGTGTTAATTTTATACATAGTAGTGTTTGTTCAATGTGATCTTAAAATGTTTATTTTTTGAATTTCAACCGTCTTCATAAACGAAAGAAACAAATGATGCAAAAGCTTTAGGTGCCCTTTACCTCACCTTTATGTGCGCTTTAGTTGTGTTTTAGTTGCGCTTTTATTGCGCTTTATCATACATTAAGGCTTCGTTTGGTTATCCGATACTTTTTTGGTCAAATGTAGTTTAAAAAATGTTAGTTGAGCGGAACCGTGTGTGATGGCTTCAAATCGAGGTTCAACTGCTGAATCGGCTGACCAGATAAATTTTTTAAAAACAACACGGTTTAATAATACGATAATATGAGATGAATATTTCAAATCAAACCGTTCAAATGATAGAAAACTTTTTATTAAACCGAAAAGGCTCCCTAATTCTATTTAACTATTCAACATCTTCTGGTTCTCGTCTCCGTTCCTGAGCCTACTTTCGTTCCCAAGGGCGAGCCTTTGCATGAGACCAAGTCGTTGCCGGTGTTATTCATTGTTGCCAGCCTCGACCATAGTCGACGCTCTGCAAAATTGATGTCCCTTGCAGCTAAAACCTGTAAATATAAGATTTATTTAATAAGGAAAAAAAATCTTCTATTACTTGCTTGAACTTTCGAGCTTCCATTTTTTTGCATTTTTTGAATTTACTGTAAAGCTGATATTGATTGTTATTTCGCATTACTTCAATTGTTAGGCTATTAACGAAATTTCTAAGAATTGATTTCACATTACTCAGCTGGACAAAATTATTACAAATAAATTCACTGATCTCTGGCACAATTGTTTCCTTAGCTTAGAAAATCGAGTGATGTGCTTATTTTTGTAAATAGCAGCTTAATCAAGCTACTCTGCTTGGGAGAAAATGCAACCAGTTGTAGTAGAATGCATAAAAATATCAGATAAATTGAAGCATACTCATTAAAGAAATGAGATTTTTTTTTCAAGTGTATAATTCAGATAGGGGAAAAATAACAAGGCCTAGTTCAATTAAATTAATTATTCTATTGGTAGTTGTAGATTACAAATGATGCATTTTCTTGTATTTGTAGAAGGTATTAACATAATTTAGCGGACAATAATTGTGGAAGATATCTTTTGTGGTGGCAGTAGAAGTCGTAAGATGTTTGAGTTATCATTAGCAGATAGCCAGATAAGAACTCAAATTTGATTTGGATGGATCTCATTATCTTTAAAATTGTTTTGATATAAATGTAGTTTAAGTTTTGATTTATTATCCATGTATTGCACTAATTTAAATGCTAATCCAATAACTTTGAGATCCATTGAAATAACATTTTTTCAGGATATTCTAATGAAAATTTTTCTCATAGCCAATTAATTGTTTTTAAGATCCTTCGGGCACAAATTTCAACTGGTGGTCAAACTTCATATCTTTTTTATTTTTGAACTCTGCAGGCTTTGGATTTTCGAGTAAGTGAGAGTCAAGGAAGTCAGTTTTGCACGAGGGCCTTAGTCTATAAACTGAAGGATTATGATTCAGTGTTAAAATGCATTAAGAAGTTGCCGTTGGCTGACTTGCTTGATATTCCATACACCACATTATTAGCTATCCGAACATTTAAAAATTATGCTGCCACTGGGCTTATACCTTCCTGGAAGGAGCACTACTCTGAAGAACAGGTTGATGGCTTCTTGACAAGACTGCCAAGGTCATTACGAGATGCACTTCTCCCTTTCCAGATGGAAGGTGTTCGCTTTGGACTTCAGAGGGGTGCGCGTTGTCTCATTGCAGATGAGATGGGACTAGGGAAGACCATCCAGGTAAATTCTTTTCAGATATATTTTTACTTCCTCATATATAAAAGGTTAATTAGTAATTTAGTATCATGTGTTATGAGAATTTTGCTTATGTGCAGTCTCCTATATGTAAGCAAAGTGTATAGTAAGCATATTTAAAGTTTTTGAGACTGCTTAGGATTAGCCATATTAGCGCTTGAATGTGATAACTTTTAGATGTTAATTGTCATGGCCTGACTGCACCATTTCAATAGTTCGAAATGAGTTTTTTAAATTACATTTAATCCATGAGACAATAGTCTGTTTTCTACATAAAAATATCCACCATTATATGATACAAAATAACCAGGAAATTGATAGGAAACACTTGTAGATCTCAGGTATTTCCTATCAATATTCGGAAAACAGCGAGCTTCTACGCAAAAATCCGCACAAAACAGTAGATAGTTTGTATTATTTGATGAAAGGGAAACGGAAAATAGCAAGATACAATTGATCCTCTATTTGAAAGGAGGATCGATCTCTCCCAAATCTCTAGACGCCGCTAGAGCCCAAAAGAAAACTTAAATATGAGAGATCTCAAATTCAGCCAAATTCAAGATGCCCTAACCCTAGGAAAAATAAAGTATTCAATGCATACAAATCAAAAGGAAATTCCTAAACAGTCCATACATTCAAATTCCCTCATAAACTTTATAAAAAATCCTTCCTAAATCAGCCCGGTTGGCGCTTGCGGTGCGATTGGCATACAGGAGATGCGGACATCTCCGCCTCGGTTCCGCCTGGGCCGGCCCCATTTGGACCGTTTCATCGGCTAAAAAGTGAAAAAAACAAGAAATTCATCTATTACATGATAAGCGCGTAAACTTACAGTTTCATCAAAGTCATGATCACACAACAATATATAAGAGTCATGACACTGAGAGCACAACAGGCATCTTAAACTCAATAGAAAAGAGTGAGTTTGCATGAGTAAACTCAGAAGGAAGAATGCATAATTGCCAAGGAAATAAAGTATGCACGATGCCCAATGAAAAAAAAATCAATAATTTAATCTGTACGGATAAAATTGACATGCTCTGGTCGATTCTACAAAATTCATGAATAAAATTGACCATCAATCCGGCGTCTCCTAATATGCATGCATATCATATTTATTTGATTGAGGTATTCATCAGTTGTGTTGCTATTTTCAATGAAGTATGCTTAATAATATCAATAAATCTATTCTTAATCACGTTGAATAAGCTTAAGAATCTCGGCTATACGCATCTGGTGGTTGGTACTCTTTCTCTCCATATATATGTAATATAAAGTATTGTCATATATATCATCCTTTTTTTTGGGTTGTATTTTTTATTGACAAGTGGAAAATTTATCTTGACATGAATTATATGGTTCTTACAGATAATTGTAAATTTTCCACGAGTATGCATAACTATATTTATCGATCCATTATTAATCAAAATGATTAAGTTTAACAATTTTTACTATTAGCTACTGTTACTCCCTCTCTATCTTACTATCCATATGTATGAATTATAAAGTATTGTCATCCATATCGTCCTCTTTTTGGGCTTTATATTTTACTTGCAATGCTTGTATCGGTGCAAAATTAATCTCGACATGTATTGTGATTCTTACAAATTATTGAAAATCAATGTTACACAAAGAAAAATAAATTATATATTATTTATTACTCGTCATATTTGAGTACTTCATTCATTTTTTTTTTCAGGCTATTGCAATTGCTTGTTGCTTCATGGATAGGGGTCCTGCATTAATTGTTTGTCCTGCTGTTTTGCGATTTTCATGGGCCGAGGAGTTAGAGCGTTGGTTACCTTGCCTTTTACCAAAGGATATACATCTTGGTAATTTTTACTATTTATTGATATTGATTTTGGAAGTGTGCTTTATTGCTATTACATATTATAGATCTCATGTATGTGCTTCAAGTTCCTTATATTATTTTTATTAACTATAGTAATAAAATAAAATCATGTGAGTTATTATCATACAATGAAGTTATGAAGTTTTGAGGGAGGGAAAGGTGGATATACTTTCATAACCCACAGCAATATTAAATAAGTTATTGGCTAGGTGCAAAGGGGCGAGGCGGTGTTGGGTAACAAAGATGAAAGTTTTGTCCACCCTAGCTATATTGCATGGCTCAGGATGCATTTAATTGGTGATCTTCATTTGGGCAAAGGCAAATGTAGCATTGTCATTCATCCAACTGACACTGCTAATGATTAGCTTGCACAACTTGACATACATTTGGAAGATGGTGTCACGGCTATAGTCTATGTGTGCATGAGTGGCGGGGCACAACGATTGGCTGCCATGTGAGAGCCATTTAGTGCTTCCTTGATATGACTGGACTTGTCGCAAGCTTTGACATCGACTTGGTCATCTATATAGTCATCATGTTAGTCTATGTTTTTACCTCAATGTGATGACTTTTATGGAGACGAGTGATTGCGTAGTGATCAGCTTTTCCATGTGTAAAACAGGTTGCACTCATAGGTTTCAACTTTTACTTGTTGTCGAACTTGAACCTTTTATTAAAATTGTCTTTTATCAATGTTTCTTTTCTTTCAAGGTTGTTGCTCCTAGTTTTACTTTGAATATTTCAGCTTATCCTCAACTCTTATGTCTGTTTCTACTAAAAGTCTAAAACTGAAAATTCATTTATGGCAAGTGGTGCTAAAACTTGTCTTAGTTGATCTCCGAGGCCTCTTGAAACTCAGTAGCATTTTTTTCTCTTGAGTACTAAGGAGCATATTTGAAAAGGCATGTGAACTTTGTCTCATAATACGTACTTTCCTTTGATTCCTCATGTTACGTTCAAGAATTTATACCATAGTGCTAATCTAGTTGATGAGGAAATAAACCAATCCTTGAAGTCTCTTACATAGTTATGTCAATTATCATCTCCCAGCTTTTCCTTTTAGTACAAATGTTATAAGTATGACTCTTCTATATTCAGACTAAATTGTATCTTTCAAAATCTTTCCAATTTTTAACTATTATTGTTTAGCAATAGTTGGGTCACTTGCTCTTTTGATTGCTGGTGGTTTATAAGTATGAAATGTTCATATGTGTTGTTGACATATGTTATTGCATCGACAACTAAATCAGCCCTGATCAAGCCGATCGAGGCTTGATTGGGCTCGATCGCGCTCGATTGAGTGCCGTCGAATCAAAATTAACACGAATTGGACCTTAATTTTATCAAATTGAATTTAATTTCCCCAAACTAAAATCAAATTGATCAAAATTGACCTAATTCGGTCCAAATAAAACTTAATCAGACCTCGTCGAACAAAATTCGACACGATTCGACGCCAATGAACTAAAAACTTATCGTGAAGATGAACTAAACACTTATCATGAAGATGAACAAAATCGACGCGTCAACTAATGGTTTCTCTTCCTTCTGGATGACTTTCTCATTTTTTGCTCTAAATCTATTATGGTTACATTTTCATCTTTATTGGGGACCACATGTTGATGCTCATTTTACCTCTCTAAGATTCAAGAATGCATCTCTCTTCTTTCAACGATTTCTCTTTATTTTTCATCAAAACTCAGTTTGACCTAAATATAAGCAACCATCTATATTTCAAGGAAAAACTTTGCTTATTTTCATTGAAGATGAGATATCTGAGCTTGTTAGTTCTCTTTATTGTTTGTTGGAAAATTCACTTTGGCTTTCCCTAACTTGGAGATTATTTTTATATTCATGTTAGATTCTCATTTAGTTTGGCTCATTGATCATCATCATATCATTATAAGACTATATTTAGAATTATATTATGCCAGATGCTTCTGGACTTTCCTACTATGTGAGTAACTTTTGATATGAATGATAAAATGGTCTCCCCATTTTGACCCGTTTGGGTAAGTACTTATCACTTCTTTTTGGGTGGTATTTCTTCAACTTCTTTTACAATCTTTTAACTAATTCATTTTATACATCTTGGGTTATATATTTGATAAGCCATTACAAGTTTATGTTGCTTTGGATTGTCTATCTAGGCCATATGTGCCTAGAGTTTTGGCTGAATTGAGTTTTATCACTCTACTTGAAAATGAAATATGGATTGGTTCTGAATTTTATGGGTATTGGTAGAAGATAAAATTTGAGGGCATCCCCTTTTATTGCTTCTGCAAAATCTTTGGGCACAAGTACTCTAATGTGTCATAGGCCATCTGGAATTGAGGAGGTATAAACAGCTGTTTAGATCTGAACTTCTAACACTATGGATGGCGCTCTACCTTCTTTTGATATGGTCCGCACTTAGTATTTTATGACTATAAAATTATGCTTTATATGTATAAAATAAATCTCTAGTTATTTTTCTTTTTTAGATGAGCAGTTCTTCTCAGACCTGTGGATGTCATGTTTGCAACTTCTATCATTAATGTCCTATAGTTCACATTTCATGTTGATTTGCTTTGGACTTCAGTTGACCAAGATGAAGCTTGTTTGACCACGATTCATGCAACCTTGGTTAACCAAACCAAGTTTGCATGGAGTTTTAGTTGGTGGACCAAGTTGACTCCTATAGCCTTGGATGATGAGGAGCTAGCACGGGTAAAATACCTGCGGTTCAGAGAAACATTAATTTTTATTGGATATCTTTTATCAACATTAGATAATTTTTTTTTGGTGGGTGGTTGGTATATGAAATTATGCTATTTTTTATTTATTACACAAATTAACTACAAACAATCTCTTCAAGGAGCAGAAAATCAAAGGATATTCTTGACAAACCGTAAAAAATTGGCTGGTTTGAGAAAGGGTAGCTCTTGGAAAATTTTCACATTCTCAAATGCCTTTTTTGCCTATAGAAATTCTCATTGAGGACGCCCTATTGCTTCAATAACTATAGTTGAGTATGTGCCACGACTTTGCTAGTTATTGGATAATTATTAGATGCATACAATGATGTTATCCTATAGACTTTTTGCAAAATATCAAATATCAACATAATCATTTTTCTTTCTTTGGTTTCTATCTCCAAGAGTTTGTTTAAGAACTTTTTTTTGACTTTATAATGCCTTTATTACTTTTGTTTCTTTTTCTTGTTATATTTAGTGTAGGAGTAAAAGCTTGAAATAGTCCGACTATTGATAAATGCTTAAATTAGTCATAAATTTTCGTATTGCCCCAATTTGGTCCATCAACTATTAAAAATCGTCCAATTTGATCATTGGATTAAATTTGCAATTTAAATAAATGGAAAAAGCTGGAGAGCTCTTCTTTCTGGGCATTTAGGTAAAATTCATTGTTACATGCTCACTCGCTTTTCTGCTTTAAGCCTTGGAGACTAAATTGTGTGAGGGAGAAGCTGCGAACAAGGCACGCGAGCGAGCCAGGGAAACGTGAGAGAGCAGGCCACGAGCGAGACACGTTGCGGTGTGCTCGATTCACATTCCAAAATCATGTGTGGCTGTGAGATGGATGACGCACCCCGAATGAGACACCTTGCGGGGGCTATTTGGGTACAAGAAGAACCTTGCGGGGGCTATTTGGGTACAAGAAGAAAGATGGCTACCTTCACAACGAGCAAGCTCCCATCGTTACTCTAATCCTACAGAAGAATGTTGAGGAGGTGTGACTTCAGATTCAATAGGAAGGAACGTCAAAGGAGGCAAATAAGTTATTTGGTGACTGGTTCAAAACTCTACCTCTCAAGCAAAGCAACCAAAGAGGAAAAGCAAACCTATGGCTATAGCAAGACAACAGAACATGCATTGCCATAGAAATATAATATAATAACAAATTAATTTAGTTTAACTATTTTAATTAAAATTAATTAAGAATATGATGTAATTAAGAAAAAACTAATTACTTAGATTAATTGATAATTAACTTAAAGTTTAATTATATTATTTATAATTGTTAGTTAATAATGGTAATTAAAACTAATAATTAATAATTCACTTATAAATAATTAAAAATATAATCAAAATTAAAATTAATAAGTTATTTCATAATTACATTATTTTCTATTTGTATTATTTTTATAATTGTAATTTATTGACAATAATTAAAATTAGAATTAATAAGTAACTTTTACTTAAAATGTAAATTAAAATTAAAACACAAATTAAATTTGATTTATTAATAAACTAAATGTTATGAAATTGACTTGTGATATTTTTATTATATTTAAATAATATGAAATTGTAATTTTGGCATGTTAGATTTTGCTTTAAAAAAATAGTTTTTTTTAATATATTCACCCTTATTATGTAGTTGATTAAATATGTACTATAATTTATTAAACGATAAAATTGAGTAATTTAAGCAATGTAATATCATATCCACTTGGGACTAAATTGACTCAATTTTAATAGTTGAGGGACTAAATATGAGCATTGCGAAACTCTAAGACTAAATTGGACATTTATCAATAGTCGTGGGACTATTTTGAGCTTTTACTCTTTAGTGTAGTAACAGTTCGCATCTCTTTTAGTAACCAGTCGGTGTTTGACTCATATTTGCAGTGTTCGGCCGCCAAAATAATCTAGACTATTTGGACAAAGCTCCTAAGATTGTTGTTATATCATACACAATGTTAAGTCGTTTGAGGAAGAGCATGATAGATAGAGAATGGTCTCTTTTGATAGTTGATGAGTCTCACAATATACGTTGCACTAAGAAGAAAATGGAACCTGAAGAGGTACTTCGAAATACTTGCATTAGCCATGCATGTTAATCTTTATTGCAGCTTGCTTATCGTACTTGTTAAATTAAACGGAACTTTAATTCTCATTCTATGCATTTTCTATTGCTTTTTGTTATGCCATATTCTTTGTATACTAGCTAGTTCATGCTTAAATTTTGCAATTTTTATTCGTTGTTGAAAGAATTTCACATTGTCATATTAACTTGTTTCTTCTGCTGTGTTGGCCATGCACAAAAAAGGTCTGTTGTTTAATGTTTAAGACAATGGTTTTGTATCCTATTTCCAATGAAATTAAACAAGAGATAATCCCACCCTTCTTGCTCCAACATTTCTTTCATACTTCAAAAGTGATTGATGTAGGACTTAAATGCTTAGACAATGCTAAGTAAGAAATCGCACGTTTTTATTTGAGAGCAATATTAGTTTTTAATCTTGCAGTGATTTTAAACAATGAAAGAAAACTAGAGAAGGGTGAAACTACCTAAAGCCAAGGCACACAACTAGAAGTTAAGATCACAAAATAATTAATTACTCAAGCATAACATATGTGAAGGATTTTCAACAAGAAATTCCTAAATTAACAATGAGATTATTCACAACGAAAGAAAGGGGTGAGAAGTGTCCACATTCGTTGAATGCGGAGGGGCAATCAATGCTAATTAATTTTAGATTTTATTTAATCAATCCAAGATTGAAGGGGTTTCCTTAAATATGTTAATTAATTTAAGAAAGGATTTGAATTTCAAATTTATTTGGATTTGAGTTAAAAAACTTTCCAAATTAATAGCAACTAATTTAGGAAATAGGGAAATTAAGTAGGGAAAGGGACTAGTGGTTGGCAGCTTGGGTTGGTGGAGGAAGTGGGGTGATGGGGAATCAGGTCGGGTGGTGGTGGAGCTTATGGCCGGCGGGTGAAGGAGGAGGGGTGGCGGTGCTCGGCCGGGAGAGGGGAAGGAGGGAAGAAGTGGCCGGCCTAAGGTTAGGGGAGATGGGGATTTTGTCCAAGAGAGGGAGGAAGGGATTTGGCTGGCGGTTTAAGGGGAAGAGAGGGAAAATGGGGAGTGACGACGTCAACCACAAACCAGGACGCTTCCTGCGGTTGATGGGTATTGCGATACCCTATCCTAGGGACTTCTCCTAAGCTCTCTTTTAGGACTCTCAAATCTCACCAATAAAACACAAGTGCAGAAAATAACATAATATCATTCATCATCCCTCAAAGGAGGGGGAGGCTTTAAATAACCAATACAATGAAGAAAATTACAAAGACCAACTTGCCCCTAGGGCATACATATGACTAGACCCTCAAGTGGAGGGCAAATTATTGCGTCAGGTGACCGAACGCAGAGATGCGTTCGGTCTCTCTCTGTCTACAGTAACCTGCGCTTTACTGTAGCAGTGCTACAGTAAAGCGCAGGTTACTGTAGACAGAGAGAGACCGAACGAATCTCTCTGTCAGGTGACCTGATGCAATAATTTGCCCAAGTGGAGGCATAAAGGAAAAGTACAATAAAGCTAATAAACTAATACATCAATAATAAATCTAATATAATGATAATCAAAAGTAAAACGGTGCAATCGTGGCCGTAGATCGACGGCCACGCCTCTGGTAGACTCTCCAAGGTCGGATGTCCTCATCGGAGATTCTCTCAACTTGGCAGTCTTTTGCTTGTTTACAACAAAATACTTGGATTACATTGATGGGGAAGGGCTGTTGGTTCATATTGCCTGATGGTGATTTCCAGAGGTTGATATTCCTTGATCTTCATAGTCTTACCTGCTTTGATGTCTCAACGCCTCTACTTTTTTGCTTATTTGTTGGGTATATTCAGCTGTTGTGAGGTGCTGATAGGTGGGTTAATGGCATTTTTACTTTTGTGAAAGGAAAATTTCACTCTGGCTTCAGCCTTGAATGTTTACATTAATGATTAAATGGACTCGAAATTAAACCAAAAGGAGTGGTGAAGGTTCAATATTTCTTCAAGTGTTCAACCTTGGGTCGAATTAAGATGACATAAACGTAAATTATGTGCTAGGTAAAGCTGTAAAGTAAATGTTGTACTAAATTAAGTAAATATATTTACTTAAAAAATTTGCAAAAACTTTACCTAATCAATGATTTAAAACGTTGGCTGATCAATGATTTATTTAGTATAACTTCAAACTTTTTTCAGCATATGCTTGCAGTATTATTATTATTATTATTATTTTTGTGAAAAAAAAATCCTTGAAAACAAAATATAGTAAAAGGTTGGCTTCATCCAAAGGTGCCTTATGTATTGGTGTGTGCTTATCTAAGTGGACAAACTTGAATCGATATTAGCTAACAAAAGGCTTTATGCCCTATCAAATGTGCCCTATGATTCATCATTCAAACATTTTTTAACCATCAGGGAAGTTGAGAGCTCTAGACGTGATTGTAATTTATGGTACTATTTGCAATAAAATCACTTCATCAAACCATCCAGATTTTAACCACTTACCTATGGTTTTCATTTGGTGGCAAACCACCAGTTAGAGGGTACATGTAGCATTATTATCGGTGAGAGATTATTTGAGAATTAATTGTAGCGATACACTTGACATGATATTGGCTTTGTGTGAGTTAAGGTCATTTTTAATATGATATCGCCTCGAATTGCATGCCGATGCTATCGACATAGCCGACGACATCGACCCCCTACGCAGGTATGAAGGTCCAAATCATGTCCTCGACGTGTGTGACGCGTCGGGCAACCACCTATACACGCTTTTCTTAGTGTGGTATGAGAGAACCTGGTGCGACACCAACAATGAGGCAGGTAGGCCTTGTACACACTTTTCTTAGCATGGCAGGAACAATTTTAAGTACCCGTACGAGCCTTAATACAGGCAGAGAAATCACTGTGCATTTCACAACAGGAACCCTGAATATTCATGCATGTTTTTCTTAGCGTGGTGGGAGTGAAGATCATGACTGCGGTGTTTACGGATGCCTACCATTCACGCTTTTGTTAGCGTGGTGGAAAGACCGAATTCCCCAAAACTTCCCTCAAATGATGGATATGTCGAGATGCTGTCAAAATTCAGAGTGAAATGCACAGAAACTGAACAACATGAAACCAAACTTGAATTGAACAAGCAGGTACCACTTAAGGCCCATACACGCTTTTCTTAGCTTGGTGGGATTAAAGACCACGATTGCGATGTTTGGGGATATCTGTCATACATGCTTTTCTTAGCGTGGTGGGAAGACCTAGTTCCCTAAAACTTCCCCCAAACGTGGATATGTTGGGATGATGCCGAAATTCAGATCGAAATGCACATAACCTGAACAACAAAAAGACCTAACTTGAACAGCAATACAGAGGACCTGTACCTGAACATAAATGCATATATTTTGAACAATTGCGCAGGAGATTGTGTGAACAACAGGGGACTGAATTTAAACCGAACTGCAAGGAACAAAACCCTAAAATGTTAAAATGAACAATTAAAATTTAAAATGCAAATGTCAGGTGATAACTTAATGCATTCAAATGAATACAAACTAACGAGTAGGGAACTTGTGATGAATAAGACCCAATGCATACAAACAACGAATGATAATCAAGTACAAACAAATATCAGTCGTCGACACCTGAATACATGGTACGCAATGAATGATGCTAATGAATGCAACGAACTCCTACAACAGTCTCCATGTAGTTGAATACACTGTACTTGAAAGCAACAACAGCCGACTGCAGAGTGCACAGGCGTCTCCTACATGCATCAATGAAAGCCTTGATATAAGCAACAATCAGCTTGCAGGGTGAAACGATGACCTTTGCAAAGCAATAGTAGAAAGTCTGTTGTGCACACAATAGTCCAAATAAAGATGAGAGTGGGCAACAAATGATGAATGTAACAGTGCTCCATGGTCAACATCAATGACCTATATACAACCCGTCGTTGCAAAAAAATACACCATGATCACCTGTGAATGATGATATTGGATACAACACAACTACAATGGATCTCTTACGAGCATTTTTAATAATATTGCAATAGATATGCCAGTAGAGAACCCATGAAGTGATGATTTGTATGCAAGACAGTACCAATAGTTCATTGTGAATGTAAACACCAACATATGACTGTAGAAAGCTCATCAAGGTATGGTGACCTATCTACGGATAATGACGTGCAACTTGTTGCAAATGTCAGGCTGCTCTGGCAGTCGACAACAATGAGCAGATGAACAAGTTCGTTGATTTGTCGAGAATGTCGTCTTAGATGGTTTGGTCATATAAAAGTCGGCCTTTCGATCCCTGTTAGAAGAGTAGATGTGTTAAATCTAACCTATATTAAGAAAGGTAGAGGTAGACCTAAAAAGATTTGTTTAGAAAGTATTTAAAATGATATTTTTAAAAATTAGATTTAAAGGAGAATTTGACTCTTGATAGGATACAATGGAGAAAAAGGATTCATGTAACTGACCCCACGTAGTGGGATGAAATTTGTTATTGTCGTTGTTGTATATATGTATTGATTATCAATAGGCATACTGGCTAAATGCATATTTTCGTTGAATACCATCCTTAGTAATGCTGTTGATGAATGCTTTTTTTAATTATTTGTTCTTACACACAATTTTGTCTCTGACCCATCCTTGTAATGTTATTGATGCATGCTCTTTTTATTTTTTGTTTTCACACACCCTTTTGTATCTGAATTCCTGCAAGAATGTGGTGTGTATGTGGATTATACTTGATCTATAACGGTCTCTATTATGAAGCTTCTTCTTCTTTCTTTTATGCCAGACAAAAGCTGTACTTGATGTGGCAGCTAAGATAAATCGAATTATTTTACTCTCTGGGACACCTTCCTTGACAAGGTTGTATCTGAACTATCAGTTCTCAAATCCAACTTTCCTTCATTATTTCTTGTGAGACTTTATTTTGTTATATATGTAGCACCAAGTGTGCATGCTGTAAATCTTTACTGGGGTCTGGGTTTTTTCCAAGTGGAGTTGGTCTTTTATAGACACTAGTTTTTTATTATTGTTTGTAATTCTTCATATGATAGCCATTAACATTGTTCTATATTTCTTTTCCTTCACTTTCTATCATGAACTTTTTGTAAATAGTGCTATTTTGAGAAATGAATCCTCATAATAGCAATGAAATTTTTAGCACGGGTCTCCGCCATTTGTGAAAATCCCAATTATACAGCTCATTTCACAGAGTCACCGTAATGATAAGAACATGTAGAATTGATGCAATTTAATTTAAAATCCCTAGTGCAAAATATGTACACTTACTTTTGTCCATTTGTAATCATCATCATCACCACCACTTCATTCTAACTATTTTGGGACATCACAATATTTTGTAGAATTTATATATCGAATTTTGTGTGTTTGAAGATACAAATAGATGGTCAGTGAAATAATTTGGGCCTCCTTCAAGTTGCAGGATTTCTTTAATCATATGTTCCACATACATGCTGGTGTGAAACCAGGAATTAGTTTCTTAGAAATTAGAAATTAATAAAAGTTGTTGGAGTAATGATAAAATTAATCTTAAGGCGTCTCAAAATTGAAGAATCAAGAAAGCTCTAAGAAGCAAACGATGCTTAGGAAATCCATTACAACTAAATTTGCAAGAACTTTAAAATAACAACGTAAACAAGAGTAATGAAATGATTAGTCAACTAGAATCCGACGGTTAACAAAGTAATCGTCTCACCTTGAGGCTCAAAGCCACTTTTCTACATCTAGGGTTGTCGGAGGAAGAAGAACCATACAAGAAACGAAATCACTCCAAGGTAGACGGTGCAGACAATCCGTAGTGATGGCGAGGGATGCGGTGGTAGTGGAGGTGGGGAAGCGGGTGGATGGCCGTTGATGGTCCACTCGTAGTCCGAGAATTGATCGTCGAGGAAGTCCACAAGGTGGGGAAAGATTCGGTTCAAGTAATCTTCAACGGTGTCGTCAAAACAAAACCCGACGTCGAAGAATGGAGATCGAACGATGTGGATGTCTCCGTGGACGTCGAGTACGAATCCGCTATCAACTTCGGGATCCGCCATGCATGATTGCAAGGGTTTGGGATGATGAGAAGGCTAAGGGAAGGGGGAGAAAGCCAGTAGTATGGGCTTGGGAGGATTGTGTGGGGGTCCAAATGGTTTTTGGGAGCGAAAGAGGGGGGGGGGGTGAGGCCCTTTGGAGAAAGAAAACATAAATTTGAATTTTTAAGTTTGATTTTCAAAAATATGGAGGGTTTAATTTTAGTTTCAGAATTTCAAATTTGAAATTAGCCTAAGAGGCAAAGAGTTAAGGGTGTATTAAAGTAGAATTAATAGGGGGGAGAGAGAGAGGGGAGTGGCCGGCCATGTATAGTGGTGAGAGAGCTTGGGAATTAAGCAAGTGGGGACCATAAGGGATTAATTAAATATAATCAAATCTGAATTTAATTTTAGAATTGATTGAATTGAAATAGCTCCCAAATTTGTGGAATAAGTGGGGGAAGTGAGATTTGAATTTCAAAATTGAATTTATTCCCTTTGATTGACTTTCCAAAATAGAGAGAACTATTTTAGGAAAGTAAAGTTAATCAATGGAATTTGAATTCAAATAGGGGATCATGGGGGGTGGCCGGTGGCAAACCTGGATGGCTGAAGGGGCGGCGGGATGGTGGCTGACGGGCTGGCTGAGGCTTCAGCCGGCGGTGGGGCTGGGAGGGGCGGCGGAAAAGGGGATGGGTGGTGACATGGGAGAGAACAGAGGAGGAGAGGCCACGGGTCTTGAGAAGAGCTTGAGGAGGGAGGTGAGGGAGAAGAGCAATGGAGTGGAAGGTTATTCAACTAAAAGAAAAAAAAAAAAAAACTCTTCCTCAAGAACTCACAAAGAGATCTTGGGGATACCACGAACTCACAAAGAGATCAATAACAAGAGAAATTTTCATTCATCGAAAACTAACTCCAAATACAATGACTAAGCCTATATACAGGCCATCCGAAAAATAAAAACCATAAAGTCGAAATTGCCCTTGGGCTACAACATGCAATAACTTCCTCATATGGTACAAATGGAAAACATAAAATATAAATGACATGAATAAAATAAAACATCAGAAATAAAGACTATGAATCGTGGTCGTCGCTCGACGACCCCTTCGATGGTAGGTGTGTCGAAATCTTCTATGGATGTCCTCATCACATGCACTTGGTACTATAAGAGATTGGCACATGCCAATTATTTCCTGTTTTGGTTGCGGGAGAATTGGTGTTGATATGCTGCCAATAGAGCCTTTGCCTGACACAATCATTTAAGAAAGAACATTAGCCTTCTCCAAGGTCTTGCCCCCATGGGATTCTGTAATGATCAAGTAAATTATGTAAAATAAACTGAGTGTAATCTAGCTAAACTAAGAGGAAGGTCTTACATTTTATCCATTCAATTCTATAGCATGGAAAATTGATTCAATTAAATTGAATGCTCAATTTGGGTTTTATTTATGTAGGAGAGGGCTTTAATCATTGGAAAAATGGATGCTAATTCAAAAAATTGAGTTTGTGCCATTGTCAGCTTTTTGATTTTAGTCGGGGTGCACTTGACTAATAAATTATTGATGTTCTCTTTACTAAAAATAGATGCAGGTGTACCACCATTGAAAGCGTGGGATTCATTTTTCTCTAATCTTTGATCAATCCACTTGTTCAAAATGAAAATATTATTTGTGATCAACTCAAGTCTGACCAACTTAGTCTAAACCATTATCAATTAGCTCACGCCTAATGTTAAGCCAGCAGACATCTTGGGAGTTATGTTCTTGGATCCTATAAAAATAAAAAAAATAAAAAAATATTCTTGGATCCTACAATCTACTTCATCCGCCCCTATGGTTAAGCTGTTGTTTGGTGCTCAAGATGATGAAGATTTTATCTTAAGGTCTTTTTTGCACATAGAATAATATTTTTCCATTTATATGATTCACATGATGCACCACACAAATTGGAATACAACAATTTTTTTTGGCTAAATATTATACCAACTCTGAATTTGTGTCATGTCAGGAGCTTTCATCAGGCTAAAGCTCCGACCAGGTGCTAACATATGGAGAGTAGAGCTTTTTGAATGCTAATGCTCTTCCAATGTGCTTGTGATTGGGTTCAGCTTCTTGAAGTGTTCCATAGAAGGATGTTAGACATAATCGAGATCCATCTCAACAAGCTATAGGTTACTGATCGCATCTTAATTTCTGATAGGAAATACTTGAGTTCGCAAGTAATCCTATCGGATCTACTTGAGTTCGCAAGCAAACCTAACAATAATCGATAAAATCAGCGAGAAAAACGAAGAAATCGTAGTGAAAGAACAATCAAAGAGAGCAATTCTTATAGAAAACAAAGAGAAACACGAACAAAGCAAAGAAACAAGAGATCCTCAATTCGAGAGGAGGATCGTCTCTCTCATATCTCTAGACAAGAGAGTGTAGAGTTCAAGTCGCCAAGAAACCCTAATTCCCAATCAATCAAAACATATTCCTCCCTAAACCTCTTTTCCCTCTCAATACAAACACTTTCCTAAACTAATTTCCCTCCCAAGACCTGGCCGCCCACTCCCTTTGAATTTCAAAATTATTTGGCAAGTTGGGGCCCACCATGTGGGCGGCCAAACCCAAGGGAGGCGGACAAGTTCCGCCTCCTATAAACCTGAACCGGCCCTTGGGCTGGCTGGGCCGGCTCAGGGTGAACCGGCGGCATATCAATTTCCCTACCTTCCGTTAAGATCTTGTTGTCCTTAATCTCATGCACACATTAGATTGAACCAATCGGTTGTTACGTGATGTCACAAGTGCTGATGTTGGTTGAATTTTATTAGGTTTTTTGTTATTTTGACTTATTACCAATAATTGTCTTGATTGAAATAGACTGGTTCTTTATGTAAACAAATATTAGTAAAAATTATTTTTTTCTTTTGCATGTGTAACATGTTGTGCATTGAAGATGCTCTGGATCAAGCGCCACCCTCTTTTTGAATAAGGATGGAAGCCTTTGGAAATCTATCTTTGTGTCAGTAACCTCTTCAAGGAAGGCCAAATACTTATTTTTTGATCTCATGAGATCTATGACTGGCGCTAGTGAAATCTTGATAACGGTTGATCTGCAATTATGGTCAGTAAAATTTAAAACCAAGGCCGGTGAGCATGAGTAAGGGATTCGTGATGAACAACAATTTCAATATTTTGACCATTGATATGTAGATTTGCTGATTTGAGATGGCGAGAAACTTGCTGGGAGCCGGTGCAGGCCAAGGTATGGGCTAGCGATTAATTGTGGCTAGGGACATTGAGGTGGTAAGGTACTTCATTTAGAGCAGGTGCATGCCAATGTGAGAGCTAAAAGCTAATTGAGTAGGCACGTGCATGGCATTAGTGAGAGTACTATTGAATCGGCTTGACATGGACGATCCCAAAGCTTTGTGAGAGTGGGAGAACTTTGATGGAAAATTGAGAGGGAGACATTAGAGAAGTGAGAGAAGTAAAGAGATCCACAAACAGTGATGACAACACCATTTGCAGGGGATAGAGGCATGGATCTTATACCATAATGGAAAATATAGAGAATAAATGCTATTTAACATGTTTTGTTCAATATAAGGAGATTTATATTAGAATAATCTAAACTGCCATAGATTTACATAAAAAATTAGTACGGATATATTAAATGCAACAAAGCTACCATTCATAATTCCAACACTACCAAGCTACATTTTACAATTGTAGCAAAAATTAATTGAGGGCTTGCCATGCTTCTGTTGATGATTTGGATGAGTATAAGATATATAGAATGAATATATATGTAGACAAAATTTGTCTTTTCATGATCTTGTTAGAGTACAAGGTCATAGCTTGAGCCAAAAATTGTTTGTTTATGTTCCTAGCGCACGAGTATTCTCACCAACATATGGTCTGAGGTGGAGTTATAGTCTTGTATTGAGGAGAAGCCATTTTGTGGACATATTGTTTGTTTATGCTTCTATTTGCTATTACCTCTCTGTAGACTGTCTTAATTTTATATTGTTCTTCATGAACCTCCAACTCAATGTGTCGAAGTTAATGCAATGCTAATTATTGTTTGATTTCACCTAGGTCCTTTTAGGCCGTTTGACATCTATCATCAAGTAAATATATTATGGTATGCTATACTTTCAACTCCGTATGATATTTAATTTCTCCAATATGTTCATTAATTCTTATGTGCCTATCATTTAGTGCCCCTGAGGTTTTGTTTGATTCTTTGAGGTTTTGTAAAATATCGAATACCTCCCTTGAATTAACTCTTCCATCCATTAACCCTTGTCATAAATAAAAAAATGATTGCCAAGACTAAGCTATATGCATAATTTATGCTATGAAACTAGCATATTTACAATCCAAAGTCATTTATAATTAATAAAAAAATAAATTATAACTTTTTTTTTGAACTTTTAAAAATCAAAATATACTGAAAATTAAAACTTATCATGAACAAATTATAAATTGATAGTATCAAAAGTCTAAATAATCAAAATCGTTGAAAGTAAAATACTTTATCTTTATTAACTTATTTCTAGAATTATTGTTTTGTAAATTATATGCTTCTGATAGCTCAATATGTAAATTTTAGCATGCATATAATACAAAGTTATTTGTTAATAAAATAACATATATAAATTGTTCACAGTTTAAAATTTTCTTACATTTCTGAAAAGTACGAAAAATTCAAATGGATTTAGAAACAAAATTTCAAATTGATAATGTCTAAAGTTAATTTTTTGTAGGTTGACCTTTAGGGATAGTGCTGCAGGTTTATGCAAGCAATTTAGGTTTTTTTTTTTTTAAGAAATTATGTAAGCTAGTAACCAAACTACCATTTCTTTTACCGGTTAATGCATGGAGTTAACCCAAATGAGGTATTTGAGAATTTTTCAAATCATAGGGGTTTAAGGGAGAGGCAATGGCGAATACCATTTAGTTCTTCCTAGAGCTCCTTGATATTGGACTATTGACCATATTCTTTCTTCTTATTTTCCACTTTAGGCCTGGTTTGCTTGGAAAGGACAAATATGAATTTGCAAAGAGTTATTGCATGCCAAAACTTACGAAGGGATTTCAAGGAAAGCTCTATCAGGTATCCTGAGTGCAAGTGAAGCTTTATTAATTACAATTTTTGTTTGAAGGTGTGAAAATTTTATCTTGTTTTGGCATTTAAATCAACCCTGGAGTCATGGATTCTATCAAATTTCTTTGCAATGTTTTATCTTGTTTTAGAACACAATTTTTTTAAAAAAACTTTTTAATATAACTGCGAATTATTTGGTGTATTGGAGGAACATTTCCATTGGTATAACATCCTTTAATTTTTTCCCTTGTTTTGGCTGGCTTGTTATTTAATTATGACATTTAATCGTGGCTTTGCTTTTTAGGGTAAAATGTATCTTTATGGAGATTTATAGCTCTGCAATGTTGATTTTTTTCCCCGTAAATGGAGAATTGTAAATGTTAATTCGTTTGGTGCACATATCCTGCAGGACTTCTCAAAGGGCATACGTTTGGAAGAGTTAAATATACTACTAAGGCAGTATGTTATGGTTAGTTCATGGTCTGACTTTTCTTTGATCGAATTTCTATATGCTTTTCTCACTTGACATTTACATGCGGTACTATTTTCTTTCAGTGTTGTCTCGTAATTACTAGGGCACTAATTTTTTTTTCTGTTATCTTCTTCTTCTAAATTGCTGAAGTATTTAGATATAGTGCTTCTACTAGTTTGAATATATAGATAAACACCTATACTATTAAAAGAAGTTTGTTTTGTGAGGACACTGTTATCCTTTGAGAGTTGGGAATTGAACTCAACAAAGTAGAATTACTCGTGAGAATGAGATGCTGGCGGTGGTACACTGTCTACTGATTTTGTGGATCTATTTACCGGGTATTAACTTCATTGTTAAAACTGATAATGTTGCAAATATTTTTATTTTCAAGGCAAAAAGGAGTTTTCTTCCAATCAGCCTTGGTTGCAGGAGTTTGACGGAGTATGACTTCATTTTTGGTAGCATAAACATGGGTGGTTCAATCTGCTTGTAACTGCTTTGAGTTGGAAGGATGTTCTTGCATGCTTGAAGACCATTTAGTTGTCAAAGTAGTGCATTCATTGCAACCTTTTTCTTCTTTCTTTCTTCTGCTGGATTCAATTGATGTTCCGATATTGCTTTAGTCAGTGGGAAACTTGTTTCTTACAGAGTATGACTTCATTTTTGGCGGGATAAACATGGTTGGTTTAATCAGCTTTTAGATACTTTGAGTCGGAAGGATGTTCTTGCATGCTTGAAGACCATTTAGTTGCCAAATTAGTGCATTCATCGCAACCTTTTTTCTCTTTCTTCCTTCTTGTGCTAGGATTCAATGGATGTATCGATATTGATTTTGGGGCTGTTTTAATTGAAGTAAAGTGGGTGTAAAGTATTCCTTTTGCAAGGTTTTTGCAAATATTGGTGTTTGGTTTGATGAAATATGAATGCAATATAAACTATTCTAGTTCATTTTGAGATAAACTCGCCCTATTTTGAGTGAATTTTTTTTTCACGGAAAACTAGCTGCCTTTGTCTCGACCCACCCACCACCACCACCCCTCACTGCTTGCCACCACCGCCGCCCGTAGTCGTCCACCGTTCGCCACCTAACCCTTGCCGGCCGCCACTGCACCAGCCCATCGGCCACCTCTGCAGCGGGCTATTTCCGCTGGCCACTGTACATCCTCGGCTACCACTGCCAGTGTCAGCCACTACCACCTCCCTCTTTGGACTATATTGCATACATTTTACTTTAAACCAGTGGCGGATTTAGGGGGGGCCTAGCGGGGCACGTGCCCCCCCTCTCACCCCAATTTTTTTTTTCCTTATAAAACCAGTCAACTATTGGCTGAAATGATTTTTTTTTCACTATCCCTATCTCTTCTCTCTCTCTCTCTCTCTACAATGTCATTTTTTTCTGTTACGGTGGCAACCTTTTTGGACTTGATGCCCTCTCTCTCTCATAAGATTAAGATGATATTTTCCACTTAGCTCATTTTTTTATTTTTATTAGATCATCTTAATTTTTTTTTTCATTTATATTTATCTCTTTATATATATATATATCATTTATCTTCACATTATTAGTTTTTTTAAATAAAAAAATTCATCATTTTTTTAAATTATTTTAAAATCTCCAAATTCTCTTTTATAAAAAAAATATATAATTAAAGCTAACAAATTAATTACAATAGAGAAAGATTACAATATTTAAATTTAAATGAAGTAGCTTAAAATATACTAATTATATTTTTTTATATCTTTTATATTAATAAGATGCAGCTGTTTTATATTTATTACTCGTTATAAATTATTTTTTATTTATTTAAATTAGATATGAAAACCTTAAGTTAGATATTTTTTTAAAAAATAAAATCCTAATGTCAATTTCAAACTCGAATGAAAAAACTTGATGGTATTTTTTAAATTAAAAATTTGTGCCCCCGCAGATAAATAATTCTGGCTCTGCCACTGCTTTAAACCAAACATAAAAAAAGAAATCTCAAGCATTTCTTTTACACATCCAAACAACTCCAAAATATTCTTTTTACATTGCATTTCTTTTGTACTATATTTCTTTTACATTGAATTCTTTTTTCAGTCAATCTGTTTTCTGCTTAGTTCGCAATTCAGTAAGGCGACCTCCATCTTACTTTGTGTATTTTTTTTTCTTTAGTTTATTTAATAATTTCAAGTGGATGATATTTAATATTTTGCAAGCCTACCTAGCACTCAGCTTAAAACCCTCAACAGGTTGCATGTTTATGTTTACGGGCCTTATTTGTTACTAGCTTTTGTTTTATTAAGATTAAGACAGGAGATTTATTCATTGATGATCTACAGTTTCAATTTGCAGATAAGGCGGTTGAAAGATCATGTGTTAACACAGTTACCTCCCAAGCGGCGGCAGATCATTACCCTGAAGTTGAAAACATCAGATATATTACTAGCAACAACATTGTGTACAGTGAATTGTGGGTTCGTTGATTTGGATGACCCTTCAAATCAATTAGTGATAGACTGTAATGACAATGATAATGGTAGTGGTGAGAAATCGAGGAACTTCAATACATGCCATGGTAACAATTTCCTGGAATTTTCTCATCATTCATTATTGTTAGCAATTTTCTCTACACTATTTATCTGTCACCTATTGTCTTTTTTTGTTATTAATGACCAGGCTTGCTTCCTTTATAAGTTTGTTTTGCATTCCTTGACCTTTTCCTGCCCTTTTTCATCCACATCTAATATTTTAACTGTCATTATCTTCTTAAAAAAAGTAATTCCAATAGAAAATTAATGCTTTTCTGCTCCTTGAATGTTTATGAATTTGATGTCATTGTCTTTCTGTATACCCTGGTGATGTAAAACAGACATGCAAAGAGTTGCTTTGGGATTGTAACAATAAAGATTGAATTTGTGCGTTGCTAATTAGTAACTCATGCTTCAATCAAGTTAAATTCTTAGAACTTTTCGTTGGAAGATTAGAAAATGGTAAGCCGTTACAAGAGGTTAGCAAGACAATTGCAATAACAACAAAAATTAAATAGTAGTACTAATAGCAAGTAATCAATAATCCACAGTGTAACATCAAAACATGGTCACTTTGAGTTCCCACTCACTCAATCACTCTTAGGCTTTAGCGGATGAAGGCGAAGCATACGATGAGAGAAACTGCCACTAGGAAGATGGTACCGAAGGTTTTTGTTGATGGAGAGGTAGCCACGGACGGAGAAGGGGTAGATCTCCCAATGAGAAGCCAAGGCGTCTTGATTTTTTGGAGATCGATCATCTCCGCTAAGCAGTAGAGGATGCGCTTGACGTATCTTTCCATCGTTTCGTCGTATTCGCAGTCAGGCTCGTAGAAGGGGGAGCGGAGGATGTCGTTTTCCCCTCAGTCGTTGTAAGTAAAGCCGTGATCGACCTCAGGATCGGCCATGCACCATAAGCATGAGAAGGATTGATTACAAGGAGGAAGACAAAAGGAGAGAAAAGGGTGGTGGAGAGGGAGGCTGACGGCTTGAATAGGAGGGAGAGGGGTGGGGACGGCTTGAAGAGGTGGGGAGGTGGCTAGCGTTTGAAGGAGCTTAGGTTAGGCTAGGGTGGAGGTGTGGTTTAATCCAAATATGAAATTAATCTTAGATTTTGATTAAATTTGGAGGGAAATAATTTGAAATTTGATTTCAAATTAATTGTAATTAAGGCATTGATTGAGGATTATTGGGGGGGGGGGGGTCAAAGATGGGGCCGGCGGCATGGAGAGAGAGGGGGAAGGGGATTATGAGGGAGTTAGGCTCTTTCCAAACAAGATATGACAACTAGGCAGGAAAATAATGAATCCTCCAAAATTAAATTTCAAATGGATTCAAATTTGAAAACTTTCCTTATTTAGATTTCACAAATAAGGAAAGTTTTGAATTTCAAAATTCACTAATTTATTCCTTTAATGCTAGATCTAAATTAGGGAGTCATTATGATGATTAGAATCATCATAATGGCTTGATTAATGGGTATGTGGCCGGCTGTCAAAGGGGGGAGGGGGATTTGTCGTCGGGTTGAGGTGGGCTTGGATGGTGGTTGGACTTGGGGTGGTGGAGCTAGAGGATGAAGTGGGTGGGAGAGGTTAAGCAACCGGTGGAGGTGGACTTGGAAGGGGACGGCGGGTGTAGAGGGGAAGGAGAATGAGGGAAACACAAATAAAATAGAAAAGAAGAAATTACCACGAGTCGTGGACTCTTCCAACGGCTGGTGGGCCTTGCACTTACTCACCTCGAGCTCTCTCCATTCTCTCTAGTGATCACACAAGAAGAAGAAGAAACACAATAAATTTTTATTAAACATTCATCATCCCACTACAACACATAGGGCCACTATATATAGGCCTCTAACATGAAAAGAAAAAGTACAAACTTGCCCTCCGGGCTACATTGACAAGACACTCCCCATAGGGGTAAAATCGGAAAACAACAAAACTAAATAAAACATCATGCATACAACAAGACTAGATAAAACATAAAACGTCAAAAGTAAAGACGCTGAATCGTAGCCATCGATCTACGATTCCTTCGCCGGTACACGTGTCTGAATCTCTGAGCGATGTCCTCATCACCTGGTTTATGATTACAATAACTTTTAGTAAGCTTATCTCAGAAGTATCATATTCATCCTTTTTTTTCTATGCTTTCAGAGAAAGATTACAGAAGAACTTCAAAGCTACTCTCCCTTCAGGAAATAGGCATTGCAAAGCTTTCCGGATTTCGTGAGTGGTTTTCAAACCATGTTGTGGTTGGAGAATTGGGGGATGCAAATAACTTGGGCATTGGTCTTGTCTCGCTAAAGATGATTATATTTGCCCATCATTTGAAGGTTCTAGATGGAGTTCAGGTTAGGTTATTTGTTTAAACGTATACTGTCCTTATTTTGATGTATGTTACCGTTGGTAATTGCCCCATCAAAATGTATGTTTGGCATCAATTACGTGATTAATTACCTATTTTCTTTCTTTATTAGCTTTTTTTTGTTGATATCTTTGGACTTTCTTTATAATGTTTTTTAATTTATTTATTTTTGATAAGATTTTATTTTTTAAATATTTTTTAATTACTTTTAATTGTATTTTTATCGTAAATAAAGTTTTAGGGGTAACATGGAGTTCATGAAGTTTTATTTTGAGTGCAGTTATGAAATTTACCCTCATCTCCTCTCCCTCTTCTCTTATGCAACTCTCTTTCATGTCTTTCTTTCAATTCCCTCTAACTCTCTGTTTTTTCTCACATCCTTCCCCATATCTTTTTCTTTTGCAAACTCATATTCCTATAGAACCAACTCCTCTTTCCTTCTAAAAAACATAGAACCTCCCCTCAATGGTAACATCGCCTCTCATTTTCTCCTCTCCTCTTATTTCTTTTCCCCTCTTAATTTGTTTATTCTTCTTCTTTCTGCTTTCTACTACTTGCATCAATTTTTGCCCTGCTTCTCAACCTTATTGCTAGATACTCTTTAACCCCTTTGGTTCCCAATGATGACATCATTTTTAATTTCAAAGCTTAGGTTATTGTAAGGTCCTTCCTTCATTGCCTAGAAAAGATCACCTTGAAACTTTGATATATCTATTCTTTCCTCATCATTCAAAAGATAGGCAATACAAGTTTTTTTTTTTTTTTTTTTTATTAAAATTGTCAGCTTGTACACATTGTCGTGATGTTTCTAGGTGAAATCATCAAGGTTGAAGTATCAATCATGAATTTTGAATCATAGCATTTATTCAAGGAGTTTTAAAAATAAAATTAAGCAACGTTCATCCAAATTTGTGAAGAATTGACATTTCTTACTATTTTTTTTGTAATACGCTTCTGCTCCTGCAAAGTTAGAATGTTCATTCAAAGCTGGTTATAGTTTTTGCTGCTCGTTTCATGGACTACGTTCAACGACCACTACACGTTTATTTCTTGACATATCAAACTATCCTGGACTAATTTGTAGTAGTTTCCACCCTTGAGTGAAAACCGGACCATGAGGCACTGGTGAAGGGGTGGCATTGCGTGAGATTTGGAAATCGCTTGATGATTTGGATGATTTTTAAATGTTGGACAAATCGAGTTCGAGGTATTTCAAACCCCTTAAAAATTTACTTCGTATTTCTTTTCTTCAAATCAAATATAAAAAAAGTTGAAATGGTGGGAAGACGAATGGTATACAGTTATAAATATTCCAACCTAATAAACTCCTAGGGAATTAAGAATTCATTTGATTCCCAACCTTACACAACATTCACAATAGGTACCTCCCTAATTTTTTGTTGGTTGATACTTCTTTTTGTGGGGTCTTTAATGCTGAGGAATTGCCTTGGTAAATTATGTAATGCATGCTGCTTCTTGCTTGATACAACAGCTCCCCTTTTAATATTTTGCACTCACTTTACGCTCAAATGAACGTTGATAGCATCTCTTTGATTGGGAAAATGTATTCAATGGCCATTTGCTTTGTGTAACTCATAACTGATGCCTGCTAAGTATCCAAGTTCTTGAATGAACTCTTGTTGCTTATTCATTAAAAGGCGCTGGATTCTCTATTTGATGGGTTTAATTATATGCTTGCATCCTGTATTTTATATCTTACCGTAGAAAATTACCTTCCAGGTTTGCTTTAGCACTGTTCCAGAAGCCCTTATTTGCATCTTCTTTCTAGTTCTTAAAATTTATCTCTAGTAGAATGTAATCTGTTTAATTTATTTATATTCTGGATATTTCAGGATTTTTTATGTGAGAAGGGAATCCAATTTGTTCGCATTGATGGTAGGACACTGCCGAAAGATAGGCATACAGCTGTAGAGTCCTTTCGTCTATCAAGTGAGGTTAGTTTCATCTTCTCTAGGTATCTTCTGATGGATTATGATAATTGAGTGCATATCTTTTGGTAAATTGCTATATGGATTTCCATCTGAGACTAGCAACAAAATAATGTTGGTAATATTCAATTAAAGTAATAACAGGCCAAGAATATTTGAAGATTAAGTTATATGTTGCTGAGAGATGGCTAAATATGATGGCTTTATTTGAATATATGGGTTTTTTATGGGAATATGTCATATAAAATTAAAGTTTGGTGGTTAAAATGGTGGTTGCACTATGGGTATTCAGCAAGTAGAAAATCATCTAGATTTATGTCCAATTTCATAAAGCTGTGCTATGAATGGATCTGCCGTGGAATTGATTGGCGGTAAAAATGGAATATATGGTAATTAAATGTGATAAAAATGAAAAAGTCAGGACGGATAAATATAAAATTGGATAAACTATGAAATAAGTTTAGTACAGACGCTAATAGAGTAATGTATATTGAAAATATGATCTTAGAAAATAGGCTAAAAAAGGTTTGTGCTTGTACACTGCAAACCAAAAGATGCACCAATAAAGTTGAGATGTAGAAATAATATAAACCGTGTAGAAATTAATAGAGATTTCAGGTAAGTGGACAGAATATCTGAAAAAAAAAAAAACTCGTGCAAATTAGATGTTACACGAAATGGAATTTAATTTGTATGAATGAAAAAAAAAAAAAAAACGATTTACAGAAAATCAGTAAATTGTTAGTACAAGTCTATGATAATTAGCCCCTAAAGCTTTGCACAATATCTTTTTAGATTGTTACGGAATAACTAGTTTTATATTCTACAATTGCCCGACAACTTTATCTAGTGAATGGATATACGACAATTCTTTACTCCTGCATAAAATGAATTCTTTTTCCCGATAATTGTTAAAGGAGTTTTCTAAAGAAAATTTAACTGCTTTTGTTTTTTTTATATAATCAGGTGAAGATTGCAATTATAGGAATTACAGCTGGTGGTGTTGGGCTTGATTTTTCATCAGCACAGAATGTGGTCTTTCTGGAGCTTCCTAAATCAGCATCAGAGATGTTGCAGGTCCATTGAATGCATTGGTCTGCTGATTTTTGTTTTATATTTTACTTGCTGAAACTGTTGTTTGCTTTAAGAATAAAAGCTGTTGTGCTGATGTTGAGAGCAATGCCAACTTACCAATTTGATACCATGTATTTGTATTTCAAAGTCACTCAAGTTTTATTTCCATGATGCATTTTACTTTTCTGACGTTGCCAGATCCCATGTCCTGGATGAGAAAAGTGAAGAGTTGTGTTAGGTAATCGACAACTAGCATAAAATTTGTTGAATAATCATGACTTGAATTCTTTGATACATTGTGTTAAAGATAGGGTGTTCTTTGAAAGCAACATGTTGTATGACCTGAATATAATGAGAAGTGTGCAAGGGTCACTGTATCCCACTTGGGTGTAGTGTTAAATAAGCAAGAGTGCCTACATTATGGACCATTGTGAGCAAAGAAGCTAGTCCATGTAATTAGAATTAGGAGAAGAATTTTGAATATAGGTTCTTTTACAGACAAATTAATAAAATTAATAAATATTATGATTTATAGGAAGATAAATATTCGTGTATTGAGAAAATTAAATGGGGTGGAGAGAAGACTAAGGGATTGATAGTTTAAGATTTAAATTATTATATTTAGGTAGGAGTCATACTAGAAATGATGTAGGTATATGATGGACCGACTGATTTGATTGAGTGGGTTAGGAAATATCCTAATTAAGAGGGTGTTGTTTAGGAAGGTTCTTAATAAAAATAAATTAATTAGGAGATGTTTCCTAATTGAAGAAAGCATATCTGGGGGTTGATTAATTAGGAAATATTTCCTAATTGAAGAGGGTTGATTTAGGGGCTGATTTGGAGGGGATTATTTAGGAAATATTTTCTAATTGAATAGACAGATTTGGGGGCTGATTTGGAGGGGATTAATTAGGAAATATTTTCTAATTGAAGATGACAGATTTAGGGGCTGATTTGAGAGCTGATTTGGAAATAATAAAGGAAACAGGAGGGAATTTTGGGAGGGCTATTTGGGTATTTATTATTTATTGTTTGCTTTAAATAGGTGATTTTTTTAGGGTGTTGATGTCCCCATCAGATAGGTGTTGTTTGCTGAAATTAGATTGTTCTTGGGGTGTTTGGGCTCTAGCTGGGGCTAGAGATTTGGGAGAGCCAGATATTCTTCTCCAATTGAAGATCCACTTGTACCTTGTCTTTTTTCTTTCATAAAACTTTTAATAAAAAAATGTTCTTGTGTTTTATTTCTGATTTTCTTATCGTTGGTTTTATGAAATTGCTAAAATTAGATTTTAGCCAAGGATTTTCCTAAATTTATGCAAGCACTTACTATCTTGTGTAAGGGTTTGAAGGATAATATTGTAAAAGTTAATATAAGTAGATGTAGAATTATAATTTTAAAGACTGTGTTGATGCTAAGATTAGTAATATTATAAGTGTTTATGCTTCTCAAATATGTTTGGATGTATTCAAGATAAAAATTTTAGAATGACTTGGAAGAGTTAATACAAAGGATACCTCTTAGAAAAAAATTATAGGAGGATATTTAAATGGACATGATGGTAAAGTGATAGTAGATTTTAAAAGCATTCATGGTTGTTATGAGTTTGAAATCATTAATAAAGTTGGTAGGACCATATTAGATTTTGTTCTTGCTTATGATTTTATAATTGTTAGTACCTTATTTAAGAAAAAGAGAGGAGCATTTCATCACTTATAAGAATATATATAATAAAACTCCGGTTTATTATTTTTTATAAGAAAAATATATTGTTTAGATTGCAAGGATTGTAAAGTTATTCCAACTAAAATTTTATATGCCTAGCATTGCTTTTTAATTTTTGACTTTAAGATGAAGGGGCATAATATGAAAAATAAAATAAAATGGTGTCTTAGGATTAGATGGGAGCATTTAAAGAGAGCTAACAAAAATATTTTTGAGAGTAAAATTCAAGATCTTAAGATTTTGATTGTGCATGAGGAAGCTAATGTTATGTGCAAAAAATAGCTAGTGATATTAAGAATGTTGTAAATAATATACTTGGTTAAATGGAAAAGCTCTTAATAGTAAAAAATAGTTGGTGGTGAATTCAAAATGTGCAAAGAATTTTTTGGCTTAGTAAACTTTTTATTGTTATTTGGAAGGCTAAAAAGATACATGATGATTGGAGTTTGTTAACTCCTAGTTTTAAGAATAAAGGTGATGCATAAGAGTGCAAATTATAGATGAATTAAGTTAATACCAATACATTAAAACTATGAGAGATAGTTATTGAACATAGGTTATGGCAAAATGAATTTGGATTCATGCCGAATAGGTCTACTATGGAAGCTATGCATTTATTGAGAGGTTTGTTGGAGAAGTGTAGAGAGAATAAGGAGGATCTACATATGATATTTATTGATTTAGAGAAAAAATGTGATAAAGTTTCAAGAGAAGCACTCTAGAGAGTTTTAGAAAAGAAATGAGTTAAGCATATGTATGCAAGTGTTGTTACTTGTGTTCAAACACAAGGTGATTTGACCAAGTATTTTCCCATTTTATTTGGATTACATCAAAGATTAGCTTTAGGCCCATATCTTTTTGCTTTTGTCATGGATGTTCTTACTAGACATTTGCAAGAGAATGTACTTTGGTGTATACTTTTTATTGATAAGACTAGAGAGGGAGATGATGGAAAACTTGAATTATGGTGGTCAACTTTAGAGTCTAAAGGTTTCAGTTTGAATAGATCTAAAATCAAATACATAGAGTGTAATTTTAGCAATAATAGATCTAGAGGTGGGATTGTGATTTTCGGAGATCAAGTCATTGAGAAGAGTATACGTTTTAGATATCTCAGATCTATTGTTCAAAATGATGGTGAAATAGATAGACATATTATTAGTAGAATTCAAGTTGGATGGTTGAAGTGGAGGAATTCATCGGGCTTGTTGTGTGATGGAAAAGTATCCCTCAAACTTAAGGGAAAATTCTATAAGATGGTGGTGAAACTTGCAATGCATTATGGTGCAAAATATTGGCCATTAAAAGAGAAGCTTAAATTTAAGTAAAGTATTGTAGAGATGTGGATGTTTAGGTCGATGAGTAGCTTTATACTTAGAGACAATGCAAAATGAGTTTATATGTGAAAGGTTGGAGTAGCTTCATCGGCAGATAATATTAGAGAAAGTCGTGTAGATGGTTTGGTCACATAAAACGTTGACCTTTTGATGCCAGGTTAGGAGAATAGATGTATAAATTTGACCTATGTTATAAAAGGTAGAAGCAAAACTAAAAAGGCTTGGTTAGAAAGTATTAGAAATAATATTTTTATTAGATTTAAATGAGAATTAAACTCTTAACAGGAACAATATTGAAAAATGATTCATGTAGTTGACCTTATGCAATGGGATAAAGGCTTGACGTTGTTTTTTTTTCCTACGATGCTAGATGTGCAAATTTCAAATTTGGATACCTCCTATATTAAATATTAGGTTTGGGCTAAGATTATCATTATTTAATTTCCTTACCACAGCCATCTTGATCTCTTAGATTGTTACTATGCCTCGCTGAACGTAATGATCTTCCTGGCTCAAATTCGTTGACACATGCCTTCATCAATTTTAATTCATTATATGAAGATGGTGGAATATGCTATTGTTTATTCCGACTATTGTATTGAAGCGTGGACACTGCATTAAGTGGGCAAGATCATGGTAACAGGGAGAACGGTAAGATTTGGTAAACATGTGAATTTTTTACTGATTTTCGCTGGTTCTAATCTCGGCTTTATAAGTGTAGCAATGTAGTACTGTTGATGCGGACATCCAACCGTCCATGCTAATCCGAGGAGGAGCTGAAGATCGACGACTGAGATCACTTTGTTTTATTTTTGTTTATTAAGTGTATTTTAATTTAGTTTTGTAATTTCCCTTTTTACCCTCTTGTCTTATGTAAGCCCAAGGGGCGAATGTGTCTTTTAATTTCTCTTGAGGCCTATATATAGAGGCCCCCTTCTCTTGTATTTGAATGATGGATTATTAATAAAAAAAAATTGCATTTTGCACTTGGGTTCTTTGGGAAGAACGTTAGTGAAATCCCTATGGGAGGGAGTTGGAGTTTCCACCAGCCGCAGGATGGGTCCGGGCTCGTGGCGTGAAGTCCCTTGGAGAAGGGCAACGTAGTACCCGTCAGCCGCAGGATGTGTCCGAGCTCGCGGTTTTAACTTTGATATTTTGTTTGTTTGCTTTTGTTCATTCTTATTGCTCTTCGTCGTTATATTCATCTTCTTCCTCCTCCCCATCTTCGTTTGGCCATCGGATTCACTTCCACCCGAAATTCCACAAATTTTTCCCCATAGCCGCCAGCCACCTTTCCCCATTAGCTCGGCCACCCTTGTTTGTCTCCATGAATGAGGAGTCAATGTCATCTTAAAGCTTACCTAAAGAGTTCAAATAATTTAGGAAATTATTTTCATCCTTTAATGCCCTACCTACCACACTTGGAAAATCTGAAATTTTACTCAAATTTCAATGCCAGAGCTGAAACTGTTTCAGTTTTCCTGGACAGAAAACTGTTTCAGTTTTCCTGGACGGACAACTTGGAATTCCGCCCCCTCTTCAATCCCATAACCCCCACCTTGGCATTCACTCATATTTATTTCCTTTTTATCCTTATTTGCTCCAGCCGAAAATTTCAAAAGGATTAAAGCAGTAAATGCTTCCCTGAAATACGGGATTGAATTTAGGAAAATTAATTCACCTCCACCTTGGCAGTCACTCTTATTTATTTCCTTTTTCTCCCTATCTGCTCCAGCCGAAATATTCAAGAGGATCAATTTGAACTTTCAATTCAGATTGAATTTGGATACCATGCTTTCCTAATGTCCAAATCAAATTGCCTTCATTTTCATCCCCCGTAACTCCTCAATTAATTCCCTCATCTAAGGAATTAATTAAGGAATTTCCAAATCCTTCCTTAACTCCTCCCCTCACCCCATCAATCCAGTCGGCCCCTCTGTTTTAATTTGAATTAATTCCCAAACCTTCCCTCAAAGTATTTGAGGAAATAATTCAAATTCCCTCAAATAATTTGCTGTCCAGTTAATTCCCTTAGGCAGAATTTTCTTAGCTTGTCTCTTCTCCATCAAAGCTCCAGCCATTAATTGCCTCACCTAGGCTTGCTGTCAGGTTCTTTTGGAGAGGAGACCCTTTCCCTAGCAAAGTTCAATTTCCGTTCTACATCAACTGTGTTTGTCCGTTCCACTCGTGTTGTAGCAAGGTGGTGCCATTAATGATACAGAAGTGAGAAGATTAAGGGTTTATTTTTAGTTTGGTGTATATTTTGCTTGGAAAATAGTTTTAGATCTTTTTTGCATCATCCTATTTTTTTTTAACCATCTATATTTGTATTTCTAGGCTACATATTATATTCTATATCAACATTGCAATATACTTTAGGGGTATCAAGATTAAACTAATTTGATAATTCGATTTGAACCTGGCACAAAAAAAATGGATTTGGGCTAACCCATTTAGTATATATATTGAGTCTAAGTTAGCACTTAAATGAGACATAAAAATGATCTGGTTGAATTCAGGTGAGCTTGAAAATCAAAATTTAGCCCAGCCAATGAGGAGTATCTGATAACAACTTTTTAATTTTCTCTAGTTGGTGTGTACAAATTGAATTATAATGACCCTTTTGTACCATGATGACACTAATTAGTGTTACTCAACTGCTTCTCATGTTGTGTTTTGTTCGATTTTTATATTTTGAGGTTTAGATTGAAAATGAATATTTCAATTTCTTTAATAAATTGGTCAAGTGTCGTTTGTCTCTGATGACTCTTTTCATTATTAGGCCAAACCCGAACTTCGCCCTTTAACATGATTTGATACCCATAGTTAGCTTTATTTGAGTTTAAGTTGATTTAACAATTAAAAAGGTCAAGTTATAGCCATTTGAAATTATTATGAAGTGAGGTTTACTTTTTATTGTGAAAATTCAGGAAACCTTTTATGGTCATTTTGTTTTAATGTGTCTGAAAGTATGGGTTTCTATTTTTGAATTGGGTGCAAGTTTTTATTTATCACAACGTGGATGGAAGTGACCTCATATTTTTGGAACTCACTTTCATAAAGGTGAGAGGTAAATTTTAATCACGAGGGCTCCAAAATCACTTTTAATTTGTTTTGTTTGCTTAATATAATAATAAAATGATATAAAGTTTTGCGAGGATTAGGTAAATAAAGATCATTTAAGCTGACCGGGATATTGGTAAAATAAATATGATAAATATTAGGCTACATAGAATAATTAGGATTATTAATTATGATATAATTGGATAATTAGTCATTATTAATTAGATATTATATAGGGTAATTATTTATTTTAAATTTTAATGATTTAATTAATGGATTTATTTGTAATTGTTATACTAAATTAACTGAGTAAATAGAATTAGGGATTTAGTAGTTGAACAAGTCATTAATCAAGATTTGATATTTAATTATAAATTAATTATTCATATAATAATTTTATATTTGAAAATAATAAATGTAATTAATATTATTGATCGTGATAATGACATTTATGATTGAAATATTAATTTAGCCTGACTTTTTGTGAAACTCACTATAACATAAACAAAAATGTGTCTCATAGTTCACATGTAGTGAATCATGCAAAAGAAACAAAATCATTAAGACTCACTTGTAGAACTTTGCTGCAACCAGTTATATTAAATTACATTGAAACAAACTAATCTTTTATGTAACAAGCAACTCTTTCCACCTTGTAGACTAATCCTTAAAAATCTCTTCCTAATCCATTTCAAATATTTTCTTTCCTTCCCCCTTCTTCTCCTGCAACTGTCAATCTCTTTATTGTGTTATCTTGCATCATTCTATTTTTTTATCTCAAATGACACTTACCAACCTAATCAAGATTCCTACTTCGTTAAGCAGTTTATCTTTGTGAATTGGTTTTAATAATGTTGTCATAAGTATAGTTGTTTTTTTAGATTCTGTTTGGGATAGCTTTTTGTATGGCTTGTTTTTTAGATTGCTACATCACTTTCTCTTGGCTATTATTATTATTTTTTTAATTTAGGTGATGGGAATTTGCTTTTTATAATCAAAGCTACTAGATTGTTTGTAACTATAGAAAAAATATTTATAATGCTCGTAGTAGCTTTCAAGAAAGTTGTTTTTCTCATAACAATTTTGCAATCATCTTAACAAATAGCTGTAGTCGCCTCAAACAATCCCATATTTAGTAGATTTCAAACAATGTTTCAGCATTTTGTGTGGATGTTATTGACTTAAGTGCAGTAATTCAATTGAACACAATGTGGAATTATTTGTATTCAATACAAAAAACATCCATGTTGTATTGCTATCCCTTTGCAATTTTTATGCTTAAGTGTGTCATAAAACCTACATGTTTCTCCTTCCTTTAGGCATCATGTCATTTTTTGTATTTTCTTTTAAGCAGCTTATTTGATGTCCAGTGAAATGACTTTAACCTCCTTCATAGGCTGAGGATAGAGCTCATAGGCGTGGGCAAACTAATGCTGTCAACATCTATATCTTTTGTGCCAAGGTAAGCATTATTTGTGCCGGATGAATGGCATTTTTATGTTTGAAACAGTTATTGAGTTCAGTGCCTTGTAACTCCATTTAGATGGTATGACCTAGCGCAATCTTACATATTACTTGAAATTTTCAGGGTACTTCTGATGAGTCACATTGGATGAATTTGAACAAGAGTTTGTTTCGTGTTTCTTCCATGATGAACGGGAAATATGATTCTGTAAAGGAGATAGAGGTACCATCTCTATGATTTGGTGTGTGTGTGTGATAGGCGCTGTTTTTATTTGATTATGGCTCTTGATTTTTGCTTATGCTTGATACCATAGTTATAAGTAGCCTAATCAACTGTTGCAATTATATGTTGCTACGAACTCCATCAATGAGCGTTTGAATTGTCGGGAAGTGTGTTTAGCTAATTGATTCTTCATTTTCTATTGCATTGTGAGAGTTAGGTTGATGGAGTTATCCAGCTAGGTAATGCTGCAAGGATTGAAGAAGCAAATTGTGAAGCTAATTGTACCGATTCTTTAAACACTGAACATCAAGGTAAAGAGCTTTTCAAAGATTGTGCCAGGACAATGTAAAGCATGATTATAACATTTTTGGAGTTCTGATGGCAATGCTGTAAAATGTGTAGTTGAGTCCATGGGAATGCATGTTTGCACTCCTGATGTCTGTAAAAGCTTCACCGCAGAGAAATCTAATGACAGAGAGGATAATATGCTCCAAGCTCTCAATCTAGAATTGAAGGTGAGATTTTTTTTCATTCTCGTTTGGTTTGTCTTCAAGGTATTTTTAGGGCTTTAGTTGGCAATAGCAGTAAGCTTTTTTATTATAGATTCATCGATTATTAATTTTTCTAAACCATTCTTAGTTAAATGGTGCTAAAGATTCAGATTTTGGTCTTCCGTCCATTTTAAATGAAAGCGTTGAAGGTAATGATGCTGAACCTTCACATTCTTATCACTCTGACAAGACAGGCAGGCTTGGTAGGGGCAGCATGGAAGTGGATTCAGTGGAGACAATGCCATATCAGGTATGCATTCTCCGTTTTGTTAGTTTAGAGTTTTGACGCCCATATGGAGTCCTGTAGTTTTAAAATAATTCAGATGGTGCAGGACGAGGGTAGGTGGTTAGGAATAACAAATGCTGATGGTGATTCTTATGAGGTGGATGCCGGTGGTGAGATTCTCATTCAAGAAGAATCTCTTCGGTTTGAGGTAAATATAGCATATACGAATTGGTTGGTTAAAATGCTCTGCCTTCATTGAAAATTAAATAATTTGTGCAAATACTGTTTTTGCTTTTTTTTTTTTTTCTTTTTTCTGCATATTTTGGTATTCTTTAAGTTTCGTATTGCAATTCTCTCATCAACGTGTTTTTTAGATAAGTTTGCGGGATAGCTTCTATAAGATGGTGGTCAGACCTGTAATACTTAATGGTGCATATTGTTAAAAGAGAAGAATAATATTAAGTTAAGTATTGCAGAGATGTGGAAGCTCAGGTGGATGAGTGGCTTTACTCTTAGAGACAGGATACGAAATGAGCAGATACGTGAAAAGGTTGGAGTTGCTCCACTAGAAAATAAGATTAGAGAGAGACGCTTTAGATGGTTTGGTCACATAAAATGGCGGCCTCCTGATGACCAGTTAGGAAAGTAGATGTATTAGATTTGGCTTATGTTAAGAAAGGTAGAGGTAGACCTAAAAAGACTTGGTTAGAAAATATTAGAAATGATATTTCTTTATTAGATTTAAATGAGAATTTGACTTTTTACAGGACAGTAGGACACAATGACGAAAAAGTATTCATGTAGCCGATCCCACATAGTGGGATAAAGGCTTGCTGTTGTTGTTGGTGCAAGATAGCTTCTCTTTGTTGCCAATCATAGTGCCATTAACAAAGTTCATGTCATTCTTTATGCATCATGTTCTATATTTTTCTGTCTCTACTTGTTATTAAGAAATAGAACAATATAAAATATATGCTCTAATTGTACTTTTGTGACTCTTTTAAAGAATTTTTTATTTATAATATTTAAACATCCTCAGTTGAATTTGTGCTTGATTTATTTATTGTCTCTCCTGTAACTCATATTGCAATCTTCTTAATGATATTAGCTAACTAATCTTGCATCAAGTTTGGTTCAGTTAGAGTTTTATTTTACCTTCCATCATAAGAAATGGTCTTGAAGCTTTAACAACCTCAAAACTTTCAAGTTCCTCCACGTTTCCATTGTATTCTATTCTATATCCACTATGATTTACCTCACAGTATGTGAACTTATATATTTTCAATAGAGTCATTACTAATAATTATCCTCTAATTTCTAAAAATTGATTTGTCAGACTATATTTGAATCTAATTTGGCAACGTAATCATTAACCATAGTTAGAATATATTTGCCTATAATTAATTTAATTGCAATGACTTTATCACTAAATATATTCACCTCAAAAATTTCATTTTGCGACTTTCTACTTACTAGCATCCCCACCCCATTCTTTTCTAACACTTAGACTATTCACCTTTACAACTTTATTTTACAATTCTCTGTTCACTGTTGCCCCAACAATAATCTTATTTTTAATTGTCCCAAGTCACATTAGCTTATAACACTCTTTAATGCTTTTGAATGTTTCTTATCTTTCATTGAATTTCCGACAAACATTGTAATTTTTATTGTTCTTTTAATTGTTAAGTACACTTACATGCAAAGATTTCAACTTCCATGTGACAAATTTAATCTTATTGTACACTAGTCAACCTTGAACATTTTTCACTTTAATTGGGATGTATGTCATTTATGACTAAGGTAGATTATTTTTTTCCGGCAATGGAACCACACTATCCTCATGACAACCTTAAATCCTCCTATCCTTATGACAACCTTAAAGCCTCCTATCCTTATGGAGTTCTGCTTGTGGAGTTGAGCTGTGAGGTAGATGGTGCGTTGATGTTGATGTTTACCTTATCTATTAAATTGAATTCACTTTCTTAAGCTAATGTAGGGAAGGCAGTAGATTCTGTTTGACATCTTCTGTACTTGTGTTTTTCATCACTCATAACATTTCTTAAGCTCTTGAAGTAATCTAATTATCTTCACATTTTCTTTTGCAGGTCAGTAATTATACAGGGAGGATTCACTTGTATCTCTGCGTGCCTGGAAAGGACGTAAGGCCAAGGCCAATTTTTGTGAATTTCCGGCAAGAGGAATTGGACTCCATCGTGCTTTCTCTTGGTGAATTAAAGAAGGAAGCTGCATCTCAGCTAGTGAAGGAAAATCCGGCATATTGTAATATCTTCCGGACTTTCATAAAAGAGTGGAGTAATTTAAGACCTATTGAACGTCATAAGCTCCTTGGGAAACCTTTACAGCTCCCTCTAAGCCTTGAATTGTGCTATTTAAAGGAAACTGTCAACCATGGGCTTAATGTATGTAAATCCTGGGCCATAGCTCAATTATTATTGTTGATGTGTTTTTGAAAGGCCTTCATATTTAAGATATAAGCTGAGATAGATGACATAGGAAGTCTTCTTAACTTGATTTAACCTCCCATATATTTTGTTGTAATAGTTCTGAATACATGATAATTGTGTGGCTTTTTATTATAAGAAAACACTAATAAGAGATTAATTGCTTTTAAATGCCTTGATTATGTGATTGTTCCATTGAAGCTGTAATGCTTGGAATATATTTAGAACTGCAAAATATGGATACTTGAGTATTAGAAGTTTCATTTCCAATATTTTAATGAAAATTTATCTGTTGTGTATTTAGATTTATACTTGCTTTTGTTTTTTAATAAACTTGGCCATACCTAATTTACAGCCTTTCTGCTTGCATTTCAGGGATTACTGAAAGGTGGGAGCAAACGACGAGTTACTCCATTAAGTGAGATAGGCTGCCATCTTCCAGAAAATGCTGTGTGGAAGAAAGTCGTTCTTTACAGTGGCTCTGCTAAAGAGAAAGAGTATACTCAGGCTTGGTCTGTCAGTGGAGAACCGCTCTGCAAGCTCTGCCATGCAATTTGCAAGTACTGGTTTATTTTTCTGAGACGTTGTAAATCTGAATATCTAGTGTGTCACATCTATTCCTATTTGGACTAAAATATTTTCACTTTTTTCAATGTTGACTTGTCTACAGTGGAAAGCTCTCAACAGCTCCAGAATTTTTTGAGGACTTATTCTGTAATTTGTGTTGCTTTCAAGAATATCGTGTCAGAACTAGCCAAAAAGCCCTCCGCGAGGTAAATGGGCAGTCAATTCTTTGCTAGGATATCTTGAAAGAAATTATCGGTTGTTATATTTTTCCATTGGTGTATTTAAGCTAAAATAAACATATGTGAATTACTTCTGAAAGTTAAGAGTAACCTCACAGGCACTCTTTCAAATAGAACATGGGGTTTGTACCATGTGCAAACTAGACTGTCACAAGCTTGTGACAAACATAAGGCCTTTACCCATTGCAGCACGGAGGAATCATGTTGAGAATATAGCTCCGGAATTGGCGAAGAAAAAGAAATTGTGAGTGTCATTTATCATTAACTAACTATTTTTGTTGTTTTTGTACTGTTTGGTTCTAATGAATTTTTGAGCTAGAAATATCCTTATTATGACTAGGACTGACGCCAGTCTTGTGATTGCTTAACACATTGTACATATTTGCTTCTCATGTAAATTTAGTGTGACTGTTAGACTGGCCCAAGAGGGGCCGGTCCGGTCGGTCTTGAAGGGACTGGCCTATGTCTATACCAGGCCAAAGCTTGGTTCCGCCCAGGCCTACTCCCTCCCCCTTGGGGTGGGGTCCACACTTTAAGGAAGAGAGAGAGAGAGAGAGAGGGGGGGTGGGGTGAGCAGGAAATTTACATTGGAGGGGCCATTTGGACTTTTTACTTTGTATTGTTTTTTTTAATAGTTATTTTCATCCTAGGGTTAGGGTTATGCATATTTTGGATGAATTTATATTTCTCTGAAGGGTTTGCTTTGGCTTTAGCCGCCAGCTAGGGATTATGAGAGACGGATCTTACTCTCGAATTAGATCCATTATATCTTGTTTGTTTTCTTCCATATTTCAACAATTATCAAGTTTTCCTAATGTTTTGCCACTCAATTTCCCTCAATTTATGTTTTATATCGCCGAAATTTCAAATTTCAACCAAGAATTGTTTAATTTCTGCAAGTATTTCCTATCTAATTGGTATCATAGCACTTTCTTGGGCAGAAAAATAAGTTATCTTCGTTATTTTTCGCGATTGGAGCCTAGATCAAATTAATGGCAACAAAGAAGATGGAGGCATTAGAGGGCGAGATGGAACAACTCAAAGTTGGAGTACAGGAAAAATATTCTTTGGAATATTTTTTTATCAATTAAAAGCATCACCGACGATTCCTAGGGTGGAACCACGACGAAAGGAGATCCAAAAGGATGGCAAATGGAGAAGGGCATGGTTAAGGGGAGCCTTGGGGTGTAAATCAACCAAGAGAGGAAGGAAGGGAATGACACCACCACTACACCGGAGGAACCAATGGGGGAAGAAACCATTAGGTTATGGATGCGAGAGCAAGGAAGCTAATGATGCCGGTCTTTGAAGGGGAGAATGCTCAGGGTTGGATGTACCAGTTGGAATGTTACTTTGCCATCAATGAGCTAACTGAAGGGGGGAAAAACATGGCGGCGAGACTATGCTTGGAAGGAAAAGCCCTAGCTTGGGTCCAATGGAGGCATGCTAGATATCCGATCTACTCATCGGAGAATTTAAGAAGTGCTTGTTGGAATGTTTTCGATCCATTCGGGAATGAGACCTCCACGAGCAGTTATATTCCCTAACTCAGGAGGGGACAATTATGGAGTGCTGGGAGATGTTTGAGCTGCTGTTGGGGAGACTTAGGGGAATCTTTGAGGAAGGATTGAAGGAGAATTTCATGAAGGGGCTTAGGGAGAACAAACGGGCAGAACTTAGGGTACTGTGGCCTAGGGGGCTGAGGGAGACTGTAGAGTTAGCTCAAAGGGTGGAGGAAAAATATAAGAGGGAGAAGGTTAGCAGAAACAACATCATGGGAGGGGCCTACTGAAGTTCCCCTACAACTTTAGCACCCATAACCCAGACAATATCCTTCCAGAAAGAAGTTCTTAGGGAGAAGAGTGGTGGAGTTCGCCTAGGGGGCAACTTCAAGCGACCCATAGAAGCGGAGGTTCAGGATAAACGGGAAAAGATGTTATGTTTCAGATGTGATGAGAAGTACACGCCGGGGCATAACTGTAAGGATCAAACTCGTTAGGTTATCACCGTCTGTGATGACGAGGAAGCTGAGGGGGGAGGTGGGAGTGAGGCATTAGTAGAGGAGCAAAAGCTGCATTTAGATATGGTTGACATCTCCTTGAACTCAGTGGTGGGATTCACTCCGAATCACACTATGAAGGTGAGAGGAAAAAACAGACAAGGAGGAAGTGATGCTGAAAGATAGTGGGGCTACACAATTTCATCTCCATCAGGTTTAGACCGATTGAGGCTGAAACTGGTGGACACAAGGTGCTATGGGGTGATGATGGGAACTGGGAAGATGGAGATAGGTAGAGGGGTGTGTAGGGGAGTGACCTTGATCTCATACAAGGGATCTAGGTGAGAGAGGATTTTCTCCCATTGGAGCTAGGGAGCACTGATGTCATCTTGTAGATTAGATGGCTACAGACCTTGGGGGATACCAAGGTGAATTGGGGGACGTTGACCATGGAGGTGATGGTGGAAGGGAGAAGGATGATGATTAAGGGAGATGCAAGGCTCTCCAAATCCATGGTGTTATTAAAAGTCATGTAAGGACCATACAGGAGGTGAGAGGAGAATTTATGGTGGAGCTACAGAGTTTGGAGGGGATTCGAGGGGAGGAAGTGAGGAACATCCCTCTTTCAGTACAATCCGTTATACAACATTTTAGTGTAGTTTTTTAGCCACCCTAGAAGTTGCCACCAAAGAGGAGATAGGAGCACGCCATCACACTGAGGGAGGGAGTATCACCAATTAGTGCCATGCTTTACTGCTACCCCCATGTCCCCAAAAGGTTGAGATTGAGAAGCAAATTTGGGAGATGTTGGAGGCGGAGATCATTAGACCAAGCATGAGCCCTTTTTATAGCCCAATTCTATTAGTCAAGAAGAAGGATGGAAGTTGCAGATTTTGTATGGACTGTCGGGCTCTGAATAAGGAGAATGTGCTAAACAAGTTTCATATTCCCATGATATATGAGTTGCTAGATGAGCTCTATGGAGCGACAATATTCACGAAGGTGTATCTAAAGTTCGGGTACCATCAGATTCAGATGAGAGAGGAGGATATCCTGAAGATAGTTTTCATGACACACGAGGGACACTATGAGTTCTTGGTGATGCCGTTTGGTCTCACCAACACCCTTTACTTTCTAGTTCCTCATGAATAAGGTGTTTCAACCTTACCACATGAAGTTTATTTTGGTTTTCTTCGATGTCATCCTGGTGAATAACAAGTCTAATGAGGAGCATCTGAAGCACCTAAGGGCAATTTTATAGGTGTTGCAGGAGCATCAGTTGAGGGTCAATCTGAAGAAGTGTTTTGCACAAGCTAGTGTGGAGTACTTGGGGCATGTGGTATCCCGGAAAGGGGTGGCCACTAATTAGGCCAAGATCGAGGCAATGCTAAAATGACCCCTACCTAGGAACTTGAGGGAGCTAAGGGGTTCCTTAGGATTGACATGGTACTACAGGAGATTCGTGAGGGGATACAACATCATCGCTTGGCCTCTGACAGAGTAGTTGAAGAAGGACAACTTCTTGTGGGGAGAGCTCTCTACTCAGGCCTTTAGAAAGTTGAAGACTGCCATGACCACGGTCCCAGTCCTAACCCTACCCGATTTTAGCCAAATGCTCGTGGCAGAGACTGATGCCTCAAGATATGAATTGGGGGCAGTGCTCACTCAAAACCATAGACCCGTAGCCTACTTCAGCCAAGTGTTGACAGCTAGAGCTAGATTGAAGTTAGTCTATGAGAGGGAATTGATGACAATTGTATTGGCTATTTAGAAATGGCGGTCTTACTTTTTGGGTAAGCATTTCATCATTAGGACAACCAGTGGAGCTTGAAGTACTTGCAAGAGCTGAAGATGGTGACTGAGGAGCATCAGAGATGGTTATCAAAGTTGTTGGGATATGATTTTGAGATCCAGTATAGGCCAAGGCTGAAAAATAAGGCGGCTAATGCCTTGTCTAGATGCGTGAGGGAGCTCTAAGAGTTAGCGCTTTTGATAATGGTGATGTTGGATTGTGGGCTATTAAGGAAGAAAGTATGCAGGATATGGAGCTGAGCAGGATCATATAGGATCTATTGAAGGATGAGAGTAGCCATCCTGACTATTTCGTAGATGGTGAGAGACTACTATACCAGGGGAGGTTTATGCTACCACGAATCTCGATTCATATCCAACACTTTCTACAGGAGTTTCTTGGGAGCGCTCTTGGTGGTCACTCTGGTGTGCAGAAGACACACATGAGATTGGTTGTTGAATTATATTAAAAGGGGATGCACAAGGATGTAAAGGAGATGGTGGCCATGTGTGAAGTTTGCTAGAGGAGCAAGTATATGGTGATGGCTCCAGGGGACTACTACAACCACTAGCACTTCCAGGCAGAGTGTGGGAAGAGGTCTCCATGTATTTCATAGATGAGCTACCCTGATCTATAAGGGGTTTACTGTTATTCTAATGGTGGTGGACAGACTATTAAATGTGTTCATTTCATTAATTTATGACACTTTTACACAACAATATTAGTGGTGTTGGCCTTTATTAGAGAGTTAGACAGATTACGTGGGATACTAGATTCTATAGTTTCTGATTGAGACGTGCTCCTCATTCACTTCTGAACGGAGTTGTTCATGTTGCATGGGACTGTGTTGAAGAGGAGCATCGCTTACCACCCTGAGATAGACGGGCAGACGGAGATGGTCAACAAGAGCCTGGAGACATACCTATGATGCTTTGCTTTAGAGACACCTCAGATGTGGGCCAAGTGGATGGCATTGGCAGAGTATTGGTTCAATGCTTCGTATCATTCGACGTCCCAGATGATTTCTTTCAAAGTGTTGTACAGCTGAAATCCGTCTCACTTGGTGCACTTTGGACAGAGTAGCACACAAGTCTTTTCAGTTAAGCAGGACTTAGAGGAGAGGGATTGGGTACTTGAGGAATTGAGAAAACACCTGTTGAAGGCCCAACAAATTATGCAAAGATAGGCAAATGAGCACAGGAAGGATATTCAGTTTGAGGTAGGGGATATGGTGTATTTGAAGTTTCATCCTTACAGGCATAGGACAGTGACTACCAGGAGGAATGAGAAGTTAGCTCCGAGATACTTTGACTCTTATGAGATAGTAGAGAGGATCAGAACAGTGGCATATCAATTGAGGCTACCTTCGATCGCGACCATACACCCGGTATTCCATGTGTCATAGTTGAGGAGAGCTATAAGGGATCACATATCAAGTGCGGAGTTACCAGTGACTTTGATGGAGGATTTGCAGGTAGTTTTGGAATCACTGGAGTTGAAGGAGTACGACATGGGGAGGGATGAGTAGGGAACTGTTGATTAAGTGGAAGAACCTACCTGATTACGTCGCTACTTGGGAACCGTATGAGCTGATAAAACATCAATTTCCATCCTTACACATTGAGGATAAGGTGGTTCTTTGGGAGAGGGGTATTGTTAGGCCGACCTAAGAGAGAGAGAGAGAGAGAGAGAGAGAGAGAGAGAGAGAGAGAGAGAGAGAGAGAGCGGAAAATTTGAATTGGAGGGGCTCTTTAGACTTTTTACTTTGTATTGTTTGCTTTTAATAGTTATTTTCATCCTAGGGTTAGGGTTATGCATGTTTTGTCTGAATTTGTATTTCTCTTAGGGTTTGTGTTACGCCGGCCTAAGAGGGGCCGGCTGGACCGGTCCAACTGGTCCGGGTCTACTCGCGACGGAACCGAACGAGGCAGGCGGAACCGAGCGGATGGAGCGAAGCCGATGGGGGCCAGGGAAGATTTTTGGAGGGAAATTTTGAATGCGAGGGGCTGTTTATACATTTTGTAAAACTCCTTTATGGTTAATTAGGAGGTTAGGAGGAAAAGGGGGGATTATCTTGAATTGGAGTTTTCTCTTTGAGATCTAGGTTTTCTTGCTTTGGCTCTTGGCGTTGCCGGAGATTGGAGAGTTGTTCTTCCTCTCGGATTGAAGAACAAATTGTATCTTTGCTATTTTCATTGTCTGTTAGTGAAATACAAGCCGTTGCTTGAGTTTTATCTCAGTTTTCCCGTTTTCTCTCACTGTTTTCATGCAAAAACTGCTGTCCCGTGGGTAAAATCATAAAGGACAATAATGGACTTCCTAAAACAGCCTCTCATTCAAAAATTTTCCCTCCCCCCATGCGTTTTAGCCGTTGTTTGGGCCCACCGACTCCCGCTCCTCCGCGTGTTCCGCCTGGTTCCGCCCGACTTTGGGCCTTCGGGTGTAGAACCGGACCGGTTCAGCTGGGATCGGTCCAGGCGTAACACATCCATACACCAAAGTCAATCTTTTCACACCAACTCCATGCCCAAGAAATAAGCTGTTCTTAGATTTTGGTTCAAGGTTGCCCTATTTGATATAAGCATAAGCAAAGCACCTTATTATTGAAGAATATGTAGGATTATTTGATCATATCTCCTTAGGAGTCTTGAACTCAATGGCAATTGTTGGAGATATGTACACCAATAAAGATGTAGTTTTAATAGCCTCTACAAAAAAAATACTTGGTCAAACCAGTATATGATAACATATGTTTGTCTCTCTCCAATAGTGTCATGTTTAGTTTTAGTACAACTTTATTTTGCTGAGGTGTATCCATTACAATTGTTTGTCTAACTATGTCTTTCTTATAACAAAATGACTTAGATGAAAAAATTCTAAGCCATTGTCAATCCTCAACCACTATCTTTTTGCCAGTTTTCTACTAAATTTTTCTTCGACTATTGAATATTTTAAATACTACACTCTTGTATTCAAGTAAGAAAAATCATGCCTTCGAGAAATTTTTTATGCAGGTAAATATGCATCTAGATCTATCTTTTGATCTAACATTGGTAGGACCACATAAGTTAGAATGAATCTAGTCTATGGTACCTCTGGTTCTATGAAATTCATTAGGAAATTCTGATTCTTATATAGAAACCAATGCCTTCAGAACTCAAAGGCTTCAGTGTTTTGACCATAAAGCAAACCTCTTTTACTCAAATCTAATAGGCCTCGCTATGATATATGCATAAGTCTTATGTGTCATAATTTAGTTAAAACATGAGTAAGAAATTGATGCATCACCTATCACTATGCTGCCTTGAAGAATGTAAATTCCAACTTCAACTTCGAATCTGCACCATAAGAGTTTGAACTACCGAAAGACATAAGATTTTTCTTCATAGTTAGCATGTGTTGGTCCTCTTTAAAAGTTCTCACATCTCCATCATGTCTTAATCAGAGTCATCCATATCCTAAAAATCTTACATACCATATCATCACTCATAAGAACATTTCCACCATCGACAATTCCATAGAAATAAGTTGATCGCCATGAGGGGTCAAGTAATATGAACATTGACTATCCTGGATTCAAACTTCAGCTGAAGAAAAAAAAAATTTGCTATTATTAGAACTAAATGAGACCTATCTTTTGGCTCCTCTACAATTGCTGCTACTTTAGAGTTAGAATTGCCTTTTTGTTTACGTTTATTTTGAGTTTTTCTTGCAATAGCAACATTATGATTCCAATGTCCAATTTTCTTGCAGTAGTGGTGTTGCTCTTTCTTTTTAAAATTTGACTTTGATCTCTCTCTTTCTTCTTTACTTTCTCCAAGCTCCTACCTTTTTTTACAAATAAGCCCTCAAAACACATTAATTCTCAACTTATTTGCTAGAACAATAGACAAAATCTTTGTTATGGTTATTGTATACTTTCATGTAGTGCAATGGTGACAATGTGTTTAAAAAAATGGATGGTAGTCGGTAGAGAGCATAACAAAATCAAAACTTTATTTTCCTCATAATTTTACATTTGAATTTGTCAGTCCAATAGTAGCTTTCCATAGACATCCAACTGCTCTTGAAGTGATAAAAATATGAACAATTAGTGCTTTAAATATAGATGATTTGTTATTTGTTAATACCTTTGCCATGTAGAGGGATTTCAACTTCCCCATTCCTCTTATACAATACCTTGATATGCTGAAGTGCTAAGAACTTCATCTCCCAAATTGAGGTTGTCCCAACTAAGAGCTTTCTCATCCATTTCCTCCTGACTCGTGCCAGTTAGGGAATCCATCACCTTCAAAGTTTTATGGAAGCCCTCGGACAAAGATGCCCTTATCTTCATTTTTCAAATGTTGAAATAATCATTCTCGATGAATTTTTCAAACTCATATTTGATAGTATTGGCAAATGGTTTTAATGGTTCCATCTGCTACATTTAAATTGGCTGCGCTTTGATACCAATTTGTTCCAAAAAAGTGCCCAAATCTCTCTTTTTAAGACTACCAAAGCGAGCAAGCTAATTTAATCAAGGTGAAATAAAGTTAGCACTACACACACAACTAGGATATGAAACAATAAAGCATACAGAAAGACAAAATCACTAGTATTTATGTGATTCTATAAGATGGGCCTTCATACCAAAAGGCGAGAAGGCACGTATAATTTCACTATCCAAATATGGACGGAACAAATTAAGAAGATTTGTAACATTGCTTAATTTCTCTTCTCACAAAACTAACAAGGGATTAATGAGATCTCACCAAAATTTTGGAGTACTTTTTTTTTCTATAGAAATTCAAAGAATAAGAGGATAAATTCCTTTAACAAAAACTCTAAAAACAAAATAAGCAAATGAATCTGCTCGAACGTTGACATCTTGAATCACCCTTCTTTCTTTATTGCTTGTGACTTCTCTCTGCATGGACAAAACCTCAACTCTTTTCTTTTGCACAATCAAGCCCGAGAGAACCTGTCCAAGGTTACAACTGTTAATCTGTTATCAAGTCCATTAACTCATCTGATTTTTAGAATTAGTAGGAAAAAGAGATAAGGATTAAAGCCGTAGATAATTACAAATTTTCCCATCCTACTTGATATTATGCCAACATATGTAGAACTATATAACTAATAATCTTTTTGGCATTAAAAATTTCCGCATGCCTCAATGAGAAGGAATGCTTAAAACATCATTTTCTAGACTTGTGTCCTTATTATGAGTACTAGAATCCATTAGTGGCTTCGAAAACAAATGTTTGGATCAGAGTTCTCTCTCTCTCTCTCTCTCTCTCTCTCTCTCTTACATGATTGTTGCCCCATCATCCACTCTTTCTTTGTTGTTTGGTCAATTGGATAAACTCTTAGGACATTTATCTCCATTGACTGTCTTTACTTTAAAGATAAGGTTACATAATTCATGATCAAATGAACATGGCAAGTTTATAGTAACTCTTTTTTGGGTGTTAAATGGCAATCATTCAAAAAGATCATAGAAACTTATACTAATAACCTGAAAAGATTTTTCTGATTGCTTCGTTTAGGAGTGATGAATATTACTTAACCAAAATGAATCTCCTTATCTAGGCTGCAGCAGATTCATGGGGCATCTCCATTTGTTTCCTCAGCATCATATTATTGCCAATCGTGGGGAATGCAGCAGAGCATGCTGGTGCCATCATTTTTGCTTTAAAGAATAAGCTGGTAAGTTACCATCTAAACTCTCCTGAAAATTTTCGCCTGAATAATTCAATCAAGATTGAGCATAACAAGGTCAAATACTGGTGTGGCGTAGGATATAACTTTGGGAGTGTCACTGGGTTCAGCAACACAAATTTCCATGTTTGTGGTGAGAGTTGAAAAAGAATCCAATCATTTGTTTACCATGTCAAACTATAACTCATATTGTTTTCTATTTATGATGCAGGTTCCATTAAGTGTGATGGTGGCGTGGGTGATGGGCATTCAAATGGATCTTGATTTTAAATTATTGGAGACTGGCGCTCTGGTCATCTCAATTTTGATAGTATCGTTTGCTTTACAGGTAACATGAATATCAATGTATAAAGGTTGTCTTTTTTTTTTTTTTTCTTGGCGTCCTTGCACCTCTTTTTTAAATGAAAATCAGATTTGTCATTTGTTTTTAAAACTTCATTGCATACTATTTACATATAAAATTATTAGACTGGTCCTTAGTGGACCGGTCCCACTACAACCGGCCCCTAGTGGGCCGGTCTTGGTTTACACCAGGAGAGGGCAGCAGCAAAGAGAGAGAGAGAGGGAAGTGGGGTTCACTAAGAATCAAATTCAAATCCCTTGGAGGGAAAGGAGGGGGCGGCAAGGGTTGTTTAGTAAATTGGTCTTGATTAATTAGTGTATGCTTTAAGTAGGAGGGGGGAATTAGGATTAGGGTTATGCATAATTTGGAGTTGTTCTCTTGGAGTCTTCTTGGTGTCTTGGGCTCTAGATCCACAATCTAGAGATTGGGAGTGACGATCCTCCTCTCGAATTGAGGATCAATTGTATCTCGCTCGGAGTTTGCTTTGCTTTGATTCTACTATTGCAATCTATCATTTTTAGATTGATTTCTTCCATAATTTCTTGTTTTTCTCGTTGTTTTGGCCAGTTATTGCTAGGGTTGCTTGCGAACTCAAGTATTTTCTCTTGAATTAATGGCGAACTCAAGTATTTCCTATAAAAAATCCTTTTATTTAACATTCATAAAATAATCTGGAGGGCAAAATACTTTTAAGGACCCTATTACTATCATTTACCGTGATGATTCTAAAAACTAGTTAGGTTGACAAGGGTTTTGAAAATTGTTGACAAGATCTAGACTTTGAACCTTGCCTATGCAATAATAAATCTATTATACATAATTGAGGATGGGCACAAAAAAAAAGAAATGAGGACTCTAATACAAAATTTTCTATTTCTATATGGTTGCATAAGATAGTTTTTTGGGGATGGGGAGCATAGACGTGCAAATATTAGAAAAATTAGTGTAATTTAGTACAATCAAACTCAGACCAGCGGCAAAGAGGAAAAAACTCCAACTTCTTGTCCATTTGCATTAGATATTGGCATACAACCTAAGCGATGGTTTTGCTGTATGGAGATATGATGATTCTAGGCCCAAGATGACCACTCTTCGTATTAAAAAACTTTTTTTTTTTTTTGTTTTGCAGGATGGGTCCTCACATTATTTAAAGGGATTTGTTCTTCTTCTAGCTTATGTTGTTATTGGTGCATGTTTTTTTGTCCTTGGGACTCCATCAGGTAATTTATCGTCCATTAAAATTTCTGTGCACAGATTATATGTCCTTCTAACTTCATTTATTTTTTCATGTGAACGTGGTACAAATGCCAGACCAAGTTAATGGAGCCAATATTAATAATATCCCTGTAATTTCCCATAACATGGAGTCTTAATAGCCTAAAGTTTGCAGGTAAGTATCACTTTCCACACAACATTACACATAATCTATGTGCTTATCTAACCTCATGGCAATTATATTGACGGCATATTTTTGAAGCCTCTTTAACAATACTAAGGATGTACAATAAAAATATTTCATCTTTTTTTGGATTATTTTCTGCCAGCTTTTGCTGCTTAAGCTTGTATGCTTCTTGGCCACGGTTTACTGTTCTATCAGCTTTCGGGATGGCCTTGCAGCGCAAATCATCTGAATGTTCTTTTGTTCCTTTTGACCGGAGTTTCAAGGAGAAAGAAGCTCAGACGTTAGACCATAATCAGTGTAGGTTCTACATTTTGGTTGGAAACATTTGTCCTCCAAACTCTTTTTGGAAAGATAGAGAGAATGACCCCCTATATGTGATTGCAATGTAAATTGTTATTGATGTTTATCTTTGAATAAAAAGAAGAAATAATATTTTCTAAGACAGACTCTATTTTCTTCTATATTTTTATTCCCATCTAATGGAGTTTTGTTTCTGTTGTATTTTTCATATTATTATGCATGGGATTTCCTTTCTGATAAAGGCCTGTGTGCTTATAGAAACCTTTTTTATTTTTGGGGGAAAATTGCTTATAGAAATCTGATATCTAAATTTGTGTAGTTGATATCAAAAATATTAATATTGGGATTCACTAACGGACCACTGGTCCTCTCGAGTTTTTGGGCTGCCCATTCAATTTGTCTTTAGATCAGCGTCCAACCTTGAGAAACTTTCCATTCCTTCTCAATACATGTGAGGTTGCGGTCTAAGCAGTTTTATAAGATGAAGATGCAGATAAGCAATTGAAGATCTTTTCATTCTTCATCCGCATAGCCTCTTAGCCGTTGTTGTTTCATTGGAGGATTGAAAACTTTAACAGTGCATGTGAGAAGAAGGCAGTACGGTGAAATAATTTTGCATGTAAGATTATTCTTGAGCTTCTTCTTTATTTGTGAGAGGATATACGTAGGATTTAGGAAGGACAGTGAGTATTCATTCTTTGTGTACATTTTTTGTGACTTTGTGGATGTTGTATTAAAATTCCCTCTACTCTTGTGAACACGTAAGTTTGTTTGAAGTTGACTGTGTAAATCTTGGCGGTTTTTTATTATGTTTTTTTCTCATTTTTGTGTTGGTTTGTGACACATCATTCTCAATCTTAATGGTGCTTCTATTTTGAGTTGGTTGACACTCTCCTTATAATAAACTGGTGTCGTTACTAGGTTTCCAATGATTGATGGATATGAAGTTTGAGATCAAATTTTCTATGATGCACATTTTTTCTAAACTTAAGTGATGGTTTGTGGGCTCCGAAAATTCGTTCCCCGACCTCCCCTACTTTCAGGAGAATTTTAACAAATTAGGTTCCGAGGTAAATTTTCAGAAGGCATGCGTTTGAAATAAGACATTACCCAGAGATTTCATCCTCATTTTGCGAGGACTTTATGATCTGAGTTCTGGTTTCCTATAGGCGCAATCCCCTATAGTTAATTACCCCTTCGATTACAAAAGATAACTTTCGATTAAGACTAGTCATTAAAAAAGATACGTAGAGAATACGTGGTATCTGGTGTAAAGTAGCAGCATGGGCTGATATTTGAAAATTTAATATTTAAAATTAAAAATTTATCACCTCATACTTAAAGTGGATGGTTGGAGTGGGGGGGGGTGATGATGAGCCTGATTAGGATCCATGGTTTTTTCATCATCCCGGGTCATCTTGGTCCTTGGTTTACTTAGTAAGAGGAGGTAGTCGACCCAACCTGACAAAAGGATCATTGTCGTCAGCCATGGGTTGTTTTATCTAAGGGTACCTTATAGACCTGGGGTGAATATTTATGTAAGGGGACAAATTTGAATCCAACTTAGCTGACATAAGATTTTATGCCCTATCAATCATATCATATTGATTCATATCTTAAGGATTTGACATCATTGGGGAATATACGGATTGTGACCGTAACCATAATACAATGGAGTCGTTAGACCAAGCCATTATGTCGGAGTGTTGCGGTCGTAAGCATTAACCACGCTGAGCCATCTGGACAACTCATGAGTTCTCTATGGACTCATTTGGCCAAACCACCAATCAGAGGAACAATGTCACGTCTTTACTGGCAGGAGACTATTTGAGAATGAATCCTAGTAATATTCTTGACCAGACATAAACTCTTTGTGAGCTGAAATGATATTTAAATTTAGCCACCTTGGTAAACTGTTACGGAGAGTGGATGTGTTTTTCTTTAAGCTTTTTGATGGTTAATATTAATTTAAAATTTTTGGATTTTGGTATCTTACATTTTCATGGGCCTTTGTGAGGCATTTCTTTGAGATTTGTGTGGACCCCTTCGGTTGAGATTTGTATTTAACACAACCATCATCAGGATGACTTTGAAATCACTTGTATCTTTGTAGGAATGTGGGAGGCATTTATAAATATTGAGGGCTCCTCCAATTTATATTTTCTGTCAACACGGCCATCATCGGGGTTTTTATGGGCAATTCTATTTTATTGGTCGAACCTTGTCAACTATGTCTACTTGCTGATAGAGGATTGGGTTCATCGTCGACTTTATGCCTTTATTAACTGTGGGCTCCGAAAATTCGGCCCCGGCCTTCGCTCGCTCTTCTTTTTATTCGGCGAGGGAGTTTTAACGGAATAAGTTCCGAGGTAAATTTTGGAAGGCAGATGGGTTTGAAGATAAGACACTACCCAGAGATTTCGCCTTCATTTTGTGAGGACTTTATGATCTGAGTTCTGGTTTCCTATAGGCGCAAGCCCCTATAGTGAATTACCCCTCTCGATAACAAGAGAGAACTTTCGATTAAGGCTAGTCGTCAATCAGATAAATAGAATATACGTGTTATCTGGCATATAGTAACAACATAGGACATTTGGAAATTTAAAGATTTGGATTGGGAAATTTGTTGGTTTTGGAAGATTTAATATTTAAAATAGAAATTTCACCATCTTGCACTTAAAGCGGATGGTAGGGGAATGGATGATGGACCCGATCAAGATCCCATGGTTCCGTTGTCCCGGGCCATCGTGGTCCCTGGTCTACTTAGTCAGAGGAGGTAGTCGACCCAACCTGACAGAAGGATCCTTGTCGGCAGCCATGGGTTGCTTCGTCCAAGGGTACCTTGTAGACCTGGGGTGAATATTTGCCTAAGGGGACAAATCTGAATCCACCTTAGCTAACAGAGGGCTTTGTGCCCTATCAATCATATCCTATTGATTCATATCTTAATGATTTTATGCCAATAAGGAACGTAACGGCGATGGCCATAACCGGTATTTCGTGGTGCCATTTGGCGGCAAAACCACTCGGTTCAGAGGGCCCCGGGTCATAACCGTTTATCCTTCGGTGCCATTTGGTGGCAAACCACTGGTTAGAGGACACGTACCACGTCCTTATTAGCAGGAGATTGGTTGAGAATGGATCCTAGTGATATTTTCGACTAGGCATTTGGCTCTTTGTGAGTTGAAGTTATATTTGAATTTGTCCACCTCGACAAACGTTTTGCGGAGGGTGGACGTATTTTGCTTTAAGTGTTTTGATGATTGATTTCAAATCTAAATATCTTAGAGCTTGATGATTTTTTTTTGAACTTTTGTGGAATTTAAATTTTGTAGAAATTTTAGGACATTTTAAAATATATGAGAGATTAACCCCTCCGGTTGAGATTCACATTCAACACGGCCATCATCGGGGTGTTGGGTCATTTTTATTTGTAATTTGAACCTTGTCAACTCAGTGTCTGGATGTCGACAGAGGATCGGGTTTCGTAGGCTTTATGCCTTTGTGAGTGAATTATATTGATTTTAGGCTTTGAAGGCCTGATATGAATGTATTAAGACAAATACACCGGTCGCCACAATCGTGTATTTGTTCGAAGGTTCAAACCTTGTCGACTCCTATTGATCCGTATAGAAGGATCGGGTTCAAACTTGAATTCACTTATCGACCCGCGCAGCATCCCTAGGCGTCACGTGTGTATCAATAACACGCTCGCCGGGGCCCATGCGGGTCAAGATAGTATTTTCCCCTTTAGTGTACCTATGTGTATACAAACTACGGTGTAGGTGCAGGGGGATTTCAAAATATTTTAGTTGTGCAAGTAATTGTAATTTGATTGCACACAATATTTCATTTGAGAGATTATGTACACCTTCTGTCTGCTTGTACGAGTATTGCAGATCCGGTGGCGGGGCATTGCAACTTGTAGACGCCTTCTGTCTGCTTGTATTTGTGTTGCAGATCCGGTGGCGGGTTGTAGCAGCTTGTGGATTGAATTGTTTGCTGCTTTGTACAGGTAGACTGTCGTGCACTACTTACATGATTTGTGCAAGAAGATTGTAGTGCACTAACGAATCTCCTGCTTTGAATTGTAGGGGACAAACTTTCCAGTGGTGATGTGCCTACTTTAATTAAGGGTCGTAAAACCCGTGACACATAAAAGTGCGTTATTTTATCTCTTTTTGAAGATATCTGTTCACGTGATGTACGAGCCACCTAACTTTAACAGCTGGTGCGCACACCACTTAGAGCGCCCGTGACTTGTAATACGACGGGCACATTTTTTTATCCTCTCACAAAGGTGTTCGGGGATTCTTACGTGTTTACAATGAGCACAAAAGTATTTTGCAGGAAAGGTAAATTTTCTTTTTTACTTTTACCCCCTCCCTTTTTAAGATAATTACCCGCCGTATTTACTTGTATTTAAACCCGTATTTACTTTCGTATTTACGTACGTATTTCACTTGCTAGTGAATACTGTAGGAATCTGATGCCAGAGCCTCGAAATGGCATCTTAGAATCCTAAGTGGATGGGGCCCACAGATGTACTTTCCCTGTCTTTTAGCAAAGGATCCTAGGCTGGTGGGGCCTGCGAATAATTCAAACTCAATGTTATAAATAGGAGGTATTTCAACTCATTTCTTCCCATCCTATTTATGTAAGGAGATTTTGGTGAGGGACTTAGGGGTGTACGAGTCAGGTGCTAGGTGGAAGAGGCTTGATTCCTACCTATTTGCGAACAACTAATTCCCTTGAAGACTCACTGTATGTTGCATTTCACATTAATTTATATTTCTTTCGTATTTATTTTTCAGCGTCGGGAGCCTAGGGTGTCGTATATTTTATTTTTGGTTAACTTAAAACATTTAAGTGGATTTTAAATCTTTTTTAAATTTTCTAAGTTATAGATTTTTGCTGAAAAATTTGGCAGCACTCCGGCGTCGTCCCCGCGTAGGGGGCTGCCTCGGAGTGTGTAAGGCCTTCCCGCCTGCCAAGAAAGGCAGTCACGGTAGGTGTCGGGTGACACCGCGGCCGCAGTTCCAATCCCCGCTCGCTAAAAAAAGCTGTCACGGGGTCTTTGTGCACAGGTTTAAAATGTGACATTTTCCCCGCCTAAAAGCAATGACGGGTACTTAATTAAATAATTTTGCTACAAATAACAAATTTCCCTGCCTGCTAAGAAAAGCAGTCACGGGTACTTATATTTTCATGCATACGAATTTCCCTGCTCGCTCAGTGCGTCACGGGTACTTAAGTTTTTCCTCGCCCGCTAAGAAAATCGGTCACGAGTACTTATTTCATGCACGGAAATGTAAATACTAGTTTTTACCTTGGGTGTGCAGTAATCGAGGCGGCGACGACGGATGAAGTCGACGTAGGAATCTGCGATTCATAATTAAAAAAAAAATTTACTTGTGCAATTTAATTAATCATATTTTTATTTGAAAAAAAAAGCTAGAGAGAGAGAAAATGAAGAGAGCTCTCTTTCTAGAGAGAGAAAGAGAGGGAAATAAAGGATTTTATGGGTTTTTCTGATGGAGTGGGCTTAGAATGTGTAGGAGATTAGAGGAGTGGGGTTAGAGAGAGAAAAATCTCTCTCTCTCTCTCATTTTTGGAGAGAGAAAGAGAGGAGGGAAATTTATTTCTCTCTAGGCAAGATATTTGGAGGTATGGTGGGAAGGGGAGACGCTTAGGATGGAAATAGAGCCGTACATGAAGGAATTTCACTCTCATTCTAGAGAGAGAAAATTCTCTCTCTAGGTTAGAGAGAGAAAATGAAGGATAATTTTTTTTTTGTTAGAAGGGTGTAGGAGGTGTGTAAGAACATTTTTTGTGAAGGGATTTAGGTGGTTTGGTGAGTGGAAGTGAGGAAAAAAATTAGGGTTTAGGGTTTTTGTAGGTTTTGAGAAAGAGGGTTGGAGGAGGAAGAAGAAGATGAATGAGAGGAAGGAGAAGGGAGTAGAGGAAGAAAATATAAGAAAATGGTGAGAAACTTGGAGTGAAGATGAGGGAAGATGAAAAATAGAGAAGGGGAAGAAGAGGAAAGGAAGAAGAAGAAGGATGTAGGAAGAAGAATGGAGGAAGAAGGAGAAGGAGAAGAAGAAAACTCACCTTGCTTGGAAGGATGAAGGAGGCCGGCGGCTTTGGATTGCAAGAGGGAGAGGGAGGCGGCTTGGAGTCGTGTGAGGGAGAGGGAGCCGTGAGAATGTCGTGAAAATGAGGAGGGGTTCAGTCATGAGAGGGTTATGAGGGTTATTAGGCATTTTTTGGGTTTTTTTTATTTAGAAAAATCATTTTCTTATTTAAGAAGCTCTATTTATCTTCCTCTTTTCAATTTTTTTTTAGTTTTATTGCACAAAAATAAAAATAAATTTTTAATCTTGCATCAATTTGGTCGTCGCGTCGCCGCTCGCACACGTCGTCGTCTTGATTCGCGCGCCCAAAAATTAAAATTTTCGTCGACCGTCGACCCCCACCAATATGGGTGTCGATCTTAGCTGTTTCCGTTGCTCCGGACGCATCGGCGTTGTTAGGTGATGTATTTACTACCGTGCAACACATTTGCATGTTAGGTGATGTATTTACATAATGTGTTCTATATGTTGCAGCTTGCATATGCATGGTGCATTTTATACACTGAATGATGCATTTGCTTGACATGCTCTATATGTTATAAGCATGATGTGTTTTGTGTATTCACATGTATAAATGCATGTTGACATATAGGTTTACATATTGCATGATGTACCTACACATTAGTGTAGTGTACTACTGCTACGCACTACTCTTGGTAATGCTGAACAATACACTTGCATATTGTGTTGTGTTTTTGTGGGCTCTAAAAATTCAGCCCTGGTCTCCCTGTTACTTTTTCAGGGAGTTTTAACGGATTAAGTTCCGAGATAAATTTTGGGAAGGCAGATGGGTTTGTAGATAAGACATTATCTCTGTAAGATATTCAGTTTGCGAGGATTAAGTTCCGGTGGCTATCCTACCCAGAGATTTCACCCTCATTTTGCGAGGACTTTATGATTTGAGTTCTGGTTTCCTATAGGCGGCACAATCCCCTATAGTTAATTACCCCAATAGCTATAAGATATTCAGTTTGTTTCACATCAAGACTAGGATGTACTGACACTAGGATAGCCACCGCCCCAAAAGTTTTTTCCTCCTTTAGTGTAACTGTTATCGTGATCCCTCCATGTTTCTCTTGTATATCGATGGTGGGAATCCCTTCTTTCTTGCTTCACATGACCCGATCCTTATGGTTCGTCCTGTCCCTCTTATTCTCTAGTCATCCACTCCCTTTACCCAAAATGTCTTCCATAGTGGTCGGCCACTCCACCTCCATCATAAAACTCTCTTTTTGTTGTCCCCCATCCCAAACCGCTAATCCGCCTCTTATCGAAGCCCTAGTAGGTCTTTCTTGATGAAAGAAACTCTCCTTATCAAACTCTTCTCATCCAATTTATTTTCCCTTAGATTTAGCAACGGGAATCCAGGTCGATTCTAGGTTAAGAATAGCAATTGGAACCACCGGTGGAGTTTTGGATTGCATCTTAATAAGCTTCATTAACATCTCTTCTATCCCTCCAAATTGGCTCTCCATCCGATTCCTCATAGTTAAAAACTTCTCCTCCATGCTGGATTTGAATTGGTCTATTTTTCCCTTCAACGCATCCACTTTCTTTGCAATCATAGGTCCCAAAAAAGTGCTCTGATATCAATTTGATGCAACTTGTAAGCGAAAAAACAAGTAAAAGAGAAGAATAGCATAGGAACACAAAGATGGGGGTGATTTTTTTTATTTGTCATTCAATAATAAAGCAAGCAATTGATCTACTATTCAATAGTTAGATCACCTCTCCCACAGACCTTAGATGCCATTAGGAACTCACTACAAAGACTAGGAAAATAAACTCAGCAATATCTCTCCTAAATTATAGACAAACTCCCTCTTAAATAATCCTAGAACACATTAACACAATTAGAATCTTCCTAATCATCATAAACATAATTTAAAAAATATTTCTAAATAAATAGAACATTCCTAATTAGCATAAACATAATTTAGAAAACCTTCCTAAACAATTAAGCATGATTTAGGAAACCTTCATAAACATTAAATATATTTTAGGAAACCTTCCTAAATAATTAAACATTTCCTAAATAGCATAAACACAATTAGGAAACTTTCATAAACAACTCCTCCTTGATTAGGAACCTTCCTAAATAATTTTCCTTAGTTAAGAACTTTCTTAAATAACTCTCTCTTGATTAGGAACCTTCCTAAATAGCTCACCCAACCTAGTTGTGGCCCCCCGGCGTATCACAATGACCAATGGAGCTTGTGCTTTACTACTATCTTCTTGTTTGTATTAGTAGCATATTTGTTAGTCTGACTTGTTTCATGGAGATTTATAAGTAGTTCTACTACTACAATTATCTTTTGCAGTGAATGCCTTCTATCCAAGCATCTTGCATTATCGATATAGTGTTTACATCATCTCCAAATTTCTACTCACTTGTTCGATAAGTACCTGTGTTGTTTGACTCTTACCTGGTAAGTAGATATCACGGATAACATATGTTATAGAGGTACATATTTTCATTATGCGAATGTTAACGGATTAATTCCTTAAATCTATCCTGCGAAGTACAATTGACAGTAGAAATAGAGAAACAAAGTCACTAATGAATTTGCATATCACCACTTACATTTTCTAGCCAAACTACTACTTCCCCAATTGTGGGCCTTTTAAGGGGATTATCACGTACACACATGCAAGCAACATCAAGAACCCTCAACATTTGGTCCTCAAACCCCTTTCCTTTAAGCAGAAGATCGAAGACCTGACTCTGCTTTCCTTTATGTATCATTTGATTCACCCAAACCACAAGTCCTGATGAATCCTTGAACTTGAACAGTTCAACTGGCCGCCTTCCAGTGAGGAGCTCTAGGAGGACAACACCAAAGCTGTACATATCCCCTCTCAATGTGGCTACCCAGGCTTGCCCATATTCTGGTGGGATGTAGCCAAGTGTGCCTACAACCTCAGTTGTCACATGTGTGGCATAAGGAAGGATCAAGCGAGACAATCCGAAATCCGCAACATGTGCCTCAAAGTATTCATCAAGGAGAATATTACTGGACTTGATGCCCCTGTGAACAATGTGGGGCTCGCAGGTCTGGTGGATGTAATACAGGCCCCGGCTGGCACCTTGTGCAGTCTTCAGCCTAGTAGGCCAATCGAGCACTGAATTACCATCTACCCTCTCATGCAGCCAGTAGTCAAGGCTACCATTCTCCATATATGAATAGATTAATAGCCATGAACTTCCATGCTTACAATAACCCTGCAGACACACCAGATTCTTGTGTTGGGCGCTTGATAGGGACTCCACCTCTGCCCTGAATTGCCTTTCCATTAGGCATATTTCACCGGACAGTCTCTTGATTGCAAGCTTAGAGCCATCCGAAAGTGTAGCTTTGTAAACCATCCCAAAGCCCCCGGAACCAATGATGCTTTCTTGGTCAAAATTATTTGTAGCCTTCAATATGTCTGACATAACAAGGTTCTTTGTGGAAGAGTTTTCTGGATTTGGCACCATGACGAATATGGAATTACTGGGAGGAAGGTTGGGAGCTGATCTTGTTGAACTTGCATTGGACTTTAACTTGGTTTCATTTTGTCCTTTTTTCTGAGCTTTCATTATATAGCATATGATGAGAATAGAAACTATAAGGATGAATGCTCCCCCAAAAGAGATTCCAAATGCCATGCTTAGTATGATTTTCTTATTCATATGTTTTGTATTTGAAGGAAATTCATTTCTTGACTGGTTGGAGCAATTTTGCAGAAGCGCTCCACAGAGTTTAGTGTTTCCTTCATAGCTGGAGATCGGAAATAAATCAAACTGCCCACCTGATGGAATTGGCCCCTCTAAATTATTGTAAGCTACATTGAACGAAGCCAGGAAATGTAGGCTATTCAGCAAGGAAGGGATCATGCCACTGAGATTGTTGGTGGAAAGGTCTAGTTTTTCCAAGTTGGTGAGATTGCAGAGCTGCACTGGTATGATGCCTGAGAATTCGTTGTGGCTGAGGTCCAGTACGTGGAGATTCTTCAACTGGCCAATTTGTGGAAGTATCGTGCCATGTAGGGTGTTGTTTCGAAGGTATATTGCAGGTGGAAGCTCTGTGAGCTGATTGTACTGCAGGCCCGATCCTTTTTCAGGTCTGATAAACACTGGAAGGTCAAGAAAACCTTGATCAATCCGGAATTCAAATTTATCCACCATCAGTGCATGCAATCCTGTAATTTGTGGTGGAATCTCTCCTGAGAGAAGGTTCCCTGACAAGTCCAGATAGAAAAGGTATGGCAAGGAGCCCAACCATGCAGGGACTGGACCTGTGAGATGATTGTCAGATAAATCCAGGACCAAGAGTTTGCTGAGATTGAATAACCAGAGAGGTACTTGGCCGGTCAGCTTACAACCAGCTAGACTCAGCACCTGAAGATTTTGGAAGTACCTGTTCTCCCACTTATCATCTGTTGGCATGGCCTCTTTAAAGAAGTTCTTCGCAAGTATCATAGCAGTGAGTTTCTTGCAATCTTTGAGGATCTGGAGTGCAGTTGTGATGTTCCTTAGGCCATCACTGGATAGAGAAAGGTAGGATAGAGCTTGCAGCTCCAACATAGTTGGATCAATCTCTCCTTTCAAGGAGTTCCTAGCCAGCCTTAATGCTTTCAGAGACTTCAATGAGTATAAACTCTTTGGTATCTCTCCAGTGAAGTTATTGTTACCTAAATCAAGCTTGTTAAGGTTGGAAAGGCTGGAGAAGTTAACTACTGCCAAATTACCATTGAAGTTATTATATCTGAGATTAAGAATCTTAAGATTGGTACAGTTGGATAATTCTGGAGGCAGTACACCATTAAGCTGATTATCATGTAAGATCAGTTGCTCTAGCAATGGCATTTGGCTGATTGAGGCTGGCAATTCACCGCTTAGAAGATTGCTACTAAGATCAAGAATGGCTAGATTCAACAGTTTGGTTATAAGTGTGCCATCAAGAATCCCTGAGAGCAGATTAAATGGCAGGGAAAGGATCTTCAGAGAGGTCATATCAAAGAGATCTTTTGGGATTGGCCCCGTCAAATTATTTACACCTGCTTGAAATTCTGTCAGGAACAAGCAACTTCCTAGTCCTGGGGGAATCTCACCTTCGAATTGGTTGTGAGACAGGTCCATGGCCCTGAGTTCCTGTGATAGGCTACAAATAGAGGAGGGAAATGGACCAAAGAAGTTGTTGTTGCTTATATTTAGTACCATAAGAAATCTAGCAAGATTACCCAAACTAATGAAAGGGCCTGTGAAAAAATTGCTGGACATGTTAAGTACCCGCAGGGAGTAGTTCCCTAATGGCGGCCTCGACAGTTCACCGGATAAATGGTTGAAGCTGACATCCAAGGTGACAAGACTTGGCAGCAAAAGAATTTCAGTGGGGAGGTCGCCGGTGAGCCGATTATATGAGAGGTTTAGTTGAGTGAGTTGGGACAGACTTGCAAGAGAATTGGAGATTCTACCTCCGAGGCCATTAATGGGCAAACTGAGGACAGCAACAAATTCATTGTCATCACAAGATATCCCTTCCCACTTGAAGCAATCGTCATTGGTAACCCATGATGTAAGAATAGTATTATTGAAACTAAAGGTAAGGTTTGATCGAAAATTAAGTAGAGAACCTCTCTCCGTTTGTGAGCAGCCATGACTGGGAACAGGAAATAAGAAGAGGATGGAGATGACAAAGAATGATAGAAAGAAGAAATGGAAGTTACCATTGTTATTGTTTGGCTGTTGTTGATTTCTAAGCATGATCATGGTTTATGACCCTTTTTTTAAAAAGCTGCTTCCAGCAATTTGGATGAAAGCCTGGAACAACCTGGAGCTTTAGCAATCCTGGATGCCTGCTTCGAGTTCAATAGGCAGTGGTGGCGGGAATGCCGTGAAAGTTTCATTGGATAAAGAAGTTCAATTGTGTATTTGTTTCGCATCCCAACATTTAATGAAGGAGAGGAGGAAGAAGGAGAGTAAAGAGTTGACTAATTGGAGGAAGAAAGTATACTATAAGAAACACAATTAGAATGGTGATGCGTGTTTAGGCAATAATAATACAATAATGCAAGGATTTTGTCTAGAATTATAGGATTAATTTATCTTAACAGAGAATTTTTGGATAAATTATTCTGTGCGGAGGCGGGACGTGCTGAAGATCAATTAGAATGCGCCACGTCAACGGTACCGAGCCACGGTACTGAGCGAAGGGATGACATGATGCATTCTAATTGATCTCCGGATGATGTTCAGCTTCCGCACAGAAGTTTTGAATCTTCCGTTGGGTTTCCCCATTTTATAAATTGCTTTTTTTTCGTTGTGAGATGGTCATCTGAAAAGGATAAGAATTGCGTGGTGCGAAACTGCAGAAACAGGCGATGGGTTCTGAGGCCTGTTCGTCAAAATTGGTGGCCGTCGACCAGATAACAGCTCTATTAACAGCCCTCGCCTACTCGCTTCTTGTTCTTACGCAGAAAACACGGCAAGGACTGAGCGCGTCGATCCAGCTATAATGTTTCCAATTACGTGTATCTTCTGAAATTTGATTTCAGGAAAATAACTACAGTATCAAAGGTTAGCAGCTTGAACCCAATCAATCTACCTTTGTTTTTTTTAGCATTGCTTGTTAAGGGTACTTAATTGTATGGGATACAGATCAATTGACGAGGTGCTTCTGCACGCACAGTTATGCTCTTATGACCGCGACTATCCAGCTGAGATATTTGGCGAAATTTTTAAAAGGATCAGCTTTGACGTGTGATTTAGGAGAAGAAACGATATATAAATTTAATTTAAAAAGGATCAAAAATAAAATTAGGGAGTGTGCTTTGTCTGAAAACGTGAAAAAAAGAAAAAAAAATTTCGTTTTACCCGAAAATGCAATTAGTAATTGCGTTTTCGGTTAAAAGGCAATTTTTTCTTTTGCGTTTTTCATTTTAACTTATTTCTTAGCTGTGTTTTATGTGAAAAAAAAAATTCTTTTTTGTTGTCTTAACCGGCTGAAAGTAAATGAAGTTTGTTTTTTAACATTAGACTTAATTTTATGTTTTATAATTTGTGGGCAATGATGTGGTGATGGCTCATTTCTCTAAAGCCGTGGCTCGTGGCAATTTTTGGTTGTGTGTTTCTTGCTCCTTTGGGATGGCTATTTGGTGCGTTACTGCTCACTCCAAACTGGATGACCTATGCCTGGGTTCGAAGTACTTGGAAGCCTTTAACAAATACTTAGCCTGATGGGTTATTAACCCTTTGTATCTTTGTAGTTTTTTTTCGTTCCGCTTATTAGCTTGATGTACTCCTTTTTATGTTGTAACAAAATATGTTTTTTTTCTTGTAAATGTTTTTGTTAAACTTATTCTTTTTATTACAATTAAGCAACGCAGCATATTTTCTTAGAACATTTTTTCTTGGCAAGATTTTGATTTTTTTTTTTTAACTTATTCTCTTTATTACAGCTAAAGGAGTGCAGCATAGTTTTATTTTTTTTTTTCCTTACATTTTTTTTAGGCAAGATTTGATAATTTTGTTAAGAATCATTGACCTCGAGCTAGAGTAGGTTTTAGGATATGAAAAAACTGTTTAAAAATTAAACAAAATACCTTAAAACTTATTTTTTATTGCTTTTGGAAATAAAATGTAATTAAAAAAGCAAACTTACTAATTATTTTTTATCTATTTTTTAAAAAATAATTTAAACAAAGCTTAAGATAAATGTTTTTTTTTCCTTAGGTTTATCATTATTGAACATATATTAAAAAAAAAATATTTATGAAACTTTCCTGCAGTTTCCTACGGTGATCTCTAATTCTCTATTGATTTTAGTTTCCTTCGAGATAACCGAGCTGAATCCCACGGCGTTGGGATCTTCGATGGTCAAACCGAATTTTTATTATGGATTCATTGACGGGCTGTTTGTTTGGACTAATTATTTTGTGTATATGTTGAACGTCATCTATAGATCAATTAGAATTCGTCATATCATCCTTTAACTCGGTACCACGGCTCGATATTGCTAGGTACTGCTTGGTATCTCGGCTTGGTACCGCTTGACATGGTTGATGTGGCTACAACTTATTCGCCTCCGGACGTAGAACTGCGTCCGGCCTCCATAAAGAATAATTTCTCGTTGTTTAGGGCTTAAATTAACTTAAAAATTAAAGCTTGTTTGTGATGACTTTTTTTATTATTTTTTAAAATAAAATTTTAGTAAAAATTTTAACTTTTAGTAGTAAGAAAGTTATTCATATTAAAGCCTAAATGGATGAAGGCTTCTCTGAGATGTTGGTCTAGTTTTAGTTAAGTTATTCTTGCGATTACCGCAATAATGTAATATCCATAAATAAAGGACTTGTATATTGATTTGGGAAAAAATTTTAATAAAGTTTTAGTTTTATTTTCTCCAAATTATGTGTATTCCCCCTCACTCTCTTGTAAGAAGAGCTCAAGATGAGCTCTCAAGAATCTTCCTTCTAGTTCTAAGAGCTTCATTTGGGATAGCTTTTATAAAGTTTTCAAAAAACAGTTTTAATTTTTATATCACAAAATTTTTTAGTTCAATAAATTCTTGTACTAAAAAATTACCTTAAAATGCAGCAAGAATGCCATCCCAAAGGAAACCTAAGTCAAGCATTTTTAATTGGTTTAAACTATTTAATTGATGATAAACAGAAGTTGCCATAAGTCAAAAAAATTATTTAATTATATTTTTGACTTAAAAAGTTTACCTATGACTTATGAAGTATCATTGATAAATATTACTTAAATATTAATTAATTAAAATTATATTAAACTTTTCATATATGCGATATAATTGAAAATCTAATGAATGTTATTTATTTATTATCATTATACTTAATCATTTGAATAAATAATCATCCTAATGGCTAATTATCATATATAATAATAATTGATACGTCCACAAAATTTGCCTTGATCAAGCACGAATCTCGAGGCATATTCAAGTTAGAAATTCTTTAAAATTAAATTTGGGATCATCTGAATTCCAATTTCAGCAAACTTATAGTCAAATTGAACATCTCAAAGGGATGAACTGAACAACACCGAAATTGGTCCAACCCAAGCCCAAATGGGTCCAAATCGGGGGCCCGG